TGCCAATGCCTATTCTGTTGATATGCGATCCGTTTCTCTAAACATCTATGCAAAATGTGCGTGGATCAGTCAATTTCTCTATTATGTATATATCTAGTGTTTATTTTATATCTTATTGTATGATAAGTATATTAATAACAATACTATTGTATAGGTATAAATATATTAGATGGAGGGAAGGGATTGTTAATAGCTAGCAATGACCATTCGGGTCGACTTCCCCGCACACATGCTTACTGACAACCATAATGATAATACCTGATATATTCATCACGATAGAGTAATTGACTCCATCCTCGTCTGTTATCCCTCACTAAAGATCTCGCTAGATTTTTAGCCCTTAAAAAAGTATCTTTAGGTATAGGTACATATAAATATAAGTTCAAGATGGACAGAATGGTTAAATAAAGACTTTCAATACTTACTAATTAAAATATCTACTACGTATGTCAATAAATATTATGTAAAGTAACAAAACCACAAATATCAGCACATTAAACAATTGAAAACCAGACAAGTCAGTGACCTACGAACAGGTAAACACCTAAACCATTCACTGATCAAAATAAATACTACGTAACCAAGTGAGTAGTAATAATTTAATCTGAGATTTTATCTGGTGCAAGTGCTTTCTTCATCCACTGCAGAACCTGTGCAGGTTTTTTAATTTCACAATAGCTGTCTGTTAGGTTCAGAGTAATCCGACGGATTTAGCTGCCTTCGTAAATGAACCAAAGTGAAGCGAGTAAAGCACCAAGCAAGTCGCCGGGGGCAAAGAATAATAGTATACTTGTTCAATTACGCAGAACTGCTGCGCAGAATATTTTATTTAGCAAGTTGTTTTTGTACTATGATGTCGGCACAAGATCATCGCCCTACTACATACTATATATGACCTCTCAAAATAAGTGATTATAATAACGAGTGTTACTTATAATGTCCTTTAGAATATTACGTCTTTCCCTGTAAAAATCTTCATACTGTAACAACTGACAAGTCTTCTTTTCATTTAAGAGTTTCCTCTTGTCGGTGCAACTAATTCATGCACCTTCCTCCTTCTTCCTCCAACTGACAAGTGCAGATACAAAAATATCATTAAATGGGTACATAAATAATTATCATTCAATCTAGAAGATCAGGGTTCAATAGAATAAACTTCTTTATGAATGAAAATAAAATTACATGATGTGCCTGAAAAAAAAATGTATAATCTTAAGAATTAATCGTTTAATACAATTTCCCTAAATTTTATAATGAAATAACATATTAAGATAACAGCTTTAACAATAGCCTTTTTCTTTTTGTAGCGCTGTAAAAAATTTTTAAACACTTAGAGAAGTTTAATTATTTTAATAGTTTGGCAAATATATTTTTGTACGGACCATTAATATTTAATTGTAAAACAGTTTTGATGCAAATTTATTATAAAAAAAAGTATGATAAACTCTACTACATATAAATTGGATGCTACGAGTCTACAGCAATATAGTCTGTGACGCTGTTGCTCAAGCTCGTCTAGCCGCGGTGGAGGAGCCGCTGCGCAATCGTTCGATCCGCAAAGGTCATGGAAGGAATTCGCGCGGTCCAGCGCTCTTGCGACATCAAATATACTGTTCCTAAGAGATTTCACTTGGTGCTCAGTGCCCGGTGCACGAAGGGTTAAATAGTAACACTTCATATAATAAGTTGAAATTAACAGTTAATGCTCCTTTATCTCCGGCTTTGGTTCACTTTGAAAATACATATAAATGCTGAATAAATTTCTTCCTAAAATTTATGTTAATGTAACTATGTATGATTTATTATTAATGAATGTGTAGTCATTTTTATGTTAATCTGACATTGTTGTTATAAACTTAATGTACACCGGACTGTACTTTTCTTAAGCTCTTATCTTTCTCTTTCAATTTCAAAAACTCCAAAAAGAATTTGAAATTAAATACGCATTCATTTATTAAATTAACAAACTATCAAGAGCATATAAAATCCTTTGTGTACTTTGACTCCAAGAAAAATTGAAAAATGAATTAATCTGTCTAACAATTTCCAATATCGGAATTGTCGGCATATTATTTCACTGAAGACAGAATAAATTCTCTATTCGAGTTATTAGAACAACCAGTATAATTACGACTGTATTCCACAAAAATAACCGACTTGAATTGTAGCAAACGATAAAAACTAAACTAATAAACCAATTTTGATAAAATTTCTATGAGGTCAATCTGTAAGTAAAGTAAATTTCAGTTATACAAATAATTTTACTATTTATTTTTTTGACGAAGTTATGAGGTAACGAACATGAAAAAATATAACAAAATTGAAAACCTCCTTCTTTTTAAAGTTGGTTGAATATAGTAATGAATCGACAGTGAAGCAATTTCCAAGCAAATGTGATTATTTAAGGAAAACTTATACATTTCTTTACATTGTATTGTGGATGGGTCATACGGTACTGCATGCCCTTTTACAGAAAAACAAGTATTAGTAAACCAAACAGAGATAAAACAATGAACTCACTGATTATCAATATTCTTATTTACATATTTAGTCTTATCACGAAGGGAAATAATCGGAAAACTTTAAAGGAATTCGAATATTTACTCAAGAACACATGTGGTACTGTCACTGCTTGTCCATTCGAAAATAGCTTATTCACATCATTCATTACAAATAGTGCCATGCTGACGTTACACTCTTTTTTACGTAAGTTACGACAATCGATCTATTTTAATATCTATTTACCTAAGTACATGCACTAAATTTAAATTAATAAAACAAATTCTGATTGGGTATATGTATAATAAAAACAAATGCATAAGGTCGAAACATAAACTAACTGTTGTAGTTTATGTTATGTTACTTATTCTCAGTGATTTTACGTAGGTAAGTGTTTTAATTCTACAAGTAATTTCATTTTGTTTCCTAAAACTAAAAAATCTAATTATGAAAATTAACATATCATAGTTAATTAATAAACTCATTCTAAAAAAAGAATTTCATTTTGACTAAATTAGTATGGGTCTAATATTATAAAAGAGATCATAAAGAGATGTTCCATACTTTTTTAAATCGTTTGTCATAAACGAAGACGTCCACTCACCGTAAACCATAACAAAGACTGGTAGATAAAATAAATTACAGTGAATTAAAAATGGAGTCCACAGATCAATTCCGAGATTGTCACAGCCCTAAGCTCCCTTGAGTATAAGTCATCATCATAACATTTGACCCCATATAAACTAGTTCTGAAGCTCATGACAATAATAATAAATAGGTAGTTTGTGGAGCGTGCGTTAAGAAAGCCCTGGGTCTCGTCACCTGCCCGATGCGAGACGCGCGACGCCACGACGCGTGGGCTGCATCTATTGTATGCTAATACCTGCGACTCCCCAGTACCACGCTCCACGACATTGCTCCGAGAAATTATTGAAAATCACACGATATCAACGTTCAAATCTCCACCGTTTTGAGTAATGATATCACTTGTCTTTTCATACTTCAGAATTGTTTTCATTTGTCTATTGTTAAGTGTTTATGTATTTAAATGTTATGTAATGTAATGTATGTAATGTATATATATATATATATATATATATATATATATATATATATATATATATATATATATATATATATATATATATATATATATATATATATATTAACCAAGTTATCCCTATTCAAAACGATATTCAAAAGACTAATGTCTAAATTTACACAAATTAAATTAAATTATACTAAGTAACGGAATGTAACTATGGGTATATATCTAAAATAAAAAGATTGTATTTTAAAACAAAAAAAGAAATTCAAAACTATTCAAAATTTATTAAAAAAATGAAAGTTACTCTTTCTCTTTTCTTTACTATGTTATTAGGTTTAATATGTATATAAATATTAATCATGATTTTTAATAAACATACTAAAACAACAAGAACTTTGAAATATTTTTTTTTATTTATATTTGACATGTGTAGTACATCTACCCTAAAGCTAAATTATTGGAATAAATCTTTCAAGGCTTTTACTTTTACTATGAGTTTGGGCTAATTCTGTTCTGTCACTGTAGGATATAAAGTAAACGTTGCCAGTAATGTTGACCGTCATGTTATTACCTTAAAAGGCTCAAAAATTTATTATAAACTATTTCACATAAATTTAGTCTAATTTCCAAAATTTTGTTGTAATCGTATCTAAGAAATGATATCATATAATGGCTAAGTTAAAAGACCTAAACATTACGTCTATTACTTATTTTTAAACATTGTTATAATATTTCATTTTTAACATGTTACATGCAGAGTCAAATACTATTTTATCACTCTATCATAATGCTCTGAATATCATTACATACATCACTAAATTCGTAAGCTTTATTCTAAAGCCATGAATTGCATTGTCACTTAAGATCCGTGGCCTCTTGAGATTGGCTTTTGTGATCAAAGGATTATCATAATAAATTTCTCGAGGAATTCCTTAGTCCTGTACTATTATTAAACAAACAGTTTTATTCTTGCACAAGCTGTTATTTATTTACTTTAGTAACAACATTGGAAAAGATTTAGCTATAATTGTAATAACTATATGGTAACGATTTAATATCTCTTACTTTATTGTTAGACCTTTTTTATGTTAATCATAATGTTACTTCTTTTTAACTTAAAGTAGAAAATTAATGAATCAGGTAAGCAAAGGCAAAGGGTAGACATTAATAGCACCACAGACATCACAGAATAGACTACGATACCCACGAAGAGCCGGAATTATGAATGGAATGAGAAGTACCTCATGCCATTACTAAGGCTAAGGTGTTATGCCTCTGTACCCTATCATTTCATTGCCTTGTGTTAATTTTCAAATCAATACACAACCATGCAAACACAACTGTTTTTCAAGATCCAAGTCAGTCACAAATGCACACTATTTTTGTATATACTACTTACACCATAATAATATTATTTTAAATTATACCATAAATAAATTGTTCTTTGTTACAGACATCTGAGCTAGAGTCGCTGCTGTGCAAGCAGGAGGGCGCCTCGGTAGCGCCCGCCCACATGGACCTGTTCGACGGTGGCACCACATCCCGCGACGATGCGTTCCTTCGCCCCGCGCCTGCCCTCTGGGAGGATATCGCTTCATCTATCAGAAATATCGATCCTGAAAACGCAAACATGCTGGCTTCCCTTGGAACCACTCACGTTAAACTTGAGGCAGATGATCCACTGCTCGAAGAATGCGCTACTCCGCTACTTAGTCCTTTGGAGATCAAGACGGAAAGGTTATGCGCTCCGCCAACGTACGCGCATCCCCAGCCTCCTCAACATCAGCCGCAGCAGCAGCCGGCGCCGCCATTTGCGAAATACGGTCCTAATAGGCTGGTCTACATGTCTCCTTTGACGCCACCCGGCTCCGACCAAGGCAGTCCAGGAAATTCTATGCAGGTACGAAATACTCAAAATTTTGTTTTGTGGCTATAAATAATCGTGTAAATAATATAAATTGTTTTTTTTTGTCTATTTGGTATATATCCAGTAAATAATATGTATTTTTCGAAATAATTCATTTAAAAACATGATGCTCAGATAAAATTTAATAATTATAAGATGTTAATTAATACAGAACCTTTTAATTCTAGATATTTTTTTATACACTATTATTTCGCTGAAATGACAATAACTATTTACTATATATGCCAACTAAAAAAAGACAAATTATAATTAATCCTTGCACCTAATATGATCTATTCAAGACACGTTACAGAATACTTGAGTATCAAATTTAAATTTCAATTATTCAGTATACCCGTAGAATGCTATGCGAATTCCTGCAGATTGATGGTACCATCCTCTGCTCGGCGATTATTTTATTACCATTATGCATCTTGTTTACTTTTTAGCAATGTCATGACATTGACATGAAAGGACATTGATATGAATGCGATTTATGATTCAAATGGTAAGTAGGATGGTCAGTGACGGGTAAGCCGTCCTGCATAAATGTAAAATGGATCAGTTGCAGTCGTAAATGGTGTGTGGTAAACAATTTTTGATATTTAGATCACGAATTTATTGGCGGAATCGATCGCAATGAATTTAGAAGAAACGAAAAATGAACTATTGTTTGCAGGGTGGCCCTCGCCGGACGCCACCGCCGCCATACCACCCGCCACCGTTGCTCAGGGCGCCCCATGTACCGCATCCTGGAGCACACCCCCATCATCACCCGCAGGTGAGCTAATGTTTTATCTCATAATAACTGTCTTATAAGTACTGTATTAATAGAAGACTCATCTATATTATAACTATGTAGATTACGAAGCAGAATTTGTAGTTTCAAAAACTATCATCTTACTCATAGAATAAAATTATAACTAGACGATGTCTGTAGAGATATTTAAGAAAAAAAATAAATGACAATAAGAACAACAGAAGTTAAAACAACAATTTTGTGAATATTTGTCCGTCTATATGTTTGTTCCAGCATCATACAAAAACTACTGCACCAAAGTAGACACGGTTTTCATAATTGTGTTTCTGAAGGTCTAACTTAAAATCTGGTATTTGTTTTATTTTGGTACGCCATCTATAAATGGTTTATTTTACCTATTGGTTATAAAATTAAAAACTGGTAACATATAAAATTATTCAATAAGCATTTCTATAAATACTATGATACTAAGCACAGAGCAAATGATATCTTGGTTCGATTCTCAGTCTAATTCAGAAATCTTTTATAAGTCTGATCAAATCAGAGTTTCCTGGATTGTCTCTTCAGATGTTTACTTCTAATTTCCAACAACATATCTATTTATCCTAGTCTGAAGTAATTTGGCAAGATCTATCATTTTAATAAATTACTAATGCATAATCTTTTATAAGTTTAAGAGTATGTATATATTCAGGAAGTAAACGGAATGTTTTAAGGGTTATTTATATTTTCCACTAGCCAATGGCGCAGTCGATGCAGATGCACCAGCAGCCTCCTGCGCCGGCGCCTCCGCATCCATTGTCGCATGCACGCCTCGGTTCACCGCCCCAGGTCAAGTACAACAGAAGGAATAACCCAGAGCTGGAAAAAAGAAGAGTGCACCATTGCGATTTTATCGGTAAATAAAATTTTAATGACTTACATTTAAATTTAATATCATAAAAATGTCAAACTGGATGAATTACTTAAAATTATACCACTTTGAATTTTTATAGATTTTCTAGATGTAACTCACAGCTTTATTAACATAAATTAACATAAAGATTAACTACCCATTGTAATGATTCAGGTAAATAATAGGTCATTTCTATACCAAATTACATTCTTATCCTTTTATTTGTTTAAGCGTAATTGAGTGACAAATATTGACATGTATAAAGATTTAGACAAACTTCCACATGTATAACTATAGTAACTTTTACCCACCAGCCGAGTGAGTTCTTCCGCATGATCAGAATATGTTTATTGACTGGGATAAAAAGTAGCCTATCTCCTTCTCTATCCAAATAATATAGTACGTGTATACCAAATTTCATAGTGATCGGTTAAGTTGTTAAGGCTCTTTTAGGAAACAAATAAACAAATTCATTTTCATATTTTTAGTAAGGCTCTAGTAAGAATAGTATAGGACTTTAAGTAAAACATAGTTACCCAAAAACCTTATAATATTTCTTATTATTTACAAAAGTGTATTAATTTTGTCACGTATATCACCTACGTATGTACCTACGTATATCACGTAGTCACCTATAACATCGTACTTATAATAAAAATAAATTTCAATTTACTGATCTTTCGGTCCTAAAATTACGACTAATTCTGTTCAATATTGAATTCTGTCATATATTGGATTACTGAAGCATATATAAATTTAAAATATTATTAGTAATCAATAAAAAAATATTATTCAGGTTGCACAAAGGTGTACACGAAAAGTTCGCATCTGAAAGCTCATCAAAGAATACATACAGGTAAATATATACACTATCCGAACTAATATATTATTTTATAATATAATTGTATTGCTATTTAAAGCTGATGCGAAATTTCACTATATACAATAATATTTGCGGCATTGCGATTTTTTTCTATTATTTATGTTCATACTTTATTTCTTTATGTTGTTATAAATAAATTAATGAATGGGAAAACTTCGTAGATTTACGAGTAATTAGTAAACGCGGAATATTTCTACTCTTTTCTCTTTTTAAATTCTTTACACTCTCTATTTGAAATTAAATACGATACTAATATTGAAACATCCTTAGGAGAGAAACCGTACACTTGCCAGTGGCCGGAATGTGAGTGGAGATTCGCCCGTTCCGACGAACTGACCCGCCACTACCGCAAACACACGGGCGCCAAGCCGTTCAAGTGCGCTGTCTGCGAGCGATCCTTCGCAAGGTCCGACCACCTCGCGCTCCACATGAAGCGGCACCTGCCGAAGACGTCCAAATGACACGCGAGGAGGGGCGGTGAGCAGCCGCCCGCCTCGCACACCACTCAGGTTAACGCAATAATATCTTGTTTCATCTCAATGTACACAGTTCAGGATTGACAACAATAACACCAAAAAAATACAATCGAATGAGAATCATCTCATTCAAATTATTATTTTTTTTATTCAACTAGAAATACAAGCTGTTAACTCGTTTTATAGAAAATGTGAACTACCTATAGACATTAATAGCTCCATGGAATATACTGTAACTTCCATAATATGCCTAGGAGTTATGCTTGAGGACCGGGGTATTATACACCTATACCTGTTATTTTGCTACCATATTGCTTGACTAAACTCGAGTAAAGCAGAGGTACCAAAGCTGTCACCTTTGTATAAAACCTCTGATATAAGAGTGCTCGTATATTTGACTGCACATCAGTACAACTGTTATTTCATTATCAGGAAGAATGCAGTGAAAGCATGTTCTTGGAGTGCGAGCTGGACTCAAATTTGATGGAGACGTTTTACGGCGTGCTGTGACCTGCAATCGGGCACGTGGCGGGCTACGCGCCAGCGGACGCACTGCGGAGGCACGCTTGACGCGAGTGCAAACTTATTTATTTTACTTACATTTGTAAAGATTGCTTTCCCTTCACAACAAATCTCTTATAATTTCACAGATTTTATTTAAATATATTAAAAGGATATAATTACTAGGTAAGTACATGTATAAAATCTCTCACATTGTGCAGCTGGTGATTAGGATAGAAAACTATAATGAATTGATAAAATGTCACCAGCATTCATTTATTTTTGTGTTTACATGGTCACTGTATCAAATTAAAATTGATATTTCTTTATTTTGAACAAAAATATTGTATTTATATATGTATTAGTGATAATTAACATTTGTTATGGTCCAAATAATTAAAATACTGTAATTACTATAATTGCATACGTTAAAATTAATAAAAGAAGAACAACAACTTAATGTGAGAAAAATATTTTGTATTAAGAATAATTAAGTCGCTTTTCTTTAGATATGATATTATCAAATTATTATATACAATTCCTGTCTATCATATGGTGAAGTTATAAAATTATACTTATTTATAGAAACTCCGCAAATAATAACAAAAGTAAAATACTTAACAAATTAATACCGAATTTTAAGGTCAAAATTATAAAATTAAAATAAACAAATAATGGTCTCGTTTTACGACATTATGTCTAAGGACGAAACTGTCATAGTAAGGACAGTAAAAACGATTACGAAGTGTACAAATTATTTTATACCAACTGGATTTGTAAACCACTTGACGCCTCACGAAAAATGATGACCATTGCCTAGAATACACTATGATCCATGCACATTGCCATTCTTGAGGACTAAGGTGTTTTGCCATGACCCATGCTTTAAACCAAAAAACGAGTGGTGGCGAAAGAGTCGCAACTAAGTTGCGACTATTTCTTTCGCAGTTAGATGCTACAAAAATTACTTTTTTATTTACTAATCGTATACATGAGGGATTATATGTACGAAGTAAGGATATAACCTATCCTTGAAGCAAATTTTAATAAAATATCTATATATAAACATTTATCTTTTCAAAGTTAATTCAAATCAGTACCTAAATTTCAATAAACATTAAAAAAATATTTACTTATTTATTTTAGAGACTTCATCTCAATATAAAAAGAAGTCAATGTTATAAAACTCGCCTATAATATTTGGTCCATAACATATGTTCACCAAAAAATATAAAATTTAATGTGGAATTAATAAAAATTGTTAATTACTTGTAAATATTACGTCTAATGCATTACAGCTAATTTTAGGTAGGAACCTACTTCTCAAAATGTAATGTAAGCTAGTTTATGTTGTGAGACAAGGTGTGCGATTAAACAGCAGTTGACATAAAATACATACAGAAAAATAAATTTTTATATTATTGTTACAATATCAATATGTACAACAACATTACCAAGGAAATCGCTTTACAGCTATGCTCAAGTTATGATACCTACGATGATGATTTGTATATTATTATGGACTCTATCATAAACATTATTTCGAACTTTCAGACCGAAATTGTTTATGTAAGATAAAACAAATTTAAACCGAAACTGGAACTGAGGTATCTTCTTATACAAAATACGAAGAATACCTAATAAGAAATTAAATAGAAACCTATGATTTGTTCGTCATAACCCCATCGATTATCTGAACGATGTATTTGCAATTTCATTATAAACATTTTTATATTTCATTCGTCTTCGAAATTTTAGAATTTTTTTTATAGTAAATGGCAGTATGAATGACAATTGTAGTGATAAACGTATGAAATCTGGAGTCTACTACGAAATACCAAATCCAAGAATTTGGACAATAGTTCGTATGTTTTTCACTTCGAACTTCATTGTTCTACTAGTAGATAATCAAATCATAATAACATTATTGATCTTTTAATTTTAACACATATTGGAAGATTCGTTCAGAATAAGTTCATAAATTTTATTCAGCTTTATTAAAGTTACAGGCATTAATTACATGGGGCTCTTTTTAATTAGGAAACAAAATTATCTTGAGCGAATCATGTCGAGTATATAAATAATTACGTAGGAATATATCTTCATTAAAAATGGCAAATATTTAAAAAAAATTGAGGATCATTGCAAGTAATAACAATCTGGATAAAGATATTAAAATGTCTTGTAGTATATTAGGTATCTCCATACCGAGTAGATGACATGACGTAACGATACAGAATGAACTTTATTTTAATATACAAAAATTTTTTGTCACGATATTCGCTAATCTCCAAAACCGCTTAACCGATTTCAACGTAATTTTGTAAATTTGTATATTTTGCTCCAACTGGAAACATTAAATATGTTTTATTACGATTAAAATATTTCACCCGATATATATCGCTAGGAGACAAATCAACGACTGGCTAAATCAGCTAATATTATAATAAATATATTCATTTTTTGTTAAATATCAGCTTTAATCTAGTACGTATACCAAAATTCATAAAATCTGTTCAATCATCTAAACATAAGTAAATAAGGAACAAAAATTTCAAAATGTCCAAGAAAATCGACTACCAATAGTCTTAAAAAAAATTACAAGTTCTAAGTATCCGTGTTATTTTAATTTTTTTTCAATCAATCCTTAACTTTTAATGTGCAAATGCAGCTGCTGCTTTTCATTTTAAATCCTTATTAATTAAATAAAAAATAAATCATCTTAAATATAAAAATGTGACATTATCGTGAGCAGCAGAAACATTCAATCTTTGTCATATATATTTACACGGTTTAAAAAATTTATTTACATTTTATATTCATGAAACATCTGTATTCATCTCTTCGACATTGATCCGCCCCGGCTAAAAATGCCCTGACCTCGGTACCAACTGAAATCATGAATTTTATTTACAAATTGGATTTGTAAAAAGCACAGAATTGTGTGTCCTTGTAGGTACTGAATATATATCGTGTATAAAAGAAATTGCTCACCACAATAGCAATTGGTGTCGGCACATAAGCCTTGTTACGTAAGCTCTAAGTATTCATTAGATATTATTAGTTAATTTATAGTAAGTTATTTAGTAAGAGAGCAAGGAATATCCAAGATATTATAGAGTTATCTTCATCATATAAATATGAATATACAATTAGTCGGTAGTTAGTAGCTTAATCGTACAGAAGCGTTATCGAATTATACGACCTGGGTTGAACAAGTATATTCTATTTATGACATGCGCACAACGGAGTTATTAAGCATGTACCTAAATGCTGAATTAATGTACTTCAATGTTACCTAATTCCGAGGTCATTTAAATTTAGGTTATTTACTGAAACTTCACAGGTCATGAAATTCGAACACGCTAATATTACACTTTCTAGTCTCATTTTATTACAGATTTTTTATAATTCCGAAAAAATGCGTCACTAACAGCTTTCGCCTTTTAATGTACTTAATAGTAACTTTCATTTCCAAATAAAAAAGTATTTATTTTACTTAATATGTAATTACAATATTGTAGTGAATGTATATTGTAGTGCATAAAGTTAATAATTCTTATGAAAGAATCGCTTTAGGCAATTTTAGAAAATGAAAAATATGAATCAGCCTTATTGCCTCCGTCCAATGAATTTACATAATTAATAAATGTGAATACAAAGCAAAATTAAACAGTCTACTATCTCTCCTTTAGGTACATACATATAATTTTTTATCTCTTAAGTATGGAATTGCCATAGTACATAGTCATTAGTGTTTTTGCTACCTATACTGTAACTATATTTACTTAAGTAATGCTTTACAATGTTTTTTTTTTCTATTTTTCGTGCAAATATTAATATCTTTGATATTTATTAATTACGCAAATTATTAATACATTATTATAATATAACCATTCGCTTCTTAACAAGTCATCGATTTCCTTCGTACAAGATAACTGAAAAAGATGCACCATGATAATTTTATATATTTTAGCCAAAAAATATGTTTGCATTACTATGTTGTATTAAAATTATGAACATACGAGTACATTATAAAATTATGTTAAAATAAAGAATTTCCTGTAAGAAGTATCATAAAATTATACCAAACCATGTCTAAGATTATAGCTCTAATACTGAACATTGACATTAAGCTTTTATAACTTTATTGTCACATAACTCTAGCCTTTTATCTAGAACTAGTAGATACTTTAAAATTGTAAAAGATCATTTTGTCTTCGCAATTATTAAAACATTCTTACATTTGTTTAAAATATTCACTATACTTTATCAGTGCGAATATACGGCTATTTAATAAATAACAATTAGTTTCGAATATGTTTATTGTTTAGTATCCTATAATTACCTACTTATACGTCTATTTTCGATCTTGCCACTCTCAGTTGCATTTAGTTTTTACATACTTAATATTGAAACTGTGAAGATAAGAATTCAAGCCAAACCTATTTGAGTGCTAGAATTATATTTTATGAATGAATATGAAATTATGTACTAAATATGAATTTCTATAGAGACCATCTACTGTCATTTACAGAAGTGGATGTACTTATTTCCATTAGAAGCGTGATTAGCTAATGTAATATCTGACACGCTAGTCATAACGCTATTCTCTTATAAATTAAGCTTCAAAGCAAATTATATGCATTGGGCCTCAAAATATATTATTTAAACTCTATATTACTTCCTATTAGGTATGACGTCACTGTCCATCACGTTACTTCACTTTTAGCAGTATAAATATATTAAACAAAAAAAAAATTATAACACTCAACATCATGAACAAAGCCATATTAATATTTAGGATTTGCGATGTCACAACCAATATAAATAAAAAATGTACCTACTTATAAATAAATAAAACAAATAAATCTTAACTACAGAACACCCAGAAGAACATTTTTCTTTCTTGTCAGGGGATAAAAAAGTTTGTGGTATGTTATACAATGTACAAACATTGTAATGATAATAATAGAGAAAGTTATAAAACAAAAAAGAAGGACTTTGAAACTTATGTCATGAACTAATTATTATGTAGCTTTGCATAACAATGCAACATTATATTTAATGAAACCATATTCCCAAATCTCTCTATTCTTATTTTTAAATTTTAAATCTTTCTTATTAATATAAAAATTAAAATAATGGCTAAAAATTTTAAAAAATATATAATTCTTGATCGTGACTATACCATATTCTAGTCTGAAATAATCATACGAAAAAATACAGTAACACATTTAGAATTAAAATCAAAACAGTATCTTTCAAATCAAATAGCATAGAGGTAAGAAGGTAGTCTACTCTTCGAGTTTTGTAAAAAGGAGTAATTGCCATAAACGTGTCTGTGGATGCCATATTTTTAAATAATTTAATTTAGCTATTATTAAAAGAGTAGTCATAAGTTCGTCTTTCTTTATAAAACCAAGTATCGTACGTACCTCACTGTTTTCTTTTCTTGCTTATTCCTTGTACTTATTATTTCATTATTAATATTATGATTGTTTTTAGTACCTATACTATTTTTTGTGTAATAGCACAGTCAGCTTCATTTAGATCATAGTAAATAATAGTAAAAAATATCATACGGAAAGAAATTTTAAACAACAGTCAATCAAGTATCGTAACAACATATTCTTCACAGGTACCTTTTCGTAAGTCCTTGTTATGTAATTTATGATATGAAAAAGCTATTAATTCATAACATACTTAAATAACTTGATAAAAGACCAACATAAATTTGATACTTATTGTAGTTGCTGAGATATGGTATTGAACATCTTATCACCTAATATCTTTACGAAGCCGACTGTACTATTTAGTACGTAGTTTAATATGTTGACTAAGTCACAAGATAATTTATTACCAATGACATGTTTTTAAAATCTGTTTATATATAATATATGTACCTACTTTTGTATAGTTAAGTGTAAAAACCTGAGATATGTATTTTAATGATATAGAATAATCAAATATAATGTGTTTTTTTTATATAATTTTAAGTGTTTCCAGAAGTGTGATTTACTAACATTTTGTTTTATTTACATATTAAATATGTTATCATTATTACTTGCCTCGTCATTGTCAATTAATTATAATCCAATAGTTTATCAATTATAAATACATAATTTCTTACAAAGACGCAGTTTTATGTATTATTTCTGTAAAAAAAAGGTTATTACGTATACCTAATTTATATACATATATGTACCTATTCATTAAAACTGATAAATTTTTAAACAGAGTATTCAATTAAAAATATGTCTATGCCCAAAAAATAAGTAAGTGTGGCCTTCCAATGAAATTGAACAAAAAATAAGTATATTTATTGTAATCTTACAGTTACCATTATACAGATCAATAAAATTGGCTATGAGATAGTAGATACCCCAAATTTTTTTCCGATTATTGCAATACATATTTACTGAAACACTGTGCCATAAAATCACCCAACGTATTGTATTTACAACCAGATCCATGGCCTTGTACCATATTGCTCTTAATTTAATTTTCCACGAAAAACTTACGCTGTATTTTCTTTCATAAATATGACTTGTAAGCAATTGGGCATGAAAATGGTCGATCGATATCTAAAAATGACATTTATAAATGTATGCCTTTTTTGTTCATGATTTAAGACCACTATTGCTACATACATTTAACACACATTTTTTCACAAAGTGCAACTTTATGTAATGAATTAAAACTCAATTAAAATTCAAAATTATTTACATTGATGTAGATTACATGAAACAAACATTTTATGTTACTATTATAAATATGTCGTTTAGTCCTTCAGTGGTAACTGATACAAAAGAATTAGAAAAAAAAATAAGTTACCCACTAACTTAATCAGTTACTTAAGATTTTGAATAATCATTGTAGTAGAATATTAACATAATGAATTACCAAGTTGCCAACATAAATTAGCTTCTTTAGCTTTGATTACTTTGTTTGTATTAATACATAATTTAGTGTACTTGTAAGATAAAATTGCACTTTGCCGAAGAAAAGCTATCTAATTATTCATCGTTTCATATAAAAACCAAATGTATTGCCATTTATGAGTGTCTACCTATACTTATATGTTTTGCAAATTTCACATTTCAGAAGACATTAAATTTAGTCACATTTAGACTGTCTGTATTATTTATTTAACCTTAATCAATATATAGATACCTACAAAAATACACCGGTAAAGATATCTTGAGGTAGGTACATTATTTATCAATAAATGCTCAAAGACGATCACCCATATATTGTGTTTTAATAAAGATTTTTTTCTGATATTTGCTTGCTAATGAGGTTTCTTAACGCCAACTTTTTGAGATTTCTCAACAAGAATCGTTTGTGTGTGCAAACTTTCATTCCCAATTTATCTGCTTACCATTAAAATTCCACTACTACGAATTTATCTTAATAAAGAAAAAATATTTATTTATTTTATTTATTGCATTAGACATAAATATAAGAATTACAGTAAATTTTCAGATCAAATTATATAAAATTCAAACTACATATATGTTAATATAAAAAAAATGTGTTCCCCGCGATGTTGGTTCAAGTTAATCATAAAATCACACGACTTTAATTAAATTTATAAATGAGCATTATTTGCTATTACTTGAGATTGAGAGATAATATATTTCTTATTTAATTGAAAAAAATTACTTAGTAGGAAGCAAAACGTTTGCTGAATCAGCTAGAATCACTAAATATGATCGTTTACCTTATTGCTTACTGATTAAAAAAAACTAACAAACTGAGTTTTATTGATAAAATATTCATTTAAGTAGTTGCTAGCCAAGTTTACTTTTTCTCCTGGTCATATGAGAATTTTGGGAATTTAAAATCAAAACATATTTCATTTTATAAAGTTCTGAAAACTGGAGATTTAAGACTATACGTTGTCTATAGAAATAGGTTTTACTCTATAGATATTCATTAAATAAACAAGCGTCATTTTAGAGTCCAGCGGTGACGACAAAGTCGCTAAGTGTAAAACCGTAATATCCCTAACAGTTTTCACAAACAGACAACCGTTATCACCCACTTTATATATACATGATTGAGATGACCCCTCTCATTTCTGGGCTAGACGTGTTAGCTTTGGTGGAATCTCAAACAAAATGTATCACTTTTAAATCAGGTACAACTTATGATCTCAGTGTTTAAAGAAAAGTTCTGAAGCCAATTTGACAGCAGTTCAAAAATGATGGCATATAGAGGATCTTTGGTTGTAATCGCTGCAATTCTTATAACTGTTGCCGCAGTTTCACTATACAATGAAGAAAATGAAAAAGAACAATATAAAGATGACCTTTTAGAAGATAACGATTTAGAGGAATATAGCAGTAGGAAAGGGAAAATTTGTAAGTACTAATAAGTATTATTCAAATGTTATGTTTAAATATGTTTAATTGTGTTACTCTTATATGCACTTATGCTATGCGAATCTTATTTATATCAAAATTTTATTATACATACCTAGTAGGTACTATGTAAGTAGATAGGTTTAAAATAAATAACATCTAGTAAATTCTTATATTTTTATACATTTAAACCATAACGTAAATATACGATAACAAAAGTAGTACTAATATATCAAATGCACTCTATAACATCCATATGTGTCACTGCATGCATTTTAACCAAAGATTTCGGAATTCGTAAAAATTTCAGAATAACCGAAAATTCAAAAATATATCAACTAGTTTTTTTTTATAAAGAATATAATATCTTAAATTAAAATATAATACTACTTTCATTATAATAAAATAATATGGAACTAAAATGGAAGAACTCTAATGTAAAATACGAGTACTCATCGAAATTATTTCAAAAATTTGACATGGAAATATTATTCACACATAAACATTACTCATATAGACTAATAATCTGATTATGCAGCTTTTCAAACATAAAATCTAGTACTATACTCCCTTAAAATGATTTCAACGATTTAGATTTTACCAATTCACCCAATAGTCAAGACTGACATAGATTTTTCTATTCTGATGATGTATAAAATATTTGCATAAATATAATGGCATTCAAATACGTCATTTCTATATATATTTATACTATTTTATATATATATATATATATATATATATATATATATATATATATATATATATATATATATTAAATAGTATAAGCAAATAGAATTCGTAAGTTCAACTTCTCGAGACCGAGACGTCAACTGACGATTCTAACTCAGCTGGGCAGCGTTCGGTAAACTACGCCACATCTTTTCATCCAAAATATCTCTCAATTTGGAGACGTGGGTTGTTAATCAGTGCGTGTTGCCACTGACTTACGGAACGAAAACGTGGTCCTATACGATTGCCCCTATGAAAAAGCTACTAGTTACTCAGCGGGCTATAGAGAGGGAGAGGATGGGTGAACCGAAATAACCGACATAGCCCGAAAGATAAGCAAGCTGAAATGGCAATGGGCTGGTCACATAGCTCGAAAAACAGACAACCAATGGGGAAGAAAGGTTCTTGAGTGGCGACCACGTCCGGCTAAACGCAGTATAGGACGACCCCCCACTAGATGAAGTGACGACCTGAAATGCATTGCTGGGTGTCAGTGGATGCAGGTGGTTTAGGACCGTTGACCGTTCCTTATGGTATGGTGGAGAATTATGTCCAGCAGTGGCGGATAATGGCCGAAATGAAGATGATGTGTAAGAACTCTTACAGAGTTAAGCTCGCCTGTTGTACATCTTTATTATATATATATATATATATATATATATATATATATATATATATATATATATATATATATATATATATATATATATATATATATATATATATATTATATGTTGTAATTTTTTCTGTGTACAATAAAGAATAAATAAATAAAAAATGTGTATTAGTTGCAAATTCAAAATTATGATGTTGGCCAATCTTATTTATTTGTCGGTTACAGTGTTCCCTTTCTTAAGCATCGTACGTTTCGCAAACACGGAGTGTTCCACTACAGGCACCATGAGAGGAACATGCCTTGCTCGGAGAGAATGTCACAACCTCAATGGTACCATCACGGGCAATTGTGCTTCCAGAAGAGGCCGGTGCTGTGTTGGTATGTAATATAAATATATGCACCAGATGGAAACTTTGTACAAATGTCGTTTACTTGGGCACCTCTGTCTCATTCGTGTTTCTATTGTGAAGTAGTTGTGTTGGCATGGGATATAGCAGTAAATTTACAGGATACAGAAGAATAACATAACAGAGTCCTCAGGAATGGCAACGTATGGGCGACGGTTACCACCTTCCATCAGGTGGGCTGTAAGCTTGTTTGTCATTTTAAGTTGCATAAAATAAAATAATAATAATGATAAAATATAAACATTAATACATAGCAAACAATCAATCCCATTCATATTTATTAGTTACGTAGTATTCGTAGTATTGATAAACTATTAGACGGTAAGATATACCTAATAAATATCAAGACAAGAATACAAGAACGAAAGATTGTTCGTAATGAGGACTAGCATCCCATTTCATGGCTAACTGACCAGCGTTCACTCTCACCTACTACCCCCCATTTCTCATCACCAACGAAATAACTATAAACTCATATTGAGACAGAATTTATTTTATCGGCTGTTAAATAACAAGGCAAAATAATAATAAATAATAATGCATAATAATTCTACAATTATATGCATGTGAATATATATTTTGTTAAATAATTTGTAAGGGCTTTTATATTTTTAAGCATATCAGCCTATCGTTAAATTCTTAAGATTGACAATCATAACATGGTGTAGAAAGGATGTCATCAATCTTTTTCTCCTCCAAAATAAAAAAACAATGGAATAAGCAAGCAGCGTTATAAACACAGAGTAAAAAGCAGCAATATTTTAATCTACAAATAAGAATCATTTCGATGAGATACCGCTCAAAATTAATACTAACATGGGCATAACTCTATGTGTCGTAATGTAACTAAAAGTATGGGCTTGCATTAGATGACCATCCAACTTGTTTGATGCTTACTAATCGATGCCTACTCATATTATTTATAAATTTTTAGTGACAAGAGGATGCGGATCCACCACCAACGTCAATAATACATATTTCACAAGTCCGGGATATCCCTCCGCTTATGCAGGCGGAGCAGCTTGCAGTATTACTGTGTACAGGTGTAATAGCAACATTTGTCAGGTAAAACAATAAAATTAAGAAATTAGAGTTTACAGGTTACGATATATAATCATTATTTTAATTCAATGCGACTAAGGGAACTTAATGGTAAAGGGATATGCACCAGCGTCCATCTTAACACATCTCTAAAAGCCTAACTACGAGTACAGTTATAAGTTAAACCGCCTACCAAGCGTGGCGACTACTGGCAAAATTTCTCTTATGGGAAAAGCTTATGTGTTCAGCAATAAACAGTTAACCACTAAAAGATGAAGATATAATCAATTTTAAAATCAGAGCAACCGAAATACAATATTCGCTTACTGATACGTAAATAGGTCTCTGAATCAATTCTGCTATTTAAAAAGTAACTATCTAGGTGTTCTTAGTATCTTATTTCAATATCTGTGCTTATGCCCCATAAATTTCACTTTGTCATTTAATCTGTACCTACAGATCTTGTTTCATTCGTAATAACGTATTCTCTACATGGATGTACCAAAATTGGATGACAAATGAGTTCATCAACATTCATATTTATGTACACTTATTACCTACGTATGTAACAAAGATTTTTTTTCTTTAATGCATGATTAATGGAATGGTAACCCTACCTGCGCTAACGGTATACGCTGGCGGGGCACTAGTGAGGGGTGATAGGTGAATAATGAAAAAAGGCAGATCAGTCAACCCATCGTGATGAATACACCTGGAACTCAGCACGATGGTTTCCAGGGGGAACCGCGTGGAGGTCGACCTGACAGAGTATATTTCCAGCAATGGGACTGGTAGCCCGCATTACTAACAATCCCATCCCCCCCCCCCAGATGACAACTGAATCCAATAACAATATAAATAAAACTGATTAACATTTTCCAAAGTAAAAATTGGAATAAAGAAAAAGATACCTACATCTATTACATGCCTACTAATGACGCTGTCACATGATCATATAGATGTTAAAGAACAAAAGTCTGACTGACTAAAGAACGAACAAACAATTTTGACAAAATTAGTATGAAACCACACTAAGTAGCGAATACACCATATAAACTAGGGCGAATTAATCATGTCAGGGCCCCTAGGCTAGGTAAGTCGCGCTTGCAAGAAAACTGGTATAATGTTATTACATATATAGGTACATATCTATCACGTCTGTCTCTCATTACAGTAGGCAGAAACAATGGAACGCCAAATGTTTCGATTCATGCCTCTTTTGCTTCCTCCACATTCATCAATATTTTCATACACGCTCGCCGGTTACGGGTACTTTTAATTTGGCTCTCCTTTAACACGTCGCCTGTTTGGTCGACATAAGTCCATTTAGGGCGGCCCCTACCAACATCTCCATTCTTTCTTGCACGATAAACCTCTTTTGTAATTCTTCTTTAATCCACCCTCTCCAAAAATCTAAACCAACGTAGAATTCCCTTTTCAGTGTTTATCACTACATCGTCTTTTAGTCCACACTTAGGGCAGTACCCTATAATGTTTAATGAAAAGTCCGGCTCTGCACCTAACCTCTTTCGATTAAAAAAGAATCATCAAGATATATTTATAATTGTCGATGATATCACTTAAACAAACAAGGTAAACAAGTAAAAAACATTCGAATTGACTGCTTCTCCACTTTTTTTTAAGTCAGCTAATTAAAAAATACAATGAACCTAACCATTTCCGTGGCAGCTCCGGATTGATTTTCTGGATATGGTGCTCGCTCAACCTGACGGCGACGGCAACTGCGCCACCGACTCGGTCACAGTGACGGGCGGGAACACGGTTGTGCCCACCATTTGCGGGGACAACACAGGCCAGACCATATTCGTGGATTTTAATGGGAATGCTGCAATTACTATAACCATAACTGCAACCGCCTCCACTACATTCGCAAGGAGGTGGAATATGAAACTTGTACAGCTTGGCTGCGATTGCCCCGGTATAGGTATGTATGGGTATAATTTATAGCTTAAACGCATGATTACTTGTTTACCGTTTTTCTACCGATTGAACAACAAAGATAACATTCAAAGTTGTATACAAAAAGGATAATACTTATATATATACATATATACCTATCTTGACAGTTCCTTACAATATAACCATTTAGAACTGGCCTATTTCTTTGGTTTTCCTATTATTAAAATCCTCATTTACGAAATAATGGGCAAAGCTAGTATATTCTATATACATCTTGATAAATTTTAACAATATGTCATCCTATACTCATAAACCGGATGTGTTCATACAGTTATAGATAAACTAACATTTACCCGCGACTTCATTTCCATGACTGGGGATATTTTCACTGACTGAAATAAAAAATAGCTTGTATCCTTCTTCATGCCATGTAGTACGTGTATATCATTAAATTTCATACTGATTGATTAAGCCGTTAAGTCGCTATAATTACCTCATTTTCCCATTTCTTATGTTAGTAAAGCCTAAAGCTCAGACGTTTCACGCTTTCAAGTTCAAAAAATAATAATAATAGTGAGGAAGAATCGTCGCAGCGCTTAATATGTGGTTATAGCCCACTCATATATAAACAATATATCATGAAATGGTCGCAGTGTAACAGGTTATTTTGCCTGAAAAAGCTAATCTTTCAATAATATTAATAAATCCTTACTTACCTACTTATCATACCTATTTTTTCGGTAACTAAGTAGTAATACTTAGTTACCTAAAAAGTTTAGAACGTATTTATAAATTTATTTAATTAGAAACGATATCTAAACGAATCGACCATTATGAACTTGTATAATTTTTCGGTACCAGAAGTACTTAATACATCTGTATCCTCAGGAATGACAAAGCATGAAGAGATTCAAGGTTGTCACAATCTAGGACTTCATGTCTATGGGCAACCATTACCACTTTGTATCATGTAGACCGTTAGGTTGTTTGCTAATTAACTAAGTACTGTAGGACAAACAGACTAAACAAATTTACCTACTTATAACTTTGATATTAGTGAACAGATCATTAAGACCTTCAAACATCTATATATCCCTTCCTTCAGCTCCAAATGGGTGCTTGCAGTACTACACCGGTACTTCAGGGACAATAAATAGCTTTAACTACGGATCAGCCGCAAATACGGTCCTCAGTTCGTCCCTGGTCACTGGCACTCGACAAATGGCCAATTTGAATTATGGAATATGCATCCGAATGGAGGCCGGTTATTGTGGTATTCAATATTCGCAGGTAAGAATGCTTTTCATTTATATTTTATATTGTAATAAAAACTTTCCATTCACAATATAACTGGAACATTTTTCAACTTTAAATTAAAATTTATATATAATTTCTTTTCATTCTTTAAAAATCCTAATCGTATTGTTATATAAATCGTATTATTGTTTGTGTATCGAAGATCAAACTGTAATAATAATTTAAGATTTCGTTCCACAAAAAAAGACTATGGCAATACCAATTTTTTAAATTTTATAAAAAAAAACAAATCGATATATAAGATGATGGAGTTATAACATAACAAACATAAAAAAATACAACCGAACTGAGAAGCTCCTTTTTGAAATCAGTTGAAAGTTAGCTAAATCAGTTTACCCATTCCCAAGTGATGCATTTAACATAAACTTTATGGTTAAGAATACTTCGTATCACGATATTTTCCAAAAGAGATTGCGTGAATTGACCTGACCATCAACATCAACAATCTCAACAACCTCTTCCTTTAATGAACGTTACCTTACCTACCGTATATTAAGGGCCATACGTTCTCTCCTGGCAAGCATAGTGTTATGTTCCTGGTGAATTCATCACGATGACACGATGAGCTAAATGATCTGATTTTATCCTCATCATCACTCACTGGCACTCCGCCATAATATATCAATAGCACAGGCGAGGTTAACATTCTATTTTCATCAATTCAATGACCCATAGACGTAGAATAACCTGAATAGCAATAAAATAGTAATCCACGTTATCTACATTATATTACATTTAACGATCTTGATGGTATAGCTATTTAGCACACCGCCTCATCTTTTGATATTTGTGAGTTCGATCTCTGCGAGAATAGGTCTTGTGTATTGTATGTGTAATATATTTTTAAAAATAATTAGTATATAATTATCTATTTGCTTTATTTTGGATAAAAGGCCTTGTGTAAATATGTCCAATGGTATTTTTAATTTGATTCCGCCAAGTCATCGCACTAGTTCAATATATTGTTTTCTGTTAATATTACAGAGTGCCAACGACGTTTACTCGTTCACTATATCTGGCGACGTAGAAGGCGCGGACAACACAGTTCTCGGCACCTCACTGGGTGCGTCCAACGACGGTGCTTGCTCCACCGACTACGTGATTATACCAAACCCGACAGTGACAGCCACTGGCGTAGCAGTCGGCGCTGACCGCTTCTGTGGTATCGGTTTCGTTTCCGTTCAAAGTAAGCATTTTCTATCCATACTAATATTTAAATTTACGATGGGGACTTAACGCGACGCGATTACAGGTAAATATGCGTAGTTTCTTTTGCAATCCTCACATCATCACCAATATTGTCTATGTCTAAATTACGCACTATACGGTATCCACATAGCATTTGAACGAAACGTTCACGATAAAAATAATATTAAGGTACTATTATTTACCTGTAATCGCGTCGCGTTAAGTCATAATCGTGTATTTCTATGTTAACAACGCGGAAGTATAAAATTAATCATATTAATATTATAAAATAGCTACGCCCAGCTAGTTATAGGCATATAGCTATTATAATTTACAATCTGCAATAATTACAGATAAAATTCACGTAGTCATGGACATGATTTCTTTAATACTACTAACAATATCTAGATGTTTTTTTCATAAGCATGACTACTCAATAAATAAAATTCTGTACGTTCTAAACAACTTTTGACAAACTATTGATTGACTTTCGTGATTAACTTCAGCAAGATCGATTGTAAAATTTGAATGAAATCTAATCAACTACTTTACGGTATATTGTGATTAACATACAAACATTAATACCAACCCTTATTTAGTTAGTAACCAATCAAAGCCATACCGCGAGTTGCACAAAGATTTACGTTACGACTTCTTACTCGTTTACGCCGCTGAGTTTATATTGAAACCTGACTTTTCGTAACCATCTACTTTTATGACTAATTTACAATTATTTTTCACCGAAATGCTACAGAGTAGTAACGTAAATCTATGTCTTATCACATTAGAAAACACAGCTACATAGTGAATTTTTACATTTTATCTCTCTCATTTAAAAGTTGTTATAAAATATTGGTTATTTTTAAAATATGTAAATATTTATTTTCACAGCGACAGCTAAACCGTTCGTAATTTATGTAGTGACGAATGGGGACGAAGGAGCCACTGCCACGTCACCGCCAGACATTGGAAACCGTGGCTTCTCTCTTGCATATTCAGAAATCGCATGTTAAGCCACAACTTTTCTGAACATAAATCAATTTGCATCATATTTACTATTTATATTAATTCATTATAATTTATTTTTTAAGATTATTAATTGACAATATTTGTTATATTAATTATTAATCTTTTCTAAAAAAAATTTAAACGCTTCATGATCTTGCGTGACGTCGATAATATTTTAATTATATAGAAATACTAGAATCTAATTATCTTTAAAAATTTTGCCAATTTGAAAGGGCGACATTAATTATTTAGTGCATCGTATATAAAATTTATTATTGTTACCTTTTCGAACTTGAAGGCTGTATAATTTGCTATTCTATATACCTGTTGTATCATTTTGTATAAATATATTAATTAAAATACTTCCTAGTTATCTACTACTACTTACCAGAGGGAGACTTTGTACAAAAGTCGATTGCTTGGGTACCTCTGTCCCATTCGTGTTTCAAACGTGAAGCAGTTGTGTTTGCAAGGCTGTGTTTCGGTTTGAAGGGTGGGATATGGCGTGAATTTACTAAGTACAGAGGAATAACACCTGAGTCCTCAGGAATGGCAACGCATGGGGGGTATCATGGGCGAAACAGTATACTCTGTTATGTCCATGGTACGTCATATGTACGTTGATCGTCAGCTTGTTTGCCATTCTAAGTTGTATCAAAAAAAAGTTATTATTTTACCATTATTATTAGTATTAAAAAAAAAAAACAATATTACTATTTACTAAATTATTATTATTTCAACAATAACCGTATAAAGAATTAATACTCTAATAGAGCTTCTGAATTTAAGTCTACAAGGCATACAATTTATAATACTTTTTTTATACATGAATGCAAATACTCTACATATTCTCAATACTAACATTATTATAAAAATATATAATAAATTTAGGAATAATGACCTGCAGACCTACAAAAGCCTGATTAAAAGCAACACATCTACCATATTTCAATCTCCTTTTTAAAGGCACAATATTAAAAAAAAAACTAACGGCATAATTATAAAGATAGTAAATTAGAAAATTTCTCCTAGGAGTTATGTAATTCTACATATAACATAGAAATATCAGTATTATTTTAAAATGTGGGATATACTTAAACCAAGTGAACTGGTGAATATTTATATAAACAAGAATGTTCACGACTTGAACATTAACTGTATGACATATACCCATATAATAGTGGTGCAAATGATATTTTAATTATTGATGTGGGAGTAACGATGATTGAAGAACGATATTTACTGTATGACATCTCATGCATGTGCTGTGGCTGCAACAACTTTGCCCATTTTCCTGCCTATAGTGTTCTTTATATCGTCGTACCATTTGCCTATATCGGTATGATTTCTTAAATCCTGAAAGGCTTGACAACCTTCGATGCTACTCAACACGCCATAAACACTAATGTCTGCTAAATTCGGTTGTTCGCCACCAAGAAACCGCGAGCCTTTCTTCTTTATAGCGCCGGTCCACTCATTGGCGGCATCGTACAGTGACTGTCGGACATCATCTTTGATATTATGCCTACAAATGGTAACTGTTTTTAGTTTGCATTCATATTATTTAAAAAAAATATTAACCAAATTCAGCAATTTTACTATAAACAAAATATCAATATTACAATCCTCATTAATCTAAATGCGTAAATCATGCTCTCATAACAAAGTAATAATAAATAATTAGCATTCTGACTAAAAGAAAAAAAAAATAGAATATCAGGTTCTCTATTGGATAAATCTTACAAGAGCGCTACTGGCATGACAACTTTTGTCGGATAAATCTGACTAGGGTAATTAAAAGGTTAACTTGTAATCAGTATTTACCTAGCCTTTAGCCTTTTAGCAATAATCCACATAGCTGCAGCTCCGCCGTACACCATCACTGCACACTCCCAACCGGGAAATGATTGTCTCCAGCCACCTGCCTCCTCAAACCACTTAAATGTCTCAAGAGCCTCGCCAGCAGTACGGTAAACATTAGGTGACAATGTATGGACGAGAACCCGGTCTGCCCATTGGCGCCATTCACGTTCTTCACTAGAAATATAATTTCCTTTAGTCAATATATTAATTATATCAAATATTCTTATTTTAATTAAACAATATTTTTGTTTGCCATTAGCCTGTAGCATTAGATTATTTATTGTAATATTCACTTATTTACTAGTATATAGATATTACAATATACTTACTTCTCAGCCGCTTTCTCGCGTTCATCGGGCACGGCGTTATTGTGCATAATAAAGTATTTATTCGTTATGTCTGTGGTATCTTTTCCTGCATCATTTAGGTACCTAGTAACCGGATAAAACTGAACGACTTCTCGTAACTCTGACGATTTGTCCCGCAAGTGTGTCTCGAGTACAGAAATTATAGCTGTACTATCCAATAATTGCTAAAAACCATTCACTAAATGTACTATACTATAAAATTAAAAATATGTTTTATAATTGTGTAACATTTTAAGACAATGCTTCGACTGTGTGTGGGTTCGATCCTCATAAACATTATTATTCATGAAGTCATCTCTTTATTTTGATTTGAAAGTAAAAAAATATTAATGTATGCCTATAAATTGTTCAGTTTCTATGTACACCATAAATACATCTACTTAATTGAACCCTATACTGTGTGATATGTTCGAGACTATTATTATTCATATAAGTACCAATTGGATTTTTATTAATGGGGGTATGTTTTCGAAAAATAAATATATAAAAATGCTTAAAAATATCAATATTATTAAATACTAAGGATCCAGCACAATTTCGAATGGTTAGAAAAAGAAAATTAAAAAATTATATAGCTTATGTTACTCGCTGATAATATAGTCTTCTATATATCTAGAATACAAGTGATGAATACAAACCTGATAACCTCCATCTACTTTTGCCAACACAATTGGCACTTTCTTATATGTAGACCATTTAATATCTTGCCGGAGGACCGCATCCACTTCAACTATGTCATAGCTGATACCTCGAGAATCGAGATACGCACGTACTTTGCAACAAAATGGGCATGTCCGATATTGGAAAAGTACCAATTGTAGGTTACTGGTATCACCATCGTTTATTATCTGAAAAAGACATCATCATCATGAAACACTCTTTAACATACAGTTATAAAGGCTTAAATCTTTCGCAAAAACATAATTAGTTAAGAAGGTCTTCGCTGGGCAGTACTACTTAAATATAAATAAATACATTACATATAAATTCAAAAATGCAAAATAACAAATGATTTGCATCAAATATCTCATACAAGCTATGAAATTGCATGATCTTTTTAGTATATTTAAAAGATTCTCATTCTAAGAAATATTTTCATAATGTAATAATACATTAAAGAAAATTATTCACAAGTACTAACACTGGATTTAGAATCGTCATAAACTTTGTGTTACACCATGTATAGTCAGGTATAAATATCAGTAACCACATATCTTTACTTATAAATGAAATATTGATTTTGTTCATAATCTCTATAAATCATAAATCTAACATACACACATACAATACAATAGAGAGAGAGACACAAGTTACTTATTATCCAGTTCGCGCGAGCCAAATTACAAGCACAATTAGCTCTTATAAATTGCAAATGCAGACACATTGTGCTAAAAAACTATAAACTTTGCAAGATATTTAACATAGATAGAAACTTTGCAATGAGATTCAGCCCAGTGTACATAATTGAACTAAATAATGTCGCAATAGCGATAGAAAGGAATTATTTTTATTTAACATTAGCAAGTTAAATAATTAAATATATAATAAAATAAAAATAAATCATTTTAATCAGTTATATTTCCAAAATGTGTCTAGTTACATTTGGATATAAAATACTAAATCTTAATGAACATTGTCAATAATGATAATAAGTACCTACTTATATAACATATGCAAAAAACAGATATAATAAAGAGCTCAATACTGAATGTGGTCAAAGAATTTGCCCAATTTAATGGAATTGTGTTGGTAAAACATAGAAAGCTTTTTTTATAATAATTATAAAAACAAACAAGCTACCTGTTGGAAACTGGTTACTGTCACCTATAGATATGAAAGACATCATGTCCTTGATGCTGTTCATATCCGTAGGTTATAAGTTTTTTATATACCTTGGAATGACAATATAGCTAATTGTTCACCTAATACAAGTAGCAATTTCAAAATCTACCGTTTTTTAAGACAACACCTTAGTCTTTGCCTCCATTCTATACTTGGTAATTTGATTTGTCTTTGCCTTTGTTATCATCATAGCAGTTAAACTGAGAAGTCAAATATAATAATGAAATTAGTAACCCTTCCTCTTAATTCCAAGACTCATTATGTAAAGAGAATTAACTTAAGCAACAGAAATACTGCCTTCATCCTCATTTGTCACCCTTCACTAGTACCCCACCTGTGTATACCGATAGCGCAGGCGGGGTTACCATTCCATCTTCATCCATTTATAAAAATTAAAGAACACTAAAATTTATTTACCTTATAATGAGGTCTGTATACTGGAGCCGTTTGCAAAAATGGGTACTCCTCATTTTCTACCGGTGCTAAACTTTTTTTGACGTTAATTTTATAATGAGTATAACCTCCATATCCTGCTCCGACGAGAACTCCAACACTAGCGCTTACGAGAGTTAACTTTACAGTTGACCTTGGTAACCGGCTTTTCGATGAATAAAATAACTTAGTATTTGCTTTTATTGATGGAATAATTACTTTACGAAGTAATGTGAAAGTTGGCTGCCACATTTTAGTATAACAACATTAGAAAAAAATAATAACCAAAGAATAACAGAACAACGTAGTGATCCCTATTCTCCTTAGTGTCAAGAATGAAGTGATGGTAATTACAAAATTTTAAACAACAATTGAAAACTAAATCTGATCTGTATAGTTAATTAGGTAAAAACCCCATATAAAGTCCACCAAAATAAAAGAACCACTGCTAAAAACTCAATTTTGTACTTTATATTCCACCTCTAACATTTGATTCCTAAAAATGTACTATTTATCTACCATATTTGATCAGTTCACTCACGGACAGAGTAATCCAAAATCTTTATTAAAACGTATGAATAAAGTAATCTGTACGCCGTCTATGGCCCACAGTAATGAACTTTATATACGATCTACAATTAATTCAAGCACGCATTTATAATTGTTTGTACTATAAAAAATAATATGACTTCGTCTTAGTTCTACAATGTTAATATGGGAGCTTCATTTAACTGTTTAATGGTTTAAAACTCCTTAAATAAACTAAGACACAAAAATAAATGCTGATTGTGTAATCCCAAGTTCAGATATTCGTTGGTAATCTATAGACTTGCAATAATCTATGGTGAAAACGCAGTCTATGATTAAAGCTATTCTCTTGATTTGTTACAATTTTGTGAGAATTTGTGAAAATGCTAAACTCTAGACTTATTTCCAAACAAGTGTGTGTTCAAAACAACAACACAATGAACTTGTTATTTTGTTAAATACAAACTTGTTTTGTCATATTAAGGAAGGTAACTGTCCACTCCCATCCCCGTATTAACTATTGGCGCGTTAATGGTTCCGAACATTTTTTCTAATGCTTTGTGGTGCGTGGCGTCAAATAGTGTTATTTTATTATTAGGGGAGTGGTTATGCCAGAAGGATGCCGTCGACGTCGCGGTCGAGGGGCTCCGGGCGCGGGCCGGACGGCGCGCCACGGACCCAAGTCATAGCGCCCATGTCGGAGCGGCAACAGCTGGCCCTAGTGATGCAAATGACTTCACAGGACGCTCTTCAAGGTAAGCGGCTCTCCCTTTATAATAAAATCCTTATTACAGTTGCAGTAATAGTGACTTCCCGCCATTTTCCTATTTAGCCGCTCCGACACCAGCAGAGGAGAGGAAGCGTACTAGGCATCACCGTAACGAGCGCGGAGAGACTCCCCTTCATGTGGCAGCTATCAAAGGGGATCATGATCAAGTAAAAAAGCTTCTCGACCAGGGTCAAGATCCAGACGTTCCTGATTTTGCTGGTGAGTAGCCAGACCTTCAATCTCATAATATTATTCTCTTTAAATGTCTGTTTATAGTTACTTTGTCATTATGCACAGTTATCTTAATTATTTAATAATAAACATAATAATATTTCCAATATTGATGACATATCTTAGTTCGAGGTTTTCTTTTCACACATCAGAAGAAGAATGTAGAAATTTGTAATGTTGCTTGTAATAAAATGTATTTTTTATGTATGTAGGAAGTAGTCTGTAGAAGTGATGTTAAATATGCTCTGTCAAGCATGTACTTTAGATATGCACTTATTCCTTTAAATACATGTTTTATCTGTAACAAATAATTTTAGTTATGTAGATATAATTATTACTAATGTTTAGTTGTTGATAATGATATAGGTACTTAATTTTAACATGTTTCATATTATTGCATCTTCAGAAAATGGGGTAGTTCTATTACTATATAGAATAGAATAAACTGCAAGACCTGACAATTTCCTATACAGATTATTAATATCGAAATAATAATAAGTGGTTAGCAATATTTAAACTTAGATATTGTTGAGAATGGAATCATGATGCATAAGTGTCACTTTAAAAGTTTTTGTATTCCTTGTGATTGTATTTCTTATTTATATTTTCAAAAGAATTAAAAAAAATAAAGCAGAAGGTGATTTTTTGTGACCTCATAGCTGTCAGGTATAAACCGATTTGGATTTTTTTTTCTTATCTGAAAATCATGCTTTCAGATTGGTCCTATAAACAATGTTAAGAGAAAAATTTAGAGATAAAATCAAAATAACAGGATTTTTCAATCATAATAATTCATTTTACTAATCAGTTTTTTGTCGAGCACAATCTTAAATTATCACATAAAAAAATTGTGGATGCTAACATGCCATACATACAGGTTTGTTTTGCTAAAACGAAGAAAATGTATTGATGCCACTGCTATTCTTGTTTGGTAATATAGAAATAACTGGTCAATTGTGAGTTCATTGTAATATGTTATGAAATTTTGTTTTCACAAATTGACTAATTTGTATTATTATGATTATAATAATTAGCAGCTAATTGCAGCTTTGTTTGTATGAATATTTTTTTTCTCATTTAGAGGCATTACTTATATATAGACAGATGCATACATATGTATTTAGAAATTTATGAATTCACACATTAACATTAACCACTTTATTTATTATTATTATACATTAACTGTCTAGTACTAAACATAGGCCTCCTTCCAAATTGGGGCATTATGCCAGTAGTCACCACACTTGGCATGCGGGTTGACAACCACAGTTTGGCTTTAGAGATGTTTTAAAAGGGGTACTACTATCCATCCCTCAACTATTTAATTCCATTAGTTGCCTCTTACAACCATGTGCCTTAACCACACAGAAAATTTATTAATAACAAATGTGCGAGATTTTTTTTTATACACTTTAGAATAGCAAACAATCTGACAGCCCACCTGATGGAAAGTAGTAACCGTCGCCTATAGACATAAGCGGTACCGTGGACATAACAGAATATACTGTTTCACCCATGATATTACTCATACGTTGCCTTTCCTGAGGACTCAGATGTTATTCTTGTGTACCCTGTAAAATTACGCCATATCCCACCCTTAAAACCGAAACACAGCCTTGCAAACACAACTGCTTCACGGTAGAAACATGAATGGGACAGAGGTACCCAAGCAATCGATTTTTTAACCAGTCTCCCTCTGGTAATAATATTAGAATATAAGTGGATTGTATGTATGACAAAGTTTCGTAATAGATCCGAAAATGTGAAAACGATAAGGTGTTATAAAAGTACTACTAAACTACCTAGATTCAAACTTAGTTCAAATGACTTACCCTTTGATTAGCGAAAATTCCTTTTATAACATACTCAGATCACTCAGTTCCCTAAAGTATGCTAAAGTTACCTGAGATTCCCTCGTAAATGTTATAAGTACTAAGAGTTTCTATCTTGAGTCTTCAGATAGACGTTTCAATCTTAAAATTTATTTTTAGCAACGCAAGAAATTACCTTTTGCGTAGTTTATTTAATAATACAAAAATATTAAATTCTAAAATTAAACTATCATGATTGTAAAATAAAATTTTTTACTTATTATATATTTTAAGAGCAAAACGACAAAACTATTCTATTTCTGTTTTAGTAGACACCCACAACCTTTTTTTATTCTTTCTACCTCCAATGAAAATTATTCATTGCCACATACGAGTATTAAATGTTACTATTAATTATCGAGAATGTTGCCATGCAATTATTACATCTAAAGTGAACAACAAATATTAAATAATTTACTGATTATGTAGTATCAAGAATAGATGTTTTTAGTCAGCTTTACATACTTGTGGCTCAAGGGTTTATTATACAAACTGAATATTTTGTTGCCAAATAGTTTACATCCTCATCCTATGTGCAAATTAGAATATTCCAGGTCAGAGGTGAAAATTCTCTCAGATTTCTATGAAATAAAAGCTGGAGTACCACAGGATTCCTCGTTGGACCCCATTTTATACACCATCTATATTGCTGATCTACTCACTTCTGAAGAAATAGTTACAGTGCTGCATTAATATGCTGATGATACAGCTGTGCTTTCATGTAACAAAAACTCTAATATTGCATCCTAAGAACTACTAAAACATTTAAGTAATATTAAAAAATGGCTTTAAAAATGGATAGAAATGTTTCGCCATAACAGATAAATATTTGGGAAATCATTTGGACAAAAGATTCACATGGAAAGACCATATAAAAATTAAAACGAAACATGTATTAAAAAGTTTAGAGATATGTACTTGTTATAGGCAGGCAGTCTTAATTAAACCTTGAAAATAAATCCTCGTTTATAAGTGCATCATTATGGGCATACGCTATAAAGCTCTAGGGATCAGCATGATATTCTAATATGGAATTTCTTCAACACTTCCAAAACAAAGCCTTGAAAACTTTAAGCAGTAAAGAATACAGAAGTACATGTGTACTTGGAGATCCCAACTATCAAGGAACAGATACAGAGAGCCTGTGGAACTTATATGCAGAGACTAAAATATCATAAAAAACAACTGGGAATAAAGTTGGATAGAAATAACTGCCAATTTAGATTAAAAAGATTTCGATTAGCTAGCATTTAAAAATTTAATTTGTTTGAGATGACATCTCTCTGGATATGCAACTCCTAACACTCACAATTTTTAATATAATGGATCTGATTATGGCTAAAAAGGGCTGATTGCAGATAGATAGATATATAATTTATTTGCATCACTTACAGCATACAAATAACATTAGCTACTGGTACATATTTAAAGAAATAAAACAAAACATACAAAAAAATGAAAAGAAAGTACATGAAAGATAGAAAGAAATAATAATAAAAAAAAAACCTTTACACTCTTTTTGTATTAAAGTTAGAGAGTGATTCTTAATAAATCATTTTAAATAAACTATTATATCTGTTAAGTAGTTTTAACTAATAATAAATGCCTTTGCAATATTATGCAACTCTCAATGTGCAAATTTAACTCGCATTTGACCAGTTTTATTAACTTTATTTGTAACTTTATGGCAAAATGAGACCCATATACTCTTTCTGTAATTTTACCTGTTTGTATTATGTTTAGTATCCACCAATGAACAAGTCGCGTTAAAAAAAAATATTAGTGTCTCACTGTCTATCCATTATGTAAAACAAGTCACATTTAATATATAGGTATGTGTATACAACTTTTTTTAGCAATTATACTTAAGATAAGTCAAATATAAACTACCTCAAGCTTTGAAAATGTTATAATAGTGGTAGTTAAACTAAAATTATTAAATTACATACCCATCTTAATATATGTGGTATTTAAAATTTCTTTGCTCGCTACATATTCTATGCTTTTTAACTAGTAATGTAGCTTGATGCTTAGTATGTCTGTATTATGGTCGATGTCATCTACAAGGTCGATCCTAAGAATTTATTATAGATGTGTAAATCTATAAAAAACCTTAGGATGGACCCCACTTCATGAGGCGTGCAGCTACGGTTGGCACCCTGTCGTTATAGTACTCGTTAATGGGGGAGCCAATGTCAATGCGAAGGGTTTGGACGACGATACTCCACTACACGATGCCACTACCTCTGGAAATCTAAACATGGTGAAATTCCTTATTGAACATGGAGCAGATCCATATATCAAGAATAAAAAAGGAAAAACGCCATTAGATTACGCAGCGCCGCACATCTATGAATATTTGGAAACAGTAAAAGGTATGTTGTATTTTAATGTAATTAGTATGTACGTCAGAGTTGTGCAACAACTCGATTTTTCATTATTTTTCTGACATTGCAATGTTGTTATTGTATAACAGAAAAAATATTAGGACTTACATCTGTTAAAAACGAATACTAACATTGAGTATGTTAAATAAGACTTTAAATAAGAGATATTCTTAGCAGTGTTAAGTGCAAATAAAAGTAAAAAATTAGAATAAATGTATTTAATATGTTTTTACTGAAAAACTGCAGAACCTATTTGAACAAGATATATATACATATACATGAAATACATATGATCACAGTTTGAACATGTATTATAAAAAGGCAATTCATCCATCCTAGAAATGATAAAATATATAAAAATTAAGTAACTATTAATAATAATTACAACAATTTATTATTGTAATGAATAATTAAAAAGGATAATATTTTTATCAGTGTAGGATTTGTTGGAGAAATATAATAATATTATTCCAAATATAATAATACTAACTGAAAGTAGTTTATCAAAAGTTTTTGGTCTGTAAGCTTTTCACACGTCAAACAATACGTCATATACGAAACATGCTAGAACACTAAAAAAATAAAAACATATAATATCTTTGCCTAGCAGTGGGACACCAAGGGCAATGATTGATTTATATCTACATATATCAATCAATCATTCTTACTAAATTATATTATTAAAGAGAGTAATATAAATTATCTTTGATACTTTTACTTTTGGGATAAGGGTAAGAAGATGATGATGATGTCTTTTACTTTGGGTTGCAAACACAGAATTCGAAAATGATTTTGTGTCAGATATAAGCAGAATTGTAAGATAAAGTATGTTAAATTCGAACAAGCTTGTGGTTGTCATTTTTGTATATTTAATGAACATAGGTCCTAAAATTTCTAAAACATACTCTCTTGACCGTAGACAAACATATAAGTACGTATCTATATACATTTGTGGAATAATTATCGCAATGCATTATCAGACCTCAAAAACATATTAGTACTAGATTACCTACTTTGTTAGGTGTTAACCTAATTATTAATTTATTTTATATCTATGAATAATAGTAATAATAAATACCACTAAACATAGCGCCATCTGAATAAAAAATAAACAGTGCTTTTACTATGGATTAATTGACTTTAAATTCATGTTACTGTATATAATGAAATTGTACTTTTAACTAGACGATGTTATATGGACAATATTTAAGAAAAATTTATAGTGAGATCTTAATAACAGCAATAAAAGCCATAACAAAATATTTTTCTTAATTTATATGGTTGTTCCAGTTTCACACTAACTACTGCACCAAATCGGAAGCGGTTTTCGTATATTTTGTTAGTTTTTCGACTTCTGAAATCGAAGCGTACGAAATAGCGGGCAATAAGCTAGTTCAGCATATAAATATATGCATATAAAACACCCATACCAGACAGAATACAAATCTTTGTACACATACGCGAGAATCGAATCCACAACCATAAAAAAATAAGTTGACATGTTAAACCGCTACAGCACCATCTTCATCTTTGTCTCATAAACAGCAAAATTACATGTTTAATCAAACCACTTGATGACGTACTCCTTAAGAGTTATATTAATACAAAAGAATATACTAATTATACAGTGTAAGGACCAGGTTGGTAAAAACTAAAACAGAGAATTTAGACTATTATTCTGTACGGAAAACCAGTTAAAATTTTTTTCGGAAAATTTTCAATATTTCTGTTTTTTTTTTTTTCATTTAAAATCATGCCAGCTATGATACTGTCTTAATATAAATAAATAATAATATTTTATGGTTAAATACTATGGAATACCAAAAAACAGCAATATACGTACTAAAATTCTACCGCGATGCGCAGAATCAGCTTTGTAAGGTCAACGCCACAAGCGTACCTATGAATAAACGCGCGTTGTAGGTTATTATGCGTCGTGTACAACGTAAAATTTCAAATACATCGCGCTGCATCAAAACTGAGAATCATTAATTATATATGTATGTGTGTGTGTGTGCTGTAGTGCAATTCCGGTAGGAAAATAAGCTGCCGTCTGATTCAGAATATTTGTCTGAATCAGCTGTTTTCATTTTGACCAACCTGAGACAGGTTCTACTCTTAGTTTATATATGTAGAGCATCGAGTCTCAAAAACAAGTCAACCTTTTTGTCAGCTTATTTACAAATTAGCTGACCCTTTTTTTATTAGTGTTCTATATACTTACGCATACTTGCGTCTTGTATCTTGACGTATTATTTAACATATGAGTATTTTCCTTTAAAAAAAGATGCAGAAATTATAAGACAAAATAAATATAGAAGTTATAAAGGAATCTCATAACCATTTATCGTGCAAAACTGTATGAAAAAGTTGACCCGCTTTTTCGAAGCATTTGTATGGAGACATTATCTATATAATCTAAGGTTCCACCTTGTATAAATTCACATGTTTCGAATATTCACTGTCCATTCTATTATGCTATATTTAACTTTACCACATTTTACTGTACGTTGATAAAAAGTAGATGTGACCAAACCAATAAAAAAACCGATTGTTACATATCATAAATTGTCAAGCCACAGTATTTTAGCTATATATTTTATTTATTCCTACTTAGATTATTTCTTGCTGTGTTAAATAATACTGTATTAAGCAACGGTTGTTAAAATTATCTTTCAAAGCAATAAAAGTTTGAGGTTGACATTCGATTTTAATAATTACTTATAAATAATGATAATTACTTTTCACATTAATAAGGCCAGTAAGACATATTTTTTTGTTACAGCTTTATTATTAAGTATTGAAAATTAATTTGGGAATGGTGACTAACCAAATTGAAATCGTTATAGGTCCTAAAGTCATACGAAAAATATAATAATAACTTAAAGTTGATTTTCAAATATCTATTCAATGATTACCCACTATAGTATCTGTGGTTTCTTTTACCTTTCTTTTCCACAATATGACATTCGGTTGTCGTTATATTGAATTTTGGTTATCGTACTACCTGTAGTAACACTCGCAGGATTAAGAGAAATCGATTGACTTAAGAATCATCAAAATCTGTCAATACGTTTGTTTAATCGGCGATAATGAAATAGTAACCTCACCTATACTATCGGTATACACTGGCGGGGCGACCCATATGTTTGATCTCTAAAGTGCCATAAAAGAACGTCCACAAATTAATGGGCAAATAAACTCAATTTCCTCCTTTCTGTCGCGGGTTCGGGTAAATTTTTACGCAGCATCATGTCACAGATTACGTTGCTTTTTGTTGCAATTTATATAATTAAATCAATATTTACCTAACTAATATTTCTATGTCGATTCAATACTGAATTTCATTGTAGCTGTTACGCGCTTTTAAATTAAGACGTAAGTCATTTGAGTTAGAATTTTATACATAGAATACTTTTATATAGATACTGACGCAGTGAGGCAGTCGCGGAAAACGGCTAATAAAAAACTATATCCTGAAATAACTTGGGTGTGTGTACTAAATTTCATTGAAATCCGTTCAGCCATTTAATTGTGATTAAATAAAAAAAAACATCCATTCATACAACATTCAAACTTGCTAACAAATTTTTACATTAACAGTAGCGTAATATGAATAAATAAAATATTAGCCTGTCATCTTTGTTTTGTAAAACGGAACGTACTGTTACTCTACTATGAACTTCGTACGAATGTGAGCGTCTTTTCATAGCGTTGCCACAGCACCGCTCGGTATTATCGCTATGCGCCATTCCGTTTCTCCATGCTAAATGAATAAAACTAAATTAAGCTTTTAAATTTTGTTTCATTTAGTATTAAATTAAAAACATCACAATTATTTTACTTATTTTAAATTTTAACACTATTTACTGTGTTTCGTTTAATTTTATTACACATTAACTTATATATTTTTAGCAATCGCTTGTCGCAACTTAATTTTTGTTCATAACGGAACGCCATAGGGTGTGTTGAATAGGTATAGGTCTGTCGAATGAATTATTATGGCTGCTCCACCCATTACACCAACTTCGTGATGGTCTCACAGACCGAATAGCGTAATTTTATTGTGAAAAATATCGTTTGCGCTAGATAAAAAAAAGTAACATAGAGTGTCCCACGACGTGAAATGCAAAGGAGGACGCTCTCGCACAATAAAGGCGAGTTTAATATTATATTTATTTTTATTTTTAGTGATCTTTGAAATTTCGCAGAATGCCGCACACATTTCACGATCTTATATACGATTCTTGTCTAAAGCTAATAATGACCTAACTGACGTGACAATGTGATTATTTAGACCGTGAATCAACGATGTATCTCTTAATTAGTACCATTTATTTATTAACTGTAAAGGAATTTTAATATTATTAGGGTTATGAGTAGAATAATAATTGCATTTGTATTGCGAAAAAGTGATTACAATATCGCACTGCTATAACTATAGATAGGTATGTCTGAACTACAGCTGATTATAACGATGCTAAAAGAAAGACTTCCGACCTTTATTATTTTTATTTAAAGTGTAAATTGACCAAGTAACTACATTTTTTTTTATAGAATTAATTAAGTACAACTTTGACAGTTATAATCAGAATAATTAATTCTTCCTAACCTATATTATTACCATAAATTTAATGTGTTTTAATTATATACCAACTTGATGAAAGTATTATTATTATCAAAATGTGCTGTGTATTTTTTTTCAGCAGATAATATGCATTTGCTGCAATATATTTTAATAGTTTCTGATAAAAAAAAAAAAAAACTTGTCTTTCATTTGTACAGTTACACAACATATAATATATGTTATGCTCCAATGTATTTTGTAAGAGAATTCAAAAGGATGGAACCATTGCTCCTTTCTCTTAAACTACTGATGAATGTACTTGGACTGCAGGTGGGAAGAAATGATGTCATTTATATGACAAATGAATTTTAAATTTTAAATGTACACTAATAAATAGTGGAAATTTATCCTGTATCATCTTTAATGCAGATTTAATTCTATGGAAAGTAAAAAAGAAATATCATTCCATAAACATCTTGGGTGTTATTGGATAACAATATACCACTAATGTACTATTTTCATTTGGTAATTCTAAGACTGATTAGTAAAATTATTACAAATGATAATTTATTTGATTTATTATTAGTATATGTATACATATTCATCTTATATTGTAAATAGAGTAAATATTATGTGTACATAGATTATTTTTTACTATGTAACTAAAACAATCTGCTTTTATTTGTAAAGAAAGATTTCATAACTTTCCCAGAAGTATAGAAAATATAAAAATATAAATTAGTATTAATATATACAAATACATATTTTTTATGCTACTGGAAATTACAAACTAACGTTTTACCTATGGAAATGATAACACCTATACATGTGGCCTATACTATCAGCAACATACAATGCACTGTGCTATCCTTAGCACACATATATGCAATGCCATTCCTGAGTACTAAGGTGATATGCCTGCTGTATCAGAGAATGCATTATTGTGTAATTTATTTAATATAGTACTTACAAGGTAAAAATATAATGCCACTACACTATTTTCTAAATTATACAAGATATAAAACTATATATTTTTATGAATTTATTTTTCCAAATTCTACATACTAAAATTGATAATATTTCTAGAATAATGTTTGTATGAGTGAGTTGATGTTTTTTTATTTCATATAATGTATCACTTGTTCTTTTAAAAATCAAATGTATTCAGAGTACTCCTATCTTATCAGTCTTTGTTGGGTGCACTGTTTATCAAATCGCTGCTTATATTACTTCTCACCGTTCATGATATTATAATTATTATTCTACATCAGTGTATCTATCTTCTAACATTAGGCAATAAATTGTTCTGTGAATTGGTTTAAAAATATTATAATTATCAATATTTTGTACTCATTTAATTTTACATGTTCATCTTTTTATGCTATTGGTAGATGAACTATAAGCAATTGCTCTGGTATGAATTAAAGTGTTACATTGGCCCTTCCGTTTTAAAATAAACTTATTAATTAAATACTTTTAAATTAGAGATTATACTTTATTCCTGGGCAAGTATATTGTAGTGATGAATAATCCTTTGATTATAATACAAACCTTTATTTGTATATTCATTCACTTTTTTACAACAATACTTTTATAATATTATTTTTTTAAAGTTGGGTGCTTTGAAATTTCCATGTTTCTAAGTTGAGTAAATCTTGATATAATAATATTAAAAATTGCTTTAAATATGTACAATATTGTAATCTTTACAGTTTCCTTGTATTTGATCTCTTTACTGCACATCATAAATGAATCCCATAGGTCCACACTGGCTTTAAAATTGCCTTATAATTATTCTATATTCCAATTATAAAAATAATTTTCCACCAAAAAGCCAATCTGATCTGGATTTGATTGGATTATTTTATTCTTTTTAACTATGTAATGTTTCTTCCCTCTATTTCGCAGCATAATATTAGATAGTACTTTTATATTAATTAGATATAATTATGTTTTGTGGTATAAATGTATATACATATAGATATTACATAAATTGAGTAATAGCCTGACAGTTATATTTGCAGACTCAACTATAGGATTCCGAATTTAAAACAACTCAAAAAATACTATTGTGGAATTCACTTTTGAAGCAGCAATACATACCTTGTTGGGTTTCAGTCAGTGAGCGGTAAAAAAATCTAATATAATCTCTGATACAGTAGTTTCAATGTGGCATTGCATGAAAACTGTTGTTATTGTGCATTTTGTTAAAAATGTTTTTACTACTAGACTGGCAACATTTGGATAACCTGTCACAATTCAAAGAATAGATTTTATTTATTTTAGTAAACTGAAAAATTAATCATGCAATGAAATTCACGTGGTGAACATTTTGAAAATCGATGTTATAAAGTATGTGGAAACAAAAAAATAAATATGAAATAATTGTTAAATTGTATATGCAACTTGTTCTGTGATTAAATGTTTTAGGAAAATAGAAAACTACTTTATTGGCAGCCATTCAGGAATATTGAATTTGATAATAATCCAAATGATGCCACAGTTCAATTTGAATGCTCTCTTAATGTCGTGTTTTCCGTGTAATCTGTGATGTTTGTTTTACTGTTTCTGTGGGCCATCTTGCTTGTTTGTCGTTATCAATAGTATAAAGAAATCAGTCAAGTTGTACCTTTGCTCCCTGACTTTATGTAAAAGAATTGCTAATATTTTTCTGTTAATTAAACATTATTGTATCTAATCACAGATAATAACGTTAGAGCGTCACACGTCGGTCGCACAAGGGATGACAGCTCCAAGAAAGGTTGCAATGCTAGTGCTAACAGCGATTGTAGTAAACGAAGTAATATGGATGGCCTAGCGCAGGCTGAACACTTTGACGCCAAGGAAGCCATTTCACAAGAAAAAGGGGGTACCTCAGATATTAGAGATGGTAAGATATTTATAAAATTTTAATACTCAATATTTCATTAAAAAAATACTGTACACTTTAACCATTTGTTATAATATTTATAATTAATTCAAGAATTTAATGAGATTTATTATAACAATTAGAGGTGGAGTACAACTGTTTTTCTAATAAGGTGTTCAAAGTTCCATGCAGTGAAATGCCTACTATCATGATTAATGCTTTCTGCACTTGTTTATTTAGTAAGATTATACAGACACTAGCTTAAACCAAACAGGACCTGTATAATTCATAAGCTTATGTGAAATAGTCCATAAAATTTATTAAGTATGCTAGTCTCGTCATCAAAGTGAAAGGAAATCATATTACATATAATCATAATATATACATATTGTCATGGTGCTACAAAGATTTAGTGCTCTAATTATCTATACTGAACTACTTCTACTACTTATTAACTCTGTAAAATAAATTGGAATTATTAATATTTTAAAATAAGTTAACTATAACATTGGAAATTTCAGAAGGCGTTCAACATAACAGTGGCGTGGTACCATCCCCACAAGAGGAAACTAGCAGTAGTTCAAAAAGGCCATATTCGGAAGAAATTCAAGAAAGTGAAACGGCCGATGATGATGTATCGAAGAGAAAGAAGCGCAAAGAGAATGAGGAAAAAGAGCCAATGGCTAAACCACCACCTGTAGCACGAAATGGGCCTGGACGGTAAATATAAAAAGTGTTTCTATAGCAATTTGAATAGCATTATGCAAAATCTTATTAATATTATAAATGATAGTGTTTATAAGGATAGATGGATGTATGTTAGTCTCTCTTTCACGCAAAAACCACTGAACAGATTTTAATTAAATTTAGTACATGAGTAACTATATCTTACATCCTAATTTAACACATAGGATACTTTATATATTGATGCATGCAGCCAAAGCCGCGGGATACACCTAGTGTGATATAAATTTATATCCTTTCTAGAATTCTCACGGGCAGTAAACCTCCGGGTCCAGCAAGTAAAACCGGCGCAACGCCGCTAGGCAAAAACAGTGGAGCACAAAGTTCTAATAAAGGTGCAGGTGGCAGTTCCTCGGGGAAAGCCGGTCTGCAAGCGCAGGGAAAGGGAGGCGGTGCGGGGAGTAAGGTCAACGCGCAGGGTTCTCACCAGGTAACAAAAATTAATTTAATCCGTTATATAAGGGCAAAAAATTTACATAAATGTAATCCTAAACACAGGATAATGAAACAATAATATTGTTTTCCCCATACAAAGGGCAAATCATCTAGCAGTTCAAAAGGTGCATCTAGTTCACAAGCAAATAAACAGGACAGAAAAAGTCCTGTTGCTAGTCCAAAGCCAAATCATGGAAAAGACAATGGGGATGGCGATATGGATGAACCGAAGGTGCAGGAATCAACCGCCCCGAAGGTTCCACCACTCAAGATTGTAATTCCCGGTGGTGCAAGTGGTTCGGGAAGTCGAAATGAACAAGAAGGGGAAGGTATAATAATACTAATTTACTTTTTGGCAAAACTACTTTTTTCCTCCTTATTAAAATAAATATTACGAATGTATTATGTGTGTTAATTCATTAGTTTTCAAAAGGAATAATTTTGTAATTTGTACACAGATTTTTATTTCTGATAGTTTTAATTTTATCATCAGGCAAACTAATCCACTAGTCCATATGTAAACATGTCAGTGTATTTAGCATAACATATTTGTGCAGGTGGTACAGGACAAAGAGGAAGTGGCAAAGGGCGTGGCAGTGTATCTACATTACCGTATGTCATTCCTTGTACCAGTAATGATACAGGACAAACATCTGACAGCTCTGATGGCAACTGTGATGACAAAAGAGTAACTGAAACTGGGAAGGTATATTTATTAAAAATATCTTTTATAATCACCACTAAATTGAAAACAATTAAAAACCCTTTACTAATGAGAATGGTTTTTGTAATAAATACCACCACATACAGAAATCTAATCCAATTTAGCAATCTAACCTTCAGGACGGTATCCTATACATGAAGCTTATATTTTGTTAGTAAAGTGGTTAACCTATACTAATTTACTAAAATTAACACTCCATAATTTATTTCCGATAGCCTGTAGTAGAGATTTCATGCCCTAATGTCTGTAATTACTGGATTATCGCGTAAGGTTTCATCATTTACCGACATAGCTTTCATGATACATTATCAGATTACTGAAGAAATATTTTTCCTTCTAAGGCTGGGCAAAGAGTCCTGCGTTCGCACAGGACTAATGATGGGGAGAAAGAGAAGGACAAGGAGAGGACATCCCCTCAGACAGGGACAGATAATCGTTCCGGATCAGGGCAGAATCAGTCTTCTTTGCATTCCAACAAGAGCCCGCCACCTTCGGGCTCTGTAAGTTGTTTTTTAGATTTACCAGTATTAGGGTTAGATGCCGTAATCAAGGGCCGGTCTACACGACACAGACTTGTTTATTACATAGACAAGTCTGTTTGTTATACAAGTATTGGAAATAATATATAATTATAATAATTAGTTGTTAAAAAAAATTAAAAAATTTACAATTATAAATGGCAGACTTGTCATGTACACCTGTAGAAATATCCCGTTGCATGCTTAATATTAGTAACAAAAAATTAACAATTGGATAGTTGTTTTAGAGTTTTCTGATATTAACAATGTGTGTTGTTATACTTAATTAGAACCAATATTTCTAATGAATTCAACTTATAGCAAGATAAAGTGATTTTCAAATAAATTTAAAATAAATTTTGAATCTGAGAATTGTAAGAAAAGCTACATTAATTGTTGTTCACTAAATAGTGAAAAAAAAAAACGATAACAATCACACTTCTCTCATTTTCTTATTTCATTTACCTATAAGAAATACATACGCAGATGTTTACTTGTATGAAAGTTTGTGTCATGGGGACCAGCCTTCCTATCTTAATGATATTAAAGTTGATGTAATTATAACTTACTGCTGCAGAAGTGTGATGGTGGCAAAAAAAATGTAAGTTTTTTTTTTTCAGATTTAATCAAGTGTTGTAAAATATTATCCATTTATTAGATGTATCTGATTCAAAACGCATGATTCGCTCGAAAACCTCATTTTTACTGTCTATTGTTTAGGGCTACTTTCAGGCTGTCAATTTTATTTGGAATATATACTTTTTTTTTATTAATATTCTCTTGTTAAAGGCCCAGGATGGCGACCATGGTACAACAACGTCATCAAGTGGCAACAGTAGCAGATCTGAGTCTGGTAAGACAGATGTTGAATAATTTCTTATAATTATGTAGTATATTGTCCTTATTTTTCAACTTCTATGAAGTTGCAGCAAGTGGAGCCACAGTGGAATTGCACCCTCGCAAAAGAAAAATTAAAGCCTCTAGAGATAGTCATTCCCGTGATTCTTCCAAGAATGATATGGCGTTGGAAACCAGCTCAGCTGCTCACAATGTTACTCATTCCAACCCATACCAAATGTACATCCACATACGTAAACAGGTAAATTCTTTAAAAAAATTGTTTTGCTTTTTATCTTGCTCTAATTAAAGAAATCCTTTAAATGTGATTTCGAAAAAAGTATTATTTTTTTCATTTTAGTCTGAGTGTTAAGAAACTGCACTGTTTAATGTAGATTCTAAAAAAATTACACATTTTTTTGCAGTTAATAAGTTTATTATTATATTAGTCATTAACTGTCCACTTTTGAACATAGGCCTCCCCAATAAGGGATGTTATGCCAGTATTTGCTACGCTTGACAGGCGGGTTAGTAACAACAGTTAGGCTTTGGTGATGATTTAAAAGAGACGCTGCTGTCCATTTCTCGACCATTAAGTTCCCTTAGTCACCTCTTAAGAGATTCACGAGGAAAGAAAGGGTAGTTCATTCTATGCTGGGACCACATGGCAAATAATAGGGTTTACAAGTCACTAATTTTATTCTGAAGTAATGGGAAATATAGCTAGCTTAAGGAATATAAACAGTACAGCAAGGTAATTGAAGGCCAATTAAAATTTTTTATATTAACATTTTATTATATACTTTTTTTTATGTCTTACAGATTGATCGTCGGCAGAAAGGCTTATTTCCGGTGAAGCCTAAACCGCCAAAAGATTTCAACAAATATCTGATGAATCGGTGCACATACACCCTTCAAAGCAACGTCAATCCTGAACCTCAGGTGGAAATACCTATTAATTTACCACCACAGATGGTTAATGAGTTTATGTGTCAGGAAAAAGAAAGGTAAGAAAGGAAAATATATATAATTATATATCATAAATTCACTGTTAATGTTGTGATATCACGTAACTTCGTGTTTTTAGAACCCGCCTGCGTATTCAACATCTAGTCGAAAAAGAAAAACTTGTACTGGCAGTCGAACAAGAAATACTACGCGTTCACGGACGCGCCGAACGCGCTGTGGCTAATCAGGTACTAGTACATTAATATATTTTACATTCCTTTAAACTACAATATGATCAGATAAGAAAACAAACATCTATAATCTCGACCTGCTCTTATCTTGACCTTTTTTCTGTATTAATGAACTATTGTAATTATAAAATTATTTGAGTCATTCTTAGAATTAAGTTACTGACAGCAAAAACATCAAACCTACTTGTTTTTAGTATTATTTTAGCAATAAACATGGCATTAATTTTATCTTTATTATATAACAGGCTCTCCCGTTCTCTGTGTGCACAATGCTACGCGACAAAGAAGTATATAATGTATTAGCCCCAGAGCAAGAGGAGAAACGCAACGCGCAGCGGTCCCGATGTAACGGTAGACAAATCAACTCCTGGTTGCAGGAGGTTGATGACAAATGGGAAAAAATAAAGGTAATTATATATATATAACTGAGGCTGCTGCAGCTGTACATAAGCTAGGATTAAATGGTATTGGCATTAGGTTCTTATCTGACAGCGCAGCAGTACTAAAAGCATTACGAAACAACAAATTAATAATTGAATGCCACCATTCACTGAATAAGATATCTTCCAATAACCGAGTTATCGTCCAATGAATAAGAGGGCACAGTGGATCTTATGGTAACGATGCCGCAGACGAACTAGCTAGAAGAGGTTCATATTTTATGCATGTAAAAAATTATTAATTTATTCTTGCGCCACAAACCCACTTCTATCTGTTCTTTAATCAAAGTTTGTCTGTAAGAGATTGCCTTAACCATAATGCCGCCTTTTGTACCTTTATGTCTATATTTTGATCTGCACTTCATGTTACTGTATTTCACTTGAATTTTCTAATTGTCTTTATATATTTTTATGCAGTAAAGTATTAAATAAATAATTAGTTCATTTTGTATACTAATCAAATCATTGACAAGAGTAAGAATTTAAAAGTATAATTATATTTAATAAAAAAAAATCTACATACTTACCTAGCCCTGAACAATAACCTGTATTAATATAATAAAACAGAAGAGTTTGTTTGTTTGCACACACTGATCTTTGGAAGTTATTTGGAAATCCTAAAAGTATTAATTTACAACTAATTCTTACTTATTAATTAAAAGTATCATTTAAGTTTACAAAGAATTATTAAATATCTATTTATAATGCAATGAATTATTATAGTAAAATAGTATAATTATTTGCCAAATTAGAATAAATTATAATATACATTTATTTATTCAAATTTACAGGAAGGAATGCTTCGACGTCAGCACACAGAGGCAGAAACCTTGCACGCAGTACAATCAATGGGTTGGGAGTGGAAACTGAAGGAATTAGGCATTTGTGACTACAAGGCGACGCCCAAGATTGACCCGTCTCATGTACCACAAATACATGTGTCGAATTTTGACTTGCCCGCTTGAATTTTCAGTTCAGATTGCCTGTGTTCATGTGAGGTCAGTCCTAGATATTGATATATTTAGGCTGACATAACTATTTTTATGTTAATTAGAAACTCAAGTTCTAATTCTATTTAAAACACCAATTGGTAATGCGACTCAAGCGGAGCTACAAAATTGGATTTTGAAAACAAATTCTCGATATGTGTCGAACCTGGTAAGATTCTCCCGCGTCCCACTGCTCGGTAACTAATGACCCTACACTTGTCGTACATACGATTTCACATTAATTTTACGATTGTCAAATGAGTCATTTGTTCTCGAGGGTGGTCATTACACTAATAATTTTAATTGTTCGTCAATGACGGTGTTATTATGGTTATAAAAATAATTATTATTTAACATACTTTAAGTATTAATTTTCATATTATTTAAATTATGTTGCCAAAGGATGATGCCCATCTTGAAAACAAATATTTGACAGAAGAAGTACAAAAACTGACATGTTTTATTATTTAAATACCATGACATTGCTATAATTATTAATAACTAGTGACTCGCCCTGCTTCGCACGGGTTAAAATAATATTTTAAATTAGTATTTAGACCATGCAGATACAACAATATTTATAGTTTTCATAATAAAGTATAGCAGCGTCGCAATTATCTGTCAATTTTTAAAAACAATTGAACATTTTTAAATGTTTCGAAAAACGTGTAATAAATATATAATATTGAAATAATCAGTCAGAAACATTAGAAAAGACGTTGGCAAATTATGCAAACAAAAATTGTGTAGACGTATAAGAGAGTAAGAAATAAAAAAGAAACACTTTTTAACACTGAAAAATGTACACCCGATTACCAAACGGCGAGAAATTTCTGCCTGCAACTTATGTTGATCACTTTTTTCTGAACCTCAACTGACCATAGATAAATATTGGTAAAAAGGACGGGATCAATTAAAAAACTTCACATGATCAAGGTACCGCAGCTTCCCCTGCTATAAATATATATATTATTTATCATTAATTTTCACATCGCATGCCAAATAATGGCATTTACAGTCATTTTTTTAACATTTTAATATCCTGATGAGATAAAAAAATTCACTACAAAAACATCATAATATTTCTATCACTAAAAGCAAAAAGCAGCGAACTTTAAAAAAGAGCAAGCACAAAAGATCATGTAAAGGTCGTAGTGTCACAGATTTTTCAGCCTGAAAACCACGTCTTTTAATAATAATAAATATTTTTCATTGTTGTAATTTTCGTAGCAATCTCTAATTTTTTTTTAATAATAATTTTAAAATTGTTTAAGTAGTTTTTGAGTTTATCCATTTCAAATATACAAAGAAATCTTTTCTTCCTTTATTATTGTTATAGCTGTATCGCTTCTTTGTTCGCGTTAATTAATATATAAAGTATCCTACATATATCTTAAATTAGGATAAGGCCATCTACCTGTGTACCAAATTTATATTTTGTTATGTGGATATAAATTAGTATGTATGTTAAGTACATAATTATATTTTACCGATTTGATCGGTTTCATATAAACTATTTTCCCATATTAATTTTTATCCCCTAATTAATATCTGGAATTCGATCATATCTTCGTTTTAGGAAAGAAGTTAATCGAATAAATTTTGCCCTAATTACATGATTATTATTACATTCTTAGTTTTAGTCTTTAATTAAAGTAGAAAAAAATTTCAGTAACTTTCATCTCTTATTTAACACAATTATGGGATGAATTTTGTGAAAAACAAGTTTTATAAGTTGTATAAAAGAATATGCATATGATTAATTTTAAGTAGGTTAAAAATATATACTTTTCATACAAACCACTATTCGCTCCTATTTTTACAACCTTAGAGGCCAAATTTCAAGCAATCCTTTCTTATTTTTTATCTAGATCATAAAAGTAATCTACTGTGTATTTCTATTTCTAGCTATTACTATAGTTTTGGCTGTTCGATGATGAGTCCATCAAGATATTTCTCTATCTTTATCCCGTTTTAAAACACTTAAAAATTAAATTAAAAAAAAATATATATTAATTTCATTTTTATTTAAGCGTATTTAAATTTTAAGTAACTATTGGTTAAAAAAAATCCATATAAACTTCCACCCTTATATTTATACCCATAGAGAACGAATTTCGAAAAATTCTTATTGTGTTTGTCACAAAAAGAACCTACTGTCAAAGTTTGGTATTTGTAACTTAGTAGTTTCGGCTGTGTGTTGATAAGTATTCAGACAGAATTTTTCTCTTTGTAATATAGTTATAATTTAGAAAATATGTGAAAGAAAATAAATATATTATTTATATACTCTAAAAGTGAACGAAAATTATTTTATTAAAATATATTTTAAATTAAGGAAAAACAAAATAATGCATTACTAACAAATACAGTGTTTAGCATTTCAAGAGTTTATTCATACTCTTTTATGTATAATGTATTCCATTATTATGAACTTGTAGTAATCGGGATACACATTTGTAGTAGATATATGTATAGTAAATCCTAATATTTTTACTACTCCGCGCTATTATTTAAGATGGGTATCCGCCTTTTAATATTATAATTCAAAATTATTCAAATATTTGCTGTAATTATTGGTTTAATGTAAGAAAATTCTCAATAAACGCTATAATTTGTAATATTCTAATTGATTATCCTTATATTTATCATGGTTATTGGTTTAATTAATGTTACAAAATCTTCATTAAATGCTGTAATAATTTTTAATATTTATACTTATTTCAAACTGTTTATCCATATATTTTTTTAATCAATTAATGGATTAATTAGTATAACAAAATCTCAGTATATGCTATAATAATTATTAAAATGTTCTGCTATATAGTGTTTGTTAGAATATAATAAAGAAAAACAGGGATTTAATATTAGGCACACAAATAGGATGTCATACGATAATGTTTCATTCATTAAAACAATTGGGCATACAGTCACTAAAGCAGATTTGTGATTGCTAAATATGCTTAATATTATATATATATATATAATATATATATATATATATATATATATATATATATATATATATATATATATATATATATATATAAAAAAATTAATAACCGACATTTTAATTTCACAACTTGTGATTTTATAATTGTAAAGCTTGTTTACTATTAATTTTATTATCTGTCTGAAATGGTGACCCGTCTGAACTATTATATGCCCAATTGTATGTGGTCTATCTAATACAGTCAAATATTAATAAATATTGACTTACGTATTGCTGTTACATTTATAATTCACACCTGCTTTTGCTTTGTCATAATTGTATCGATGATTTGGATACATATTTTAAATAATTCTACTACTTTTAAATATTATTTTAATTGAAAATATAATATCGTACATTGCAGAAAAATTTACTCCTGTCAAAGAAAAAATTTACTTGGATCTGTCAACCATATAGGTACCTTATCTATTGCATAATTTTAATGTTTGATATGAGAGAATTATAATAATGCATAAAAACGTTTAACTACTAATACCTCCCCAAAGATTTATAAAATAATTGTAAATTGTATTCTAACTTCCTCTTCTCTTTTACACAGAGAAATAACTTCTAATGGTTAATAATATATTGAAAATTTATCTTAAGATCGATTATGTATTTTTAACTTCATCTTTTTATCTTCATCATTTAGAATAAATTCAAAAATAACATGTTTTCTATTTCCTGTCAAGTCTTGCCCATGTTAGGAGGTATTCGCAGTCAACCGTCTATAACGAGAAATGTAAATAAATGGATTTATACGTTCCGAAATCTTCGATTCAATTATAAATAGAACAATATAGTATATTTCTACTTGGAAATATAATTATTAATGTTTAATTTTTTGTATTAAATCGTAACGACTTCAATCAATATAGATCTCAATGTCATGAAAAATGTGTTGTTTTATTTTCATATTATTATATACATAATCTGACAATCGGGTACCGAAAACGAAAACGAGATTGTTAGTAATAGTCTAATTATTATTATTACATTACTACTACTACATTATTACCTATTACATCCTGTTAAGTCGACCTCCACAAGGGAGCCATTGTAGATAATTCCTGATATTTTTTTTTATTATTATTTTAGCCGTGAACTGTCCACTGTATGAGCCTTCCCCATAAGGGAAGTTTTGCCAATAGTTACCACGCTTGGCAGGCAGGTTGACCACTACAGTTAGGCTTTTAAAGATGTTTTAAAAGGGACGCTGCCGCTACTGCCCATACCTCGCCCTCCCTTAGTCGCCTCTTTCGATACCCACGGGAAAGGAAGGGGTGGCCCATTCTGTACCGAGGCACACACGGCGAAAACTTCTAACTAACCAGTTTTAATTACACTAATGGGAAAAATTAAGGGATCAGAAGAAAATGACAAATTTTTTGAGGTTTTTCAAGTGTGGTGAAGTTAGAAAATTTTTTTTCAAGTTCGTAGACCAAAAAAATTTTCGTTTCGCTATTCATTAGGATTGAGCAGAACACGTTGCTTAAAAAATTTTTTCATCATAAGATTTCAAAACTAGAAACTTTAAGCTTTAAAATCCTTTTTTTTAAATTCCAATACGACCATTTTTAAAGGAAATTCAGCTACTTGAAAAACCTCAAAAATTTGGCATTTTTTCTGATCCCTTAATTTTTTCCACTAGTGTATCTAACGTCCTTCACTGATACCCTACCATCATTAACCAATATACCAGGGACCATAAAATTTAATAAGGTGTTATATATCATTTCATTTTCATTCTAAAATTCTCCTGAATTAGGACTTATTATATACATATGTCTACGATTTCATCTGCGCTAGATTTAGCGAGTCTACAAATATGTACCAAGAATTATTCCTGGCCGCTGTCATAACGGTACACTAGTATTATATTATCTGTGACGGTACTAAGTTCAAGTAGGAAGGTCGTCGATTTACTCCAATAGCAATTATCCATGTATTATTAGGAATGGAAATATTGAAACATAGAAAATTGACTAGAGTCAATATTACTACGGATCTGGTGCCAAGTTTTTAAACAAAGGCTTACGTTACTTGGCGACGGCTTTACGTGTTCTCTGAAGCACAAAACAAGTGACTATTATTTGTAAAAAATCCACTCATGAATATAAAAATCAAAGGTTTATACTGAAATTTGATCTGGAGATCCCTAGCGCGCAATAAACTAGAAATAGGAGCCACTTCATAGCTAAAGTGATGTCAATAAATAATTCATACATGCTTAACATATCTGTATTATAATATTTATATATACATTTTAAACAATTTCATTTAATAAGTTAAAATTGAGAGTCACATTTAAATATTAATGATCACTATTTATACATTATAACAATGGCAACTTCCTGATAAAGTAACGATGCCACATAAACCCAGTCAAACCACAAAGGGAGTACCAAGTAACAATGTATGATAAATGTTCATTTCTTAGGTTAACCCTAGTTTGATTAGGAATAGGCCAGCCTGGTGGCGGATCAGGTACGCCTCGAGCATCTAACCACACTGGTGAACATCCAATGTGACTGCTCATTTGTTCCAAATCTCTGGAAAAAAATTGTATATTATTATAATAATTTTTCTTTTCTAATTATTCACAGGGGGCAGGTGGACAAAGGGATTGTTAATAATGGTCTAATATATAATAATAAGTAATAATATAAAAGCCCCATTGCTAGTAAAAAGGTCAGGTCAGGTCTAACTCCATGCGGTTCTACCTAGAAACCATTGTGGTTAATTATTGTTGAATTCGTCCTAATAGGCTAACTGACCTAATTTCATCCTCACTTATCATCCATTACTGGTGGCCCATCTGTGTATACCAATAGCATAGGCGAGATTACCATTTAATTTTTACTCATTAAAACAATGTTTCCCAAATCAATAACTTATTTTGTGCTCTTATTTCTAAATTAATAATATATATATATATATATATATATATATATATATATATATTTTTTCTCTCTTTTCAATATTCAATACACTCCTCAGCAAATACATTATAAAACTATTTTTAAATATATAACTATATAATTTTCATATATAGAAGAGGCCGGATTATCCATTATCTAGTGTAGGCAACTCTACAAAAGCCCCACACCCAGATAAGTAATGTTTATTCAAAGACTATTCTCTAAGTGAAAACTTGTTTAAGGATTAATATGTAACAAATCCTCAATGAATATATTAATTTCAACATATTTCGTAACTTATTTAAATTATTATATTCTATAAAATAATATTTATGACTTTTTTTAATAACACATAATTTGCCCAGGAGCCCCGACATGGTTAATCCGACCCTGATAATAGGTAATGTTAAAGAAACATAATTACCTAGTATACCAAGCAGCTTTTTGTGGATTATTTTTAGGCATAAAAGGTGGGCGCTTTTCTGTCAATCGTACAACACCAACTAGTTCCACAGGACCTTTGATAAATGATGAAAGCCGCTTCTCCTTTGGCTTTTGACTTTGGGGTATCCATCCCCGATTAACTAATATTATTTCCCTGAAAATTATTTTAGTTATAAGCATTTCAGAGATTTCATATTAAATAACAGCTTTGAGCAAATTATAAAAACTAACAACTCATACTTATCATAATTCATGGACATTTTTTTAATACTTACCCGTTTTCCTCCAGTTTAAAGGGTGTGACAACCAACCAGCCCTGATTCTTCTTGGGGTCTGAAACTAGTGAATTAGAGCGTGATAGGAGTTCATCATTTTCAATTAGTGCTCTAGGTCCAATACAAAATTCTTTATCATGTAAAAACTCGCCCCGTACTTTTACTGGCATATACTCCATTTGTTGCAACATTTCAAAACTGCAATAAGGTATATTTAAATATATCAATTTGAAAATTCACTTTCAACATTAAAAAATAATTATCTATATCTCAGCATATAAAATGCCCATGTCCATAACCATCAAATTTTTTTCCATCACCCATGGTGTGAAATAGTGCCTTTTAATTGGTATTACAATTATATTGGTATATAATAACCTCAGCAATATCTACATATTATCACTACTATATCCTACAAGTTGTAAGATACAACTTAGACTAAGAAATCTAAGGCGTATTTAATTATAATTGAAAGAACAGCAATTAAATTACTTATAGATATTCCCTGATAGAATAAAGTAAAAATTCATACAATCTTATTTGTTTACTGACGAATAAGATTTTATGAAATAAATATAGTTCTAGAACAGTTTTAAATAGTATACATATATTCTTTATCATTTTATATATGTTATAATAGTATGCATTAGTTTCATACATTACTATTCATTTCATAATAAACATCTAAAAGATAATTACTTACTCCATCGGCATGTTGACTGGATTAGCATTGGTCTTTGCCTGCATAATATCTATGAGCTGCAATTTCCACTGCAATCGGTACACCTGCCAGCAACCCAAGCTAAATGAGGTCACTGGAATCATCTGAAAAATGTTCCTTTTAATAACTATGTAAATCTATACTTTTGGTGTTCTTATATTATTCCACACAAAGAACACGATTTCAGATGTGGCAAAACTACTTATTTTTATTTAAAAACTAAAATCTGGAGCTATCTTTCCAGATAAAATAAGAATACTTCAATTTGGTTTATAAATGATGGAGTTGTGAGGTAACAAACATAAAGAATACAATAAAATTAAAAACCTCCTCATTTTTTGAAGTTGGTTGACAAAACAAATGAGGAATCTGTGAAAAGCTGCACAACAAATGCATCATCTATGTAATGTATAATTATTATCATACCATCAATATCCATTTCAACACTTCCGTTGATTCTTTTTTCTTTTTTAATCTTTGTGACTTCAACAAATTAGCCACATCCGTATTTGATCTTCTTATTTTCTGTATAAAAACATTCTTGGGACTATTGTTACTTAGAGTATGTAATACTCCAAAATTTTGGGATACTTTACATAAGTTTCTAATCATTACCGACATTTTAAATTAAATACAGTTTGGTTAAAGCATGAATGAATGCCGATGACTAATTACAAAAGAACTGTACTTTTTATAAACACAAAATAATATAATCAATTATTTCAAATTAATTAAACACGCAAATAAAAAGCACCACTTGGGACTTTTTCGGTTTCTCATAAAAAATGACAGTGATGCTGTCTCACTTAACATAATTCAAAGACAGTAAGAACTGTCATAGTGACAGCTATCAAGTTTTCATGTATTTATGACAGTGACAGAAATCTGTTTTTTCTTTAGTGTCATTCACTTCGATATTAAGTTTTTTTTTTTTATGGGTGAAAATGAAATGGTAACTTCGCCTGCGCTAAAGGGATACGCTGGCGTAGCACCAGTGAAGGGTGATTGATGAGAATGAAAACAGTTAACCCATCATGATGAATTCATCAGAAATTAACCATGATAGTTTCCAGGGGGAACCGCGCGGAGGTCGATCTGGTTGGGTTGCTAGCAATGGGATTCTTAGTCTCCATTACTAACAATCCCTTTCCACCCGATATTAAGGTATTCTGCAAAAAATAAAATGAGGAAAGGACAGTAATAATAAAAATACCCATCTCTAGAGAATTAAGAAAAGATAAGGATGAGGTCTAGGATATTTATGGGATATGAAAGGTATATATGAGAATATACTTATAGATATTTAGGAGAAGCAATTGATGCAACTATATATATGTATATGATAGTATTTTATAGATATATATAGATAACAGTATCATTGGAAGAAAGTAGAGTAAGAATAAAAGTTAGGAATGGAACGTCGATGGATCGGAGATGATTAAAAATGAAGGTATCGTCAAATTTAGAACATGAGAAAAATATATGATTCAAGTCCATCACTTTAGCACCGCAAGTACATGATGAACTTTGTACAATACCAAGCTTATATAAATGGAAAGGTTTGCATACGTGACCTAGACGCATACGAGTTAAAATAGTAGTCGCGATCTTTCCAAGCTTTAATTTACAAAACTATAGTTTGAAAGGAATATCGCGTTGTATATGGCGATAAAATATTTTTATCAATTTTCCTTCTAAGCATACCTTAAGATACATATCAGCACAAGTTATTGTCTTTCTTGGAATAAGGTCAGCTTTTTCATTGCCGCTAATACCTCTGTGTCCTGGTTATCAGGCAAAAAAAAAACGGAGTACCCTCTCAATATGCAAAGATGAAGACTTTGTCTTATGTCACAAATAATGGTATAAACTGATTTTGATTTAAACAGACATTTGGGTAGAGCTTGTAAAAGGGCTTATAAAAAGTATATATTCTTCATAGCTTTTAAAATACCATAACATTCCCCGGTAAAAACTAAAAATTCCGGTGAAAGCTTAATTTTTTAAGCGATATTATATTGTGAATGAAATACACTCACAACCACTGTTGTCTGGTTTTGACGCATCAGTAAAGATGTAATGCCATTCATTCCATTCTATGTCAGTTATGAACATAAATTTGATATTCAATTATGAGTCATTTTTTAATAACCCAAATCATAATTAATAATAGGAGATAAAATTAAATATTGATATGAGCATTTATAAATAGAAAAACAGGAAGCTGTAAAAGTGGGAGATTCTATGGATTTATATTTTTGAAAACTTTTTATTAAACATGGAGGTTTTTTATGGTTCCAATAACATGATGACGAAATAAAGATATGTAATTGAGATAACTTTAGAATTAGGATGATTAGATAGTTGTAAAAAATAAAAAAGAAGCGATTGGATAGATATTGTGTTCTTAAATCTAAAGGTGGATCACTGACTTCGATGTGTAAAGCATTGATTGAACTTGATTTCATTGCTCCAGAGATAATCCTTTGATTGAATTAAAAAAGTTCCATAATCAACTACTCCGTAATCCCTTTCCTTCTTCCGCCAAAAGTGTATTTTTTTATGGATGATAATGATATGGCATGCCCGCCTGCGCCATCGGTATACACTGGCGGGGTACCAGTGAGTGATGATAGGTGAGAATGAAAAGACAAGCCAGTTAGCCCATTGATGAAGCCAGTGATGAATTCACCTGGAATTCAGTACAATAGTTTCCAGGGAGGACCACGTAGAGGTCGACCTGGTTGGGCATATTGCTAGCAATGAGACTGGTAGTCCGCATTACTAACAATCCCCCCCCCCCCCCTCCCGCCGACAGTGTATTGGAATGGGTGATAATGGAATGTTAACCCCGCCCGCGCTATTGGTATACACTGGCGGGACACCCGTGAAAGATGACAGATGAGTATGAAGCAGGTCAGTTAGCCCATCCTGACGAATTCAACCAGAATTAAACACGTTGGTTGGATCGGGTAGAGTATATTGGTAGTAATGGGGCTATTTGACCCCATTACTAACAATCCCTTTCCCCCCGCCTATAGTCAATCATACATTTCAAAGGGCTTACCAGCAGTGCAATGCAGTGCAGGGCGATCCCCCGCCCCCTCCTACTAGATGGCATGACGATCTTAAATGCATTACGCGGAGTCAGTGGATGCGGTGCTCAAGACCGTTCCTTATGACAATCTATGGGGAGGCCTATTTACAGCAATGGACAGATAATAGCTAAGATGATGATGATACATATCTAGCAACCGTTTCAATAATAGAACACTGGGATGATAAAGATTAGAACGCCAATATTTTAAATTATAATAATTGTATATACGTATCCAAATACCTACGGAACGCTAATAATAAAAAGCCTGTTACTAATCAGCAAGAAAAACTCATTATCTGGAACATGTAATGATATCTTTAACAATAGTTGATTATTTTCAGGTGCACAGGTGTTTCGATTTAATGGATTAACGTGTAATGTGGCATATGCGTTGGCAGTTAGCAGACACGTAGTCAAGTCAAACGTATTTACTACGAGTATCAGACTTCGGGTCACGACGTAGAGATAATGTGTAATATTCACTACATTTTGTTATCGATAAGAATATATCGACAAGTACATTGTTATTAAATATTATTTAACCGATTTCAGAAAAGAGGAACACTATCCACAATTTAATTTTTGATGTATATACAACGCGACATTATTTAAAAAAAAAAACAATCCTAATCTCCGCCCAACCTGGTAATATTAGATAGTTTTCTTACGGAAAAATATATCTAAATAAAGCGGATGTGATAAAATAGATGGATACTGATCTCTCATTCTAAACTGACACTGCGTTTTTAATTGGAAGCATTTACTCCATCTTAATCTAATGCTAATTATAAAATATATATATAATTATAATATAGATGTGTTGGCAATAAACGAAACGTGGTTAAGGAATGATCAGACGGGGCTAGCGCCTGCGATCCCGGGTTACGTTTTTAAACACAAGGCTAGAAAAACGGGTTCGAGAGGTGGAGGTGTAGGTTTTTATTACAAAAAAGGACTGCGGATACGAGTACTGCCACATCCCACTTCTGATTTAGAGCAGATGTGGGTGGAATTGCACCTTCCGGGAACTGCTCGTTTAGCTATAGGAACAGCATATAGACCAGAGTCAGTTTCGGTAGATACTGCTATTGAAAATCTTAGTAGCTCGTTGGACACTTTTTCAAGTTATGATTCAATTTATATACTCACAGACTTCAATGTAAATATAAATAATAAGGGAGCCTCGTCTACATCTGCTTTGACAACCTTTCTATTTCAACGAAATCTTTACCAACTTGTTAATGAACCAACAAGGGTGACTGATAATACTTCGTCACAAATAGATCTTGTAATTACTGATACACCGGCCATCTGCTTCAGAATTTACGTCTATCACAACCCAAAGCTTAGCGATCATGCCATGGTGGTGGCTGAACTTAAAATGAAAAAACCACAGCGAAGTCCGCAATATATATATAAGAGGATTCTTGGCAATATTGATATGAATAGTTTTAATAGTGATCTCATCAGCTTGGACTGGGAAAGTGTAAATAAGATGACAACCTTAGACGCAAGAGTTAACCGATTTAACGAACTAATTAACACTTTATTTGATGTTCATGCTCCAATGCGAAAGATATGTATCAATAGCAATAAGCCACATCCATGGATTACCGATAACATTAAGATCATGATGAGACTACGCGACTCTGCTCTACGCAGGGCTCGGGCATCGGGAGAGGACAGTCATTTTGATTACTATAAAAGTCTTCGCAACTATACAAGTGGTGCCTTGGAGCGCGAAAAAAAGGCTTATTTCACATTTTACATTAATAATAATAAAAACAAACCCAAACAAATGTGGCATCATCTGAAACAAATATGTACTACAAATAATGTAGACCAGTCATTGATACCAGATCATCTTATGAACCCCGACGCTGTTAACAATTTTTTTCTTGATGTTCCCATTGATCCACAAAGTAACAGAGTGAATAACAAACCCATATCAAGGAAAATGGTGAGCAATGAATTTAATATCACATCGTGTGACGAAGAGAAAATAATTAAAATAATCAATGCAGTCAATACTAAAGCTTGCGGCCACGATGGAATAACTATAGAAATGCTGAGAATGACACTCAATGTTACCCTTCCTATTATTACAAAATTAATTAACGATTCAATCTCATCCAATTATTTTCCCCAAGAATGATCAATTGCTAAAATTAAACCAATTCCAAAAGGATCAGAAGTTAATGATCTTAAAGATCTGCGGCCTATTAGTCTTCTCCCGATCCTGTCCAAAGTAATAGAAAGGGTGGTTTATGAGCAGCTCGCAGATTATCTTGAAAGCGAAAATCTGCTACCAAAATTGCAATCGGGATTCAGAAGTAATCATGGGACGGCATCTGCCCTCTCCAAAGTCACTGATGACATACTAAAGTCATCTGATGATGGAAAGGCAAGTATGCTGGTTCTTTTAGACTTCTCACGTGCCTTCGATTGTATAAATCACGAACTTCTTTTGATGAAAATGTCATATAATGGCGTGTCGTCTGCGGCATGTAGATGGTTTGCTTCGTTTTTGGAGCATCGACGCCAATACGTGGAGATGCGGACAGATCAGGGTGTTATAACTAAATCTCAAATAAAAGCTGTTAATAGAGGAACGCCGCAGGGCTCCATACTGAGCCCTTTATTATTTTTGATATATACATCTGATCTTCCTGCTAACATTAGAAATTGCCAGCTACATCTTTACGCGGATGATACCCAACTTTACTACTCTTTCGAACCTGAAAATTTAAGACAGGCGGAAATAAATATAAATAATGATTTGAATTCGCTTCTCAAATGGTGTCACTGTAATGCTCTTGTACTAAACCCTACGAAGTCCAAGTTTTTGGTATTGGGTAATAAAATGCAGTGTAAGAAAACTAAACGCCAATGTCCTCAGATTCTTGTCAATAACCAGCCAATAGAAAGAGTTGAAACTGTAAAAAATCTTGGACTTTTATTTGATGAGGAATTACGCTTCATAGAACATGTAAATACAAAGATAAGATTAGCATTTTATAAACTTAAAACACTTTATCATGTGAGGAAATATTTGAGCATACCAGTTCGTGTAACTCTAGTGGAGTCTCTAGTATTGTCCCTTTTCAACTATTGCGACACAGTATATGGCCCTAGATTGCTAGAGCGAACTCGAGGATCTATTCAGCGAGTACAAAATGCCTGCATACGTTTTTGCTATAACATCACTAAACGAGAACATATTACACCATATTACAACAAAAATGATATATTGAATATGGCTTCACGAAGAGAGCTTCATTTCTCTTGTTTTGTTCAGAAGATTGTTCATAGTGGACGGCCAGAATATTTGTACGAGAAACTGGACTGGGTTAGAAATAGACATCATAGAGGACTTCGAGAGTGCAGATTAAATATATTAAAAATTCCACCACACAGATCTGCAAATTATAGAGGAGGTTTTAAATTTACAGCCGCAAAAATTTGGAACGACCTGCCTCCACCCTTACACCAACCATTAACGCCATTACATTTTAAAAACCTAATGAAGAAAAGGATTTTACTTATGCGGAAGCAACCCTCGGATCGTGGAGCTGGCTCTCGTCATCGAATGTAGTGCATCGAAAATTGTATATCACTTTTAAGGATTTTTTTTTTTTTCTTGTCACTAATTTGGTATATTGGATTCTTGTTCTGTTATATTTTTTTTTTTTCTTTTACTCATTGTTTTTATACTTGTTTATTTTAGTTTTTGTATTGTTTTCTTTTACTTTTTATGTAATATCTGCATCAATATATATATTTGATAATGAAACGGTGCCCCGTGTAGGTGCAAACTGAAAATCAGCGCTGAACGAACATCAGTCCAGCAAAAGCTGAGTTTGTACCTATTGCCAGGCGCATACGATTAATGGACAATATATTGATAAATTAATTATAATTTGTGAAGAATGGCAATTAATTTTATTATTATTATTATTATTATTATATCTTTATATAATTTATCTTTAATTGTACGGTTATTACCCTTATACATTCTACAGTTTTCTTTCAGCTTCTCAAAGGTTGACTGTAAGAGATCCCTTTATGGGATAAGTCCGCCATTGTATACTAAATCATTTACTAGTATTTAATCTGAGTTATGTACAATAAAGATTTTTACAATTTACAATATAATTATTTAATATTGTTTAATCTCCGGCATCTTATAAATCGATGTTTATTCAAATTAATTTCCACTCACAAATTATAAGAGTCTCTATGGTTTAGTGCTAGGTATGTTACTTTTTGTAAAAGAGATCCTGGGTGTGTTTCATGGTAGAGTCATGTTACATAATGAACTTTTCTAAATTGATGAGAGTTTGAGTGTTGAGGCTGTGCTGTGATGTTATCATAAGTAATTGACAAAATTTATATAAAGCTCATGACTTCTTTCGCGTGTGATCTGAAGCCTATCAAATGGATTTTAAAACATAAGTTCATCCACTGGTACACAACCGGATATTAATTTACTAAACGAATAAATAATTAAGAAGTAGGTTTAGGTTGAAGTATTATGGTAAAGATCAGCAAAGAATACAGCATCTAAATGCGGAAATGTATAAATTATAAGTGCCATTGTAACGAGTAATACAAAATCGCACGCAAAATGATGCAGCAGCAATTGTTTTAATGTATGTGTACGAATACATTTTAGAAAACTGTTTTTTAGGTTATATTAATTTTAAGTATAAAATGTTGTGTAATTATTGTTGATTTTTCTAAATATTTCCCGAGATACTTAATGAATGAAACAAGTAGAAAAGTGTGGATAATGGATTAACACTTATTAAGTTTATAACAATCTCTAAAAACCATAGCAACTGTTTTGTAATATTCGATATCTAGTCTATTATTATCGATGCATCACTATTGGTCCATGAGTTGATATTCATTTAGACGATAAACAGCGCAGGCGTAAGTCGACATGTCCGCGAGCGCGGGAATTACGGTATGTATATTTGTATCTGCTTATATACTTATTTCTAAAAAAAAAATATTAACAAAAATATTCTGTAATGAATATTTCAATTAAGTAGATAAAATTTTTAATATACTTTGATAATGTATACTTAGTGTAAAGTAGTTATGACTTTAATATTTGGTACTCTACTAATCTATTGATGCGAATGAAGCTAAGCGAAGGGATAATTATTTTTTTGTATCACCTTTAATTGTTTGTGCACTTGTATTTTTCTTGTATATTATCTAAGCTCTATTAATTAACTTCAACATTTTCTCCATATGGATGTAGGGAGATCTTTGGTAATGTCCTATAAGAGGTGCAAACCGACATATGCATGTTTATAAACTGTAGATGTACCTAAGTATATATACTTTTGTAAATTTTCATCATATTTTGAAAAGCATTCTTGCACTATAATTATGCAAATACAAGTAAGAACCGTATGCCGGACTTACACTGATCTAAGTGGAATACAATTAAAATATTATTTTTTATTTAAATAACTTAGTCAATGGTGATAACTTATTAAACATAATTTTACGAAAATATTTTTATTAGTATAAGTGCACGAAGTAATAGAAAAATAATATTAAATTAATTTTATTGATTTTTTTTTAAATAAGTATCCATTTTCGACCTTATAACCATTTGTTTATAATACGGTACAAGATATTTTCGTCCATTCTAGGGAGGATCGCATGTAGATCGATAGATATAATCCTTGCCCGCAGCTATATTCCAGCCGGTCGACTTCCACGTGATTATCTTTGAAAATCATTATGGTTAATTTGTAATGAATTCGTAATGGTAGCTCGACTGGCTTGATTTCATTCGCATCTTTTCATCATTATTAACATAAGCGAATACACTATTACTTCTTCATCCAATATCCTCACAGTTACTTCACAATACATTTATGAAAATATTATGTATACACGGAAGAACTTAGAGAGTTTTAAAAAACTCAAAGACTGTACAAGTAGAAACTTACGCAATATAAATAAGCTTATTTTACCTAAATGCCGTCTGCACAAAATCAGTAATTCATTCTATGGTAATTGCATAAGATTTTATAATAAACTGCCAGAATCTGCATTAAATCTGACAGAGAGGCAATTCAAATCTTATATTAAACAATTTTTATGTAAGAAAGCCTATTACAGGATAAACGAATTCATAGATGACAACATATCAAGTAAATAATTAGTTTATTAGCATACAACGTTATGATTTTATTTTCTCATTGCTTTCTTGATTTAATTGATTGATTTTAGAAATATGAAAGCGTAGCGGTTTTTGTATTAATTGCCGCATGCATTCTTATGTAAAATGTGAATACTATAACTATCAGATGGCAATTGTGAGTAGCTTTGACGTGGTCTAGTGTTTTGAGTAGTCATGCTCACTAAAATGTCCAGACTTGTGGCGGCATAGTGGGCCGGGTCATTGGGCTCCCTAAAATATGGTCGAGCGCAGTGATGGCTGGCTCATCCGTCATACTCGTGAACGGGTGCTGCTTGTAGGGACTGGTCTGCTCTAATCACTATGACTGATTTCCTCTTATTAATTGTTTAACCAGTTGGTTATGTATTCAATATTTTTTCTTTTTGAGTATTTAGTTGAATTAGTGCTAATTGGTGGTTTGTATTCACACACTTAAACTTAAAAATGTAAAGTAATAATAAAATTATTTAAAAGAGCAACACGCAAGTTTCTTGCTCGTTCTTCTTGTGATGAGACAGCTTTCCGAACGAGCGGTAGATTAAAAAAAATGTAATGACTATTCAAAAGTGCTTCAATGTAAGTTTATTTGAATAAATGATTTTCTATTCTATTCTATTCTATTCCATTAAAAACGCTCCCATGAATGTGGCCACTTTGTAATCAAATATCGAGTTAACTATGACCATAAAATCGAAATGTCTTTGACTGCAGTCCTGAGAGTATTACTTTAGTATTATTGAACAAAAACATGTTCTAGCTTATTATTTAAATTCTAAGACATAAATGTATGTACCTATTTTTCAAAATTTAACTTATAATGCCAAAAAGCTGACAGGCCATCTGATTGAAATTAAGAATTGTCGCCTACAAACATGTATAATCACTCATGGGTAACCATATGATTATGGTTTATACCTTTAACTACCATATGTGAGATATGGCAAATCACAATTTCCTTCAAAATGAAATACAGCTAGCCACGTTAGGGTGGCAAAGATACGTGTGACACAGACTGATGTCGTAGCAGATAACTTTTGTACAAAATCTCCCTTTGTCAGTCTAGCCATATTTATTTGATTCCCATTCCCTTAACATTTATGTTTTGTGGTAGTGGTGGCAATGGTTGGTGCATACCAACGACGTGAAACAACTGTGGGCGGCGCAACCGACGTATCTGATTTCACAGGCCGTTTACTTACTAGCCGGTCTGCTGACATTAATACATGGTAAGGTTATAAATCATCTTCTATACTTATAATAAATCTGTAGAGAGGTCAATTCTGTGCATGAAATATATTTCCAAAATAACTATCAGAGGGTGATTAGTGATCAATACTGATGCCAAAAATGCAATCAGTAAAATTTTTGTCTGTCTGTCTGTCTGTCTGTCTGTCCGTCTGTCTGTTCGTTATAGAAACAAAAACTACTCGATGGATTTTAACGAAACTTGGTACAATTATTCTTCATTCTCCTGGGCAGGTTATAGCATACTTTTCATCACGCCACGATCATTAGGAGCAGGGCAGTGAAGGGAAATGTCAAAAACGTCCACCCGTGCGACGCCGGGACGGGTCACTAGTAATAAATATTATCGTTATTGTCATCCTGTCAAACCAACAAAAAACATCTCTATTACTTGTCATATTTCGGTTCACTCTTTATCTAAACATGTTCTTTAAAATGGTGCATTCATATTTTTCATAGTCGTTGTTGATAGACAACTCCCCTAAAATAAAATTATAACTAAAAACATCGACCAAACAAGAAATTTAAAAGATACTTAGGCACAGGAAGATAAAATGTTCACTTGTCAATGTTTTATTATTTTAATTTGATTGAGATATTGTAACGTTTGATGAAGTATTTATTAACGAACCTCCGTTTTTACAATAAAGCTTTCAGAAAAGGTGGTAGATGGCCGTATTTCTGGCTAGGAACCGTACTGCACGGGCTCTATGCGGACAATTTTTGGCACTTCGTTCTGCCGGAATATGACAATTTCTGGCATTCGCAAACACCCATCATATTCCTCGGCGCTCGAACGCCACTTCATATAATATTCGTGTGTAAGTATCACCACTGTAACTATCTTATTTATTTATATATGTACATAGTTAATTTGTCTCATTATTTGTTTTATATGTCTTAGAAACAAACAAACTGATAATATAAACAGCATCATACATTGGCTTTCCTGAAGACTATAAGATTGCTGACTAGAAGACTGCTTTCGTATCTATTCAGACTTCACTGGCATACCATCCTTCAAAGTAAAACAAAGTTATACAAGCACAGCTGCTTGGCTACATAAACATGAGAGTATATTATGTACGAGTATATAGATGACTTTGTACTAAGTACTTCAATAAACACCTGTTTTACCGGTAACAATAAGGTCAAAACGTATATTACATGTATAAATTAAATTATTTTTTGATATTTTATTTTCTATTTATTTATCTAAGACACATCAACAGTCAGTGAAATCGTTATTAATCTTTTATAAAAGTATTCTACCAGTAAAACTGAACATTTTTATTAAATAAACAAAAAGTTGAAATAAAAAAATGATTTTAAAGCATCCTAATTTGTGTCGAATGCCTAAGCAAACAAATTAAATTAGAATGAACTACTTTATGCAAAATAAATAAAATTGGCACACCAAATAACAACAACGTGCATATTACTAGCGCTTTGCAGAATTGATAAAACAAGATGAACTTATCACGGCGATTCATATTATACTCTAGTACTAGTAATATATTTATAATTTACAGACCCAGCATTCATATACCACGCCGCTTACGCAATCTCGAGACTGAATCTACCAAGATACGCGGAGCCATTCGCCGTCGGTTTGGTCACCGTCCTCATCGACATCCCATACGATATCGTAGCTGTTAAGTTCGTGCACTGGACATGGCATGATACGGACCCAAACATCTTCGACCGCCATTACTGGGTGCCCTGGAACTCATACTATTTCCACGCAACATTCGCAGCTAGTTTCTTCTTCTTTTTCAACGCTAGCAGACGGTGGCTCGCACCAAAAGTTGCGCAGTGGGAATCGGCTGGGTTAGAAACAATTTTTTTTAATATTTTATAATTATAAAATGACAATGATGTAGTAAAGCGAGATAACTAGGCATTTAAACAGCTTCAAGCTAAGCAGCCTGTAAACACGTTGCTGCTTGTAGCTTAATGGTTAGGAGAAATCACAGATAATATAATACTATACTAGGCGAAATGAACCAGTTATAAAAGTCCAAGAACTATATATTACGTCTTAAGGCATAGGTTTTTTCACAGATGATAATGGCTTCTCGTGACGAATTCATCAGGAATTAACTACAATAATTTCCTAGAGAGACCGTGTAAAGGTGAACTAGCATAGTATAGTACGAGCAATAAAGTTGCTAATCTCAATTATTAATATGCTTCAGATTAGGCAACACCCTAATTTGTGTCTTTATCTAGTAAAAATCCGCTTCACATTTCAAATATCTGGTTTTAAATAGCGATTTTTCTGATGATAGTTTCTTATTGGGTTGAAAATGGAATGGTAACTCCGCCTGTAATATCGGTATTCGCTGTTGAGGCTGCATTGATAAATAATGATAGATGAGGGTAAAAACAAGTCAGTTAACCCATCGTGACAAATTCTACAAGAATTAACCACGATAGTTTCCAGGGGGAACCGCGTGGAGGTCGACCAGATGGGGTATATTGCTAACAATGGGTCTATTAAACCCCATTACTAACAATCCTTTTTTCCCAACAGCGAAGTAATTAAACGATTTCCGTCGACTCAAAAATCCCCTGTGTATAGATATCTAAATGTAAAATTTTATTAAATAATTTTTTGAATTTAAATATTTTCGTCTCTGTGGCGATGGAGGCTGGCTGACACCAAAATTTTGTGCATTTGCAATTTAAATTTATAAATAACGTTTCAATGACGTTATATTTAGTGCCTACTAATAAGGTTTGATTACAATAAATTCACATATTGCCGTTCCCAGAGAATAAAACAGTATGATATCACCACACAAATATAAATTTTCACGAAGTTATCATGAGCTTTATATGTAGCAACCGCTCCCTGGCGTATAGCGAACGGATTGTATTACATCCACACAATTGTCATTTTTGGCGACTTGATTTGGCTCTACATTTTATCGTGTATACTTAAAATCTAGTATACTTAATCTAAAATTGCAATGTTATAATGCGATAGAAAAAAACTATGACTACTTGTATTTTTAATAACTTTCCACATAATAGCAGAAAAGACACGAAAAAGTGAAGTAGATGTTAGAGAACCTGTTAATTTCAAATGGAACATTAAAATTAATATAATGTCAGTTATCATTTTATTCTCCAAGGACGGCAATATATATTTACAATTACATTGACCAGGAAATCAGTGGAGTGGAAATCTGTCCTTATCGCCTCCCTGTTGGGCATGCCAGGCGGCGTGTTAATGTTCGTGCCACTTTATCATCCACTACACGATGTGTTGGGCATCCACTCGGAAGTCACATTTTTCCTTCTCTTCTCTATATTCAGCGTGTTCGTCTTACATGGCCTGCTATCTGATAGAGAAAAATCCAAGTCAAGGTGAGTTTATCGATTAGAATTCTCATATATACGTAATCGATTCATAAATATCAAATATCATTACTTACTTAAACTTAAAGACTCAGTCAGTAATCCTAATAAGTATTTAGTGTGAAGAAGGACGAAATATTTTCATTGGACTCAATAATAAAGCATATTTATAGGCTCATATACAATGTTCTGCAGCGCTGGACCTGAGGTAGAGCGAGGGGAGCGCTCGCTCTAGGTCACAACAAGGGGCATTAAAAAACCAAAGACAAAATAAAATTTTCAGCGCAAAAATAAAATTTATTGATGCTATTTGAGAGGTATGGAAACAGTGATGTCATATCAGTTTGTGAAAATTAGAGAATTATTATTTATTTAACATAAAACTGACGCAGAATTTATGTGAAGCTAAAGCGTTCATCGAATCTTCCGAAAAATAATTACGCTCTACGTTGTATTCGGGAATTTTTTGAACATATTGATCAAAAAATTCTGTGTGTTTTAGGAGTTATGTTTAAGGAGGAACGCTGCTGCCCAGCCCTCGATCACTAAGTTCCCTTAATCACCTCGTCGGTACGGACGATGTATTCGGTTAATGTATTGATCTATCACCTGTCGCGTATGGAAAGCTTGTTATTATCTTTAATTTCAGTAATTTAATTACAGATCGTCTAATTAAACGATTTCTTATTAAAATACATATCATTATCATCAGTCTATGTTATCAATATAAAGATAATGGTTTCTCTATGGGTGAAATTATTATTTAATTAATATTTTACAGATTAACTACTATTGACTACGTGCTTATTCTACAACTAGTCATCCACTATGTGATTTATTGGGTGTTCGTGGTATTTTTCCACCCAGAGCGCGAGTGGTCACTAGGATTACATGAACCGGTCGGCCCTTGCAATGAAGTAGCCACACTCACCACACCTTTTGGTCAAGTAAGAATATGTACAAATATTTTTACAAAATAAATTGCAACCCTGGATTGGCTTTAATCTTGTTAATTTTTACACACTGAATATAAATTTTTACTGACATCCCACAAACACTAATTTACCCAATTAATAATTTATTTATTTATTTATTATATACAGTGCATTCATAAATAATTATAAATATAAATAAATATTCTCAGAACCCTATGTAAATCTTCATAAAAGACAATTTCCATTCACCATTTTATTCCTTTAGGAGTCGATTTTTTAAAATTCCCTACCCAAAGAAGGATTAGGATTTCCCCTGTAAACCATCATGGTTTATTCTTATTGAATTCGTCACGATGGGCTAACTGACACTCACTGATGCCCCGCCAGTTTGTACCGATGGCACAGGCGGGGTTACAATTTCATTATCACACATTAAACTAACACTAACACATTTAACGAACACAAAAACTAGGCCGTACAGAGCGAGCAAAAAGAAACTTTATCACACTGCGTTAAAGTGTATATTCGATAACCCTTACCATAAAAATCACACTTTCCATTTCACTTTCAATAACAAATAGTACTGAGAGCGACATTAAGTCATTCAGAATGATAATTACTTATAACTGTAATTATAATTTGTCACTTAATAAAAATAATAATTTCACTAAATGATAATAAATTAAATGTAGCAATAATTTTCTTGCCTAGTAGGAATCGACCGGCCCTTCCCATAGATTAATGAAAAAGAGCTGTTTCAAGTTCAACCCTCTGTTTCGAGGTGCAACGTCTGCACCCTACAAGGTTATATTCAAATAACAAGGAGAAGGGACAAAATTAGACAAACTTTCTGTTCTTTAAACGTGTACATAAGTATATAATTTATAATGTTTTAATCTATTATTAACCTTTTTGTAACATAATAATTTAATAAATGATACATATCTACTAAGAAAAGAAGGATCCCAAGGTCCGTCTAGTCTGACTTCTTGCTTCCTACACAAAAGTGCCATACGCTCCTTGTATCACTAGGTTCGAGAGTCTACATAAGTCTCAGTATTTTAGTTATATGTATGGATTCTTTCAAACAATTCATCTGTCTTTCTTTATACTTGCCTAATACATATTTTATATAATTTAATGCAGACTCTACTGAAGCGCAAATACTTCTGCCCCGATAATTACGACGAGGGTTACTTCAGTTTCCATTGCGTTGGCGGGCAGAAACCCGCTAATGGACTGAGTTGGTACGTCGTGTGCGGTACTCCGTTTGCGTGAGTATACTCATTTTATACATTCAAACATACATATGTCACACTTGGGTCTCATTAAGTACTTACCAGGGAAATTAAGCATGCGTTGCCGAGCCTCAGGAATTCATTTTACCCCTTTTTTAGATGAACCCCATGTTGTGGTCGATGCCAAATCCTCGACAGACATTTATATTATTTAAAAAAGAACGAGGTTTAATTTAACGGTGTTTTAGTTGCATTAGTAATTTTTAATTAATATATATATAGTTTACAAATTTTCACATTTAAAATGTTATTAAGATATGTTATGATATTTTGTTTTCGCCAATTTTAAACCTATTTAAGATTTTTCAATAACGTGAAGAAGACAGTACAGCAATAACAATCGTTGATAATTTTTAGAACAACATTAAAAAAAAAGTATAAAATGTTCTAAAAACTAAAATAACACTAACTTTTTAATAACAGCATCTTATAAATATGGATACCTATCTGTATTAGGTTATATTGCATAGTACATATATGTATACCATAGTGCATATATACCATATATATAAACAGCAATGCAAACATTATAAATTAAAAATTCTATGCACTTTCTAAGTTTTAGATGAATCATTAGTTTCGTAGTAGTATAAAAAAATATTTCAGCATTATACATAAGTGTAATAAATATTACTACTCAAAAGAATTTCATCCATTAACGACACGACGCAAAGAAATGAAAAATGCAATAATGGAAAATCATTAGGACAGGTAGGTGGACAAGAAAGTCTACTACAAAATGACAAATCGTACTGGAAACCTGAATAAAAATCTGAATTGACGTGCCGAATTCCATTACACTTGGTCATTCATTCCACATTTTTATATAGGTATTCGAAGTTTAAAGTGTTGAATCTAAACAAATTTAAATTGACCGATAATTGATGTTCGGTATACAAAACAGTGAGTAGTTAGTTCGAGAATCATTCTAATCCAAGCATTTGGATTTGTTATTTCAGTGTAGACGTGCTCTATGTATAAAGACAATAGTTGTCGAACTGTGCACTAATGTGACACTCTTCTTTTATTATATAAAGTAGATGATAGCATAATAATACTTGCTGTGAAAGTAGGTTACTTAATTATCTTGTTTCTATATATTTTAATTTCAGAAACCGAGCAGAATATATAACTTTACTATCAACAATACTGATAGTGGCATTTGGAGTGTTCTATGGACTGTACTTCAAGACCCAACCATCACCGTCGAATAAAAAATTTAAAACTAAATAAACAGAAGCCGAAGCAGAATTTTTTTTAAATGAAAGATACTGAAAATATTTTTATTGTTGTAAAAAATATTAAATCAATTTATAAAGACATTTTTGGTTTTCTTTTTGGCAAAGAATATTAACTACACTGAATATTAACCTATTACGTAGCTAAGTAGCAGTTACAAAACAAGAAAAAATATTAAGTAGAGCCAAATTTACCTAACTACATATTTTTATAATTATTTTTACCCACAACTTCGTTTTCGTAACTGAGAAATGTTCGTTGAGCGGGATAAAAAATAGTCTATTTCTTTCTTCAGTTCATGTAGCACTTATATGTCAAATTTTAATAAAGATTTGTTGAGCTCTTAAAGCACCAAGAGGTAACAAACAACTTTATTTTCACATTTGAAAATGGCAGTGAAATTGCAGGATACGGAGGCATAATGTAAGGAATCCCACAATGCTAAATAGTAATACTGCAGCTTCGTGGTAATTTGTTAAATTTTGAAGATTATAAGTAAAAGAAAAAAGTTATATAAGATATACTCTCGATCCGAAAAATTAGGTAGTATATCAATGTAAATTAATTTTATGTAACATATAACAAGGAAAAATGACTGATTTTTGTTTGTTACGATTTAACTCAAAAACTACTCAACCAACTTTAACGAAAGCTATATCTCCTCAGAGTAACATAGGTTCTTTTATATTTTCCGTAAAAAACCCGTGCGAAGCCTGGGCGGGTTGCTAGTAATATCTATAAATTTATATAATTTTTATTTTTTTAATCAATGTAACAAATAAAATGGATAAACATAGACAAATACAAATTTGTTTAAAATATAATAGAAAAAATATATATTTAAAATAAAATTTGGAATCTTTATTTTTATCCGTGGAATTATTGTTATTTTGCAAGTCTGGTTCGATTTGGTCATCCGTTTTGTCTACGGCTTGCAATATTATTACAAGAAATTGTTATAATATTTAATAATATTTTCTTTATTTCATATAAAGTTTATTTTACAATATTATAAAAAATATATCTGAATCTGGACCATTGTGGCGGCGTCATAGCAACGGAGAGTAGGGGTGCAGGAGTGAGAGATAGAGAAAGTGAAAGAGCTGCACTGAGTAGGAAGCACATGCGTCATGTATACACGCTAAACTTTATTGATTTTTGTTATTTATTTACTTATTTTTTTTTAATAGATGACAATGAAATGGTAACCCCACCTGCGCTATTAATACACGCCGAATGGGCACCGGTAAGGGATGATAGGTCAGAATAAAAAATTTCGGTTTGTGGAAATTGACAGATTATATTTTTCCCGTGATCCTTGAATTATTTCTATCAAAATAAAAAAAATCGACCGCGCTCAACAATATCGAGGTCACTTTTTTTGCACATTTGTTACACTTACTTCAGTCTCAAGTTGTCAGATTATTGAAATACGCGCTTTCCAGCATATAATGAAGCTCCGATGCTACCTTAATCCGACGCACTCGAGTATTTCAAATGACTGTTTTTTTTTTTCACTTTTATTTTCATTAATTTTATTATCAACTCACCACCATGCTCCATATATTATTCATTTACCAAATTAATAATATATAGTGCATTTATAAATAATTATCCAGGTAAATATAAACATTCCCAAAGCCCTATGTAATCCATAACTTAAAAAAAAAATCGTGAATTTCATATGCATGTTACAAATTATTATATTATATACTAAAATAAAAAGGAGTCATAGTGGCTACTACAGCGGGTTTGAGGCCGAAACCTCTATTTAGCATTTTCTGATATTTCTTTAACTGCTCAACTTTACGAGGGAATTTAAATAGGCTGCCCCCACACCTATCGTCTGAGTAGCCTCGGACTCCCTTCTCTATGAATTTGTGCTCCCTATTTATACCGATATGACGTAAAATTTTTGATAGCGCGTTTCAGAATTTTCCGCCCAACCCCGCCCGCGCCCTACTGCGCTAAGTGCGAATACCATGGCGGGAGGCCAGGCCCGCCTTGATATTAGCGAAATTGATACTATACGAAGTATAGAGTTAATAGTGTCAATTTGAAATTTAAAATAATTTTGCATTAAGCCACACATATTGCAATGGATTATTTAAAAATATTTTTATTTTCTTTGCTAGGGGACCCAAAAGTGATACTGAAAATTTCAAAATAATCGTCCAAGTGGTGAATAAGGACTCTGTATGAACATTTTAAAACCATTTTTTATTAACAAACTGCAGATAATTAATTACACTCTACTTAGGTATGTTTAATAAGCTATAGCTTAGTAGATATATAGTACCTGTATCACAAGTAACTTAAGGAATTGTGATGGAGGTGACGTTGATGACAATATATTCATAAATTTTCCTTAATCGACAATAGTTATATTTTTAACTAGCTATAACCCGTAGCTTTTCCTGCGTGAATTAGTACAAAAAGTATCGCATGCACTAACATAACCGTGTACCAAATTTCATTCAAATTCGTTCAGTATTTTTGTGTCAAAGAGCAATAAATATCCATATGTTACAAACATTAGTATTTATTATATTAATAGGATAAGTTGTCATTGTCGGTACCTATCCGCCGTGATGTTACAGACATGCACGGTTCGCAAAATCAATATTTACAGCGCAGTGCAGTGTTGGCATTCTGCACAAATCATTCATTTTAAACTTTTTTGACAATTCTAAATATAAATAGATACTATTTACTACTAACCTATGTACTATGTATAAATTATATATATAAATTTAAATGGTAATAATATCTAAAACAAAAAAGAGAGTGCAGCTTCGTTAACCCTTACAATAAAATAGATACTTCTTAAATCGAGTAGGCTTGTTAGCGGTAGTCTATAAAACGAATATAATAAGTATGGGCATAGTTAGGATTTAAATTTTTTTTTAGGTAACTGTACATGCTCATGGACATTTATAGGTTTACCCCTTGCCCGCAGCTTCTGTCGTGTGTGATATTAGATTTCTTCTTAGAATCGCTTTCATCTCTTATACCAATAAATCATAGCTGCTGCTCATGACTCCGTCCGCATGACAAATTTTATGAATTCTATTGCAAACCTCTGCTTTTTATACCTTTACGCGCACTTAGCTGCTTCAATAATTCATTCTTACAGTAATCTTCTTCTTCACATACCAGCTCATCATATAGCGGCTTCATTTCCTACTCCTTATTATTATTCAAGCTATTAAACACTGGAACGAATTCCTGCTCGACATAAAATCTACCCTAAGCAAACTTTTAAACATATAATGCGCTCCTATTTCTTAAAAAAAGACCGTTTTATAAACTTCATTCCCTTTATTTATTCATTATTCTCATTTTCTATAGTATATATTTATTTATTTAATTTATTATATGTATGTTTATATATGTCTAATTAAATGTTTATAATATATAAATATATTAAGTATTACTTTTTATATTCCTTCATTTCGATAATGCATCGCCTACTTATTTCTCGGTTTGCCCAATAGTTAACACATACGCACAACGGTCCAAATGAGAAACTAAGAGTGGAAAAGAGACTACATATACATAGTTTATGTACATAGTTTCACTGTGCATAGTTTCACTGTGCATTAAAGTTTTAATAAATAAAATATACATATATACACATATATATATATATATATATATATATATATATATATATATATATATATATATATATATATATATATATATATTAACGTATATGAAAATGAATTAAGGTTCTACACGATTGTCCGTATGCAAAAACTTCAAATTATTCAGAGACCTATAGGTAGGGTTATGCTCGGAGATCCTTTGCGTCACAGAATCCGCTATGAGGATATCCGCGAAAGAACCAAAGTCACCGACATAGCCCGAATGATAAGCGAGCTGAAGTGGCAATGAGATGGTCACACCTGGCCCTTTTAAATGATATCATTTGGACTAGTAGGCCAATTTTGAGATTTTGATTATCCATTTTGGATCCTGTAGTGAAGAAAATAAACATAATTTTTCAGTTACTTCCATTGCAATATGTGCAGACCAAAGATATGTAAAACTATTCCAAATTTCAAATCAATAGCTTAAGTAGTTGCTAAGATATAATACTTTGACAGACAGATGGTATGGTGGTGGTGGTCCTTTGTACTTTTTTGGTGGAAAACTCTAAAAATTAGGCAAAAATAAATCCACTTCCGTGAAAGCAAATAAATATGTTTTCCTAATTTTGCTTAATTTTATTATAAGATTGTATCTTAATAAGTGATAACATGTGTAATTGTTGTAAAACCTGTGGTGCAAATTTGAAGCAAATATTTAACTTAATCGATAGTAATTTTGTAATATTAAAACTATTTGTATGGTACTGACTGGTGCTAAACATAAATATCTTATCCTATTGAGACTATAATGTCTTGGAAAGACAAGTGCGAAATGAGTGTTTCACTAATTCGTTCAATGTAAAAGTGAAATTAAAAATATAATTTCTATCTTAATAAGTTACTCACAAGCTGGTAATAATATGCGCCTTATTTTTTTCATTACAATAATATTTAAAAATTGAAATAAATGAATTAAACTGGTGGAAATATATACTTACCTACATTATTCTAATTATTTAAATATCTAAATCTCCGGCATCAAATCAAATTAATCAATGTGACAACGGCAAAAAACTTGTTCCCTGTCATATCCGATTCTTCAGTGTCACGTAAGCATGTCTAATATTACGTTCACCACAATGGCAATAGTCAACAAACGCTTCTGACTACCCTATTAAGCATTTTAATCGTGAGTATATATATTTTTGTTATAATTCTTAAAATTAAAAGATACATATTGCCGTGCGGTCCCGGCATAGAATGGGCCACCCATACCTTTCCTGTGGCTATTGTAAAAGGCGACTAAAGGAAACTCAATGGTCGAGGGACAAGCAGCAGCATCCCTCTTAAAACATTACCAAAGGCTAACTGCGGTCGCCGACTCGCCTGCCAAGCGTGGCAACTCAGTTCAGTAGTGGATAGTTAACGATTATTATATTTTTAGAAGCTTTTATTTAACTTTATTTAGTAGGTTAGGGCTAACGAATAGGTATCCATTCATTCAATTTTCAACCTATTGTGTAATCCACGTGAATTACGAGTATGATAACAATTCTGTCGTTTTTAGTTTGGTGCCCAGAGTCTAACGAAAAGCCTAAAGGCTATAAAATATTGTTTTATTGACGTTATATATTATAATATTAGGTAGTAAAATAGTGTAGGAAATGGTAACTGTCGGCAATACATACGATATTACTCATATATATATATAAGCCATGTGGTTCTAGCAAAGAAGGCCACCCTTTACTTTCCTGTGGCTGTCGTAAGAAGCGACTAAGGGAGGGCGAGGGATGATCAAAAGCGCCCTTCTTAAAACATCTCTAAAGTCTAACTATGGTTGCCAATCTGCCTGCCAAGCATGGCAACTACTGGCAAAACCACCTAAGGCTTGCGGCTTATGTTTAGCAATGAAAAGTTAAAGGCTGGTATGATGATGATGATTATTATTATGACTTCATTGGGGCTCCGATGATTTTGCCAATGTTAAGGTAAGAAAAGACACTGCAATTTTATCGGTGATGTGATGTTTGTCCGTGTTTGTTGAATATCCTCACCAGTGATCTTTCAAGAAGAATGGCTAATGAATGAAAACGAGGTATATCTATCTAATATGCCTCTTATAATAGTTATTACAGGTCGCGACCTTAAAATGATTAACTGACGATTTTTAGAGTCGCAAACATAATTGTGCTACCTTAGTGATATAATTATTATAGTATATAAAACATATTTTTAGAGTAACTGTAATTGTAGGTAAAGTGATTGTAGGTAGACTGTAATGTTCGTTTTGTTGATAAAGTATAAGTGTAGTATAAACGTGTCAAATGTTTATATTACATTGTGTTTGATAAGGGCTCCATAAAATAAAATGATTGACAACCCATTTCAATAGCATTATTATTTAATCACTTTCAATGATATGTTCGTTTCAACATACAATCACAATAACATCCCTTACCGGCTAAATCACTACACAAATTTAGTGCCAATATTTTTTTATTCCTCTGGTAATGTTTATAGACATCGATGAAAACAAGTCAGTGGGTACAATTTTATCGGGTACAGCAGAAAGGATACAACAGTCTGAAATTTTAGGTCTAAAACATCTAGATAGAATTTATTTTCGCCAAAAACTGCCTGATTGACTTGTTTTGATAGAAAATGGCGTATTTTTAATATTGCTCAATCTAGTAAGTAGTATTTTTTTAGCATATAAGTCCTCATATAATTTATTTATATTTGCTATGTTAACAATATTTTACTTTGAGGTTTTCGTACGCGCTGACAAGACATGTTTGCAAGAAATGTTTGCAACAGTTTTTGACACTCGACACTATCTAGATATATCTTTGAAATCCAACATTAGCATTCAATAAAATGAACAACTTACCGTAAACAAGCTCGAAGGTTGAAATAAAAATATGTTTCTTCAGACAATTCACGTGAACTAGTCTGAAGATTCAAATGTTTTTGTTACCGATCCATTCTTGTATAAAGTTGTTCACCTTCTTGAACGTCACTTGTTAGTTTTCAGATTGTTAGGTATTCTTTTTGCTACACCATGTATAAAATATTCGTCGGTAAATAATGTCCTTCGCAATACTCTTAAATTTTTAAATAAGCAACGCTAATATCGGCAACATTAGGTACATTATATATTCATTATTAAAAATAAACACGTACTTATGAACATAAAACCGAATATATAAAAGTATCATACGCTTCAAATAACAGGGCATTATTACCTATAATAAAAAAAAGTTTATCAAAATTATGTAAACACCTTAATAAACCTATTCCCATTTGTATACACATATTTTTGAATTTTAATAGTATAATAATAATTATAAAATTCGATACTATAAATGTTTTATTAGGTACATACAAGAAATTGAGCATCTTATAAAGGTCTATTTAGAGATGTTTGTGTAATTCAGAACTTAACAGTTTATTTAAAGAAATAAATCAGGATCTAAGAGTATCTCGACTAAGTCATACATGTACCTTACTGATGTCAATGTCGCTTGATTTGTAATAAAACACCGAGATATTTTTCATAAATTATCTTTGTGACTTCTAATTTACCAGCTTCTAATGTAACATTATTAAATAATTACGTTGTCTAGTACCTATTTTACCTCAACGTATTTTTATCAACTGTATGTTCGTCCAATCAGAATGATTCTAGGTCCCTGTTGTAACACACCTACTATAAATATATTTTCTTAGTGTAGATACAAGTTAGTCATTCTAATAACATACTACATCAAAAAATATGACTAACTTTTCACGAGACTTTCTCAAAAAAAGTTGCACCTAACTATTTACCTACACAATAACATACGAAGACATATATTAGATTAAATAGTTTGTTTAACAAATGAATAGACGTAACATAATCGGCTAACAATTATTGCGATGTTATTTATATTAGTAGGTACATGAAAGTAGGTAGGCATATAGTTTCGAGTACAATTTCATTTAACCCTTTTCATTTAAATAACTTTATTTGGATAATCTTTAGGTAATATATTAAACAATGCATTACAATCATATTTGTCATTAATTATTGAATTAAAGGGAACTGAAAAGACGAGAGGATTAAATTGAGTGTTTCATCAAAAAATTAAATGTCATTCTTTCTTTCTATTTTCTTAAATTAGATATAACATAAAAAACAAGGCAGTATAAAAATATTATTTGTAGCAGGCAGTAAGTGCGCTATTGTTTACTGTAACCATTCCAACAAGCTTGACTATATATTTACTATCCAAAAATAATTAATATTTTCGCACCAGCATTTATGCACCAGCATATATACCTACTGCAAAAGCACAAAATGAAGCCCACATAAGTATAACTACGTATATTGTGCCAACAGATATATATATAAGAATATACAACTCATGTACTAAGTACTATAAATGTTTAATAAGTACATATGGATATATTTTAAGTATATTTAGGTATAAATAAAGTCTTAAATAGAGGCAAAGCTTAAAATTTAGTATATCAAGTTTTCTTGTAGACACATTTATTGCTGGCTATATGTATATAATGATGTATTTTATACTTATCCATAGAATATATATACTCTCTTAATAGGTATAAATAGAAGAAAGTATACGTCGACAACAAGTATATGATATTAATTACAATGAAACCTGTATAACTGGATCTCAAGGGACCTAGTATTTTTTATCATTTATAAAGATTTCTCATTCATCCAGTTCCCCAAATAGGTAGGTTTAAAATGACAGTTGTCTTAATTATAGGAATATTTTTATTCCGTACCTTTTTTATCCATGTTGAGAGACATTTTCAAGTTTCGGATACTCTGCTGGTCGTATTCGTTATAGTTTTCCTTTTCCGTCAATCTACTGATAACAAGTTTTCTTCTTATTTTAAATAATTATATAAAGAGTTGACTTTTGTAAATTAATTATAGTGTATAGTACGTCACGCGACTTTCCACTATCATAATCCAATAACAATTTTATCAGCGGCTGTTAACGAATTATACTTTCGTTTCGATACAAACACTTAGATAGTATTGAAAAACAAAGTGAGTATAGAAGAAATTGAAATATTTGTAAAAAAACGTATTATAACTTGCCCAAACCTGGACGACAAAGTTCCAATCCAGTAAACATCGTAAAAGCTAAGCTTTCAAACCTCAATTGACAAGGTTTAAAAAATTCTTGTGACAAAGATCTTTCAATGCAAATGTGTCGGGACCTCATTGTAAGTATAAATAGCCGAGGTTTCTCACATACCCACGGCCCACTTAACCAGGTTTCACTGTATATACCTAATATATGTATATTGTGCATCACAAATAAGTGCAGTTAAGTACATTTCCTACATCAATCGCATATTTAAATAGAACAACAACTTTAATATTATTATTACTGTGCATCTAAATAATGGAACTTGAAAACAAATAAAAAAAACTATATATTTATTAGAAAATTATAATAATTACACAATAAGCACCAAAAATGTTTGAACAGAGATTTAAAAATATTTTCTTACAATATTGTATTATTTTTCATATATTTCATATAAACAAGTATTTGGGTACCTACTTACAATATTACTATGGAGGGTAAAGGTAAGGAGGTAAACCATCTCTGTGTATGAAAAAAAAAAACATCCGACAAAAAGCGTTAAATAGCTACCATATAATAAGTATTCGTAAAATTCATATAAACTTCCCACATTTCGCGCCGCATCCACAGATTAGAGACACTATGTCTAATGATGCCGCGAAAGGCACCATTAGTGGCGTCCGAATTCGCCGTTACCCCCGCACCAACTACCCCACCTTATTTCCCTCAAAATTTTTAATTTATATTTAAATTTTGTCTACAAATTATTATCAAAATTGATTAATTATTAACAAATTGGCAAGTCCTGTGATTTATATGGAGCGCACTGGAGAGATACTCCAAAGGGATTGCAACTTTGTTTACAGGGTCCTTATTTTTTAATCGATTTGGATCTAACTTTATACTGCACTGCGCATATCGTCATAGTCGTAGAATACTGACGGATCTGACAAATATTACATATAAATATCCGTCGGTATTCTACGACTATGACGATATATGCTATCATGAATATATAAAATAATTGTCCTTACCTTTGCCGTCCATAATTATCACTAAAATTAACGTCATTTACCCATGACGAAATTGTAATTTATAAACTGAATTAGTGTTCTCATATTATAAAATGTAGTCAGATTTTAGGTCATCTACTATCTAAGGATACAAATATTAAGGCATTACAATAAGAAAATTTAATGTCTGATTTACATTTTCCCAGTAGCAGTCAAGTGATGTACCGTATATCGATATCTGTATCCTTTTAATAAAAAAAAATATTTTTAATATTAAATCTAAACTTCTTTTAGATATTGTTTTACTATTTAAAGGAATACTACTCTTAACATATAAACATAATCTGTGCTATTCCATGTTATTTCAATTAAAAAAAAACGCGCACAGTACAACTCGAAATATAATTTGTATAACACAATGTTTTGTTTCATGAAGGATAAGGAATTGTTAGTAATAGGGACTAGCGGGCCCATTGACAGCAATAGGTTGATATCCATACATATACACTCTGTTCCCCTTAGAAACTGTCATGATAAATTTTTGATGAACTCGTAATGGGTAAGACCTGCTTTTATTCTTATCAACCATCCGCCACTAATGCCCTGCCAGCATATGCCAATAACGCAGAGGGGATTACCGTTGGCATCCATTGAAAAGAACGATTAACGATCCAGTACATCACTACTTTTTTTATACCACTGAGGTGGCAAACAAGCATACGGCCCGCCTGATGGTAAGCGGTTATCGTAGCCTATGAACACCTGCAATACCAGAGGTATTACGCGCACGTTACCGACCCTGAAGAAACCTCTTTACCCCCTTTTGAAGACTGTTATGATACTTGACTGTTATGTAACTACAATAATATCATCAAGAATTGTACTTAATGCTACTGGAATAATGCAAACGAGGTGTTAAGGAATAATAATAACAAATGTTTTATGGGTAGACAATAATCGAGTTAGAATTGAGAATATAAATATTTGATACTACTCTCAGTGACATATTTCTCAGAAATATATCCTTGAACGTAATTATCAATTTTTTTTTTAAAAAAAATGCCTAAGAAAGTAAACAAATATGTTACATCCTAGCTACTACATATATTTACGATTTTATGTAACAAAAACAAAAGTTTTAGGCAATTTTTACCACAGTCACATACAACAAGAATAATATAATATCAAATAACATTATATTTTGACAAAATAACAAGCATATTATCTAAACTATTGACATTATTTCTACAATAAAAGGTAGTCTATTCGGAATGCTAAATATTTTCAAGGAATTATCTTCTCAACAAAATTGCTCTCACAGAGGCCAAACAACTAAATACATTTTATATATTTAGTTTTCTTTATAATTTAATCAACAATTCTCGATTGAAAAAAAAAATATATTACATACAATTTGTACTAAAACATTTTTAAACAGATACAACTGAACTTAAGAATATTTTTATGTCATAATAAAATCTATTTTACGATCTGTTTACACAAATAATGGCAAAGAATGTTCACAGCCAATTCTAAAGTAACCGATAAACATTACATATACAACAAAAATAGTATTCAGTAAAAAAATGTATACCACATTTTAAAAACATTGTGCAACACTTATTAAGTTAAACGAAGTCGATACAATTAGGTATATATACTTACAAGGCATAACGGAAAGGGCAAAACATTGAGAAATTTAGCAATAATATAAGCGAAACTAAATACCTTTTTCCAATGCACAAAAATATAACTGTGTAATGCATACTGGTCATTGGCAATTAATTCCATCTATACTAATCAGTAGGTACTATACATACTATGACACAAAAAAAAAATTCAGTAAATCAATTGTAACAATTCATAGACATTAAAACAATAAAAAAAGAGCACAGCTTGTGTAAAGAACCAGTTTTCCTTTTCAGACTTTCGTCCTGTTCGTTGACAGACGTGGATAAATTTATTCAGTTTCTTAATATATCAACGAAGAATTTGAATGCCCTTTCTGTGACACTCTGTACAGTATATTATCCTAAATCATTTACACCTATGTATAACACATATTTATATGCGATCAACTATTTAAAATATTATAATTTAATTACAGACTTATGCACTTCAGGCAAAGAACACTTTAAAAGGTACACAGCTAATAGGATGCTTTTACTTTTCACAAGGTTCGTCTAGGAATAAGTAACGAGATTATGTATTTAAGCATAATTCAAAGATAGGAAAAAACTTAATTACAATGGATGCCACTATATTTCAATTTTTTTTTTCTGTTATGATAAATGGCAGGTAAATAAAAATTTTGCAGTCAAGATATTTTATTAGATACTTATCAATTTGCATTAATACTATTAAAAACATGATTAATTCAAAAATCATCATTCGGTATCATATTTAGAACAATATATATCCCTATATTAATATGTATAAGTAATATACAAAAGTAATATATTAAAAAAAATAACGAAAATATATCAATATTTATAATCAAAACCAATTATAGTCCAAAATATAGGTATTTTACAATAAACTAAATATTTGCCAAGTATTAGTGACCTGTATTGATTGCTTGTTGCTCTACCAGCAATATGCCTGTAATATTAGCTCTAACGACAACGCAGTGAGCCGAATTTCGTAAGAAACTTATAAGGCTAGCTCATTGGTATTCATGTAGAAGAATTCGTTTTACAAATACGTACTATGGATTGCCATTGGGTCGATCAACGCCATAACTAATTACGAAATATATTCATAGCGATTCAATTGTTTACAGTTGTGCTGAGGTTTAGCTACGCAATAAATTATCATAAAAAAAAACTCACACCATTTTCGTTTGAGGTTGACAGGTACCACCACAAAATACCATTTACTCCCATTCTAACATAATAATGGATTTCCCCACATTCACGCACAGACTCATCGATTATTCAGAAACTTGTCGATATTTTCACAGAATAAAAATATCCAAATCAATTATAAATATTAAATCGCAATGCGCGATTGAATTAAACCGGCATAAAGAAATAATAGGTAAATGACAAATAAAATATACGTAAGAGATTTCCTTTAATATACTACTGAATTGAAGCGGACGGATCTTATCGAAAAAAAAATGTTTACGTATGCATCAAGGAATTAAAATCATAAATGCCTAATAAATAAATTAGGAACAAAAAGTCGACAATTGCCATCTAAATTCAAGTAGATAATTCTAAATCACATTATGGCCTATTTTTGAAAAGCTCGTCAACAACTCCTGGGTCTGCCAATGTCGACGTGTCTCCTATATCCTTGTCCCCGAGAGCCACTTTTCTAAGTATTCTACGCATGATTTTGCCTGACCTAGTTTTGGGCAGGCCAGGTGCATACTGAATTACATCAGGAGCTGCAAAGGCACCAATCCTTTGCCTTACGAGTTTCTTCAAGCAAGCCACCAAGTTGTCATCAAATTTTGCTCCCTCGTTCAGTATAACGAAACAATACAACGACTCTCCCTTTATAGGGTGAGGCTTAGAAACGACTGCTGCTTCCGAGACTCTAGGTTCTTCTGTTAAAACGCCTTCTACCTCAGCAGTGGACATGAGATGTCCAGATACATTAAGCATGTCATCTATGCGGCCTGTCACCCATAAAAATCCATCTTCGTCTCTTCTAGCCCCTATAAAAAAACGTCAAATTATTAACCAATCTCGAATAAAAAGTTAAATTTTTAAGGTGTCTTTTATAAATTTTAAATAATAGGAAATATTGTATTGTATAGTATAATATAATCTACATTTAATTACTGCAATATCGTTTGCAACTAAAAATCTGTAATATTTCTATTTATTTATTATTTTATATTCTTACTTATTATTATTATTATTATTTCAAGTAGCGCTAGGAATGTGTCATAAAAAAGATTGATAAAGAAATAGGTGCATTCTGTAATTCGGTATCTACAAAATATCGAAAGCTACATGGTTACCGTTTGGGTTAATGAACTGGCAATGCTAATTTAAGAAGCATACATACATATATCAAGACTAATACAAATACGATACTTATATTTATAGTTACATTGTTTAAAATTCAGGGGCTAAGTTTTAAATACCGTTATGAGGATTCAGATATAAAGTTAATAAATAAATATTCAAAATGCACAGTCATATCAATTCAGACGTAATGAAGGTATTAGCAGTTCCTTAACACGTTTTCAAACGTTTTTTTACAATCAAATCTCTAAATTTTAGTATAGTGATAACATTGATTATAGTGATAAATTAAAAAGGAATCTCATTAGGTGGTTAACATTTTAGTATTATATGGCTAACGACTATTTTTAGTCAATCAGAAACATTCAGAATTATTGGCATTAATAAAGTTGTCGAGATCACGTGTTCTCAATATACGAAGGGTTCACTGTGTAATCAGAGTCGTATATTAAATCTATCAATAATATCGTTATAAAATTATCGTCTAGCATAATAAGTGAACACACACACAAATTTAATCATATTTATAATTTTAGTTTAATATTTAACTAAATAATTCAAATAAATAAAAAAATAATATTAAAATAAACTATTGTAAGTAGATCGTTAAAATTATAATATCACCAGCACTATGTTGGCAAATCTCTCTTAATGGAAAATTAGATACTAAGAATACAATAAATTCAATAATCTATCTCGTTCACTCACCATCTCCTGTGCAGTAGTATCCTGGAAATTTGGAGAAATAGACTTTCTCATAACGACCGTGGTCGCCAAATAGTGTCCTCATGATGCCTGGCCAGGGTCTAGAGAACACTAAATAACCTTCTCCGGGGCCTTCAATCAGCTTTCCGTTTTCGTCTAAAAGATTGGGTTCAACACCGAAGAATGGGAAACCCTTCATGAAAAGAAAATAATTAACAGCTTGAGTTAAAATAGTTTAAAATAGGCTCTTATATAGTATTTATAATTTCGTATTAACTAGACTTAAAAAATCTTGGTTAAACCAAAAAATTTCCAAATTATGGGGCATTTTTCTATTGATAAAGCATCAATCTCTGTTAAACTATAGTACAAAAAGGATGCATCTAAAAATTTTGCCTCAATAGGTTCAATTGATTTGTCGTGAAAATATGAACCCTGAATTCTGTACCCTAAATTTATGCATAAATCTACACTCACGTGTATAAAAATAAATATTCTATATCAATGCAGAATAAGTTTATTCGAACATTTAAGCGTGACAGAATAAATACTATCTAAACCTATTTACAAACATTAATATTTATGACTAGTTTATTACCGCTACTTCGTACGAGTAAATTTCGGAAGTAGGGAGAACAATAATATTGACCACTTTTAGATGGCGTGTCAATACGATACATACACTAGATGTTAAGTTAGACCTTCAGGAATGTAACTGTGAAATTTTTGCATGCAATAAACATACGATAGATAAATAAACAATTTTTTTTTTTAATTATTGTTTTACATTTATTGTCCTTATTAAGACGCCTCAAATTAATTTTTCTCAATTGTCTCCCATGTACAGACATCGTCTAGTTACAATTTTATTGTATTAGTAAGATACTAGTTAGGTGGATATTACTTACTGCTGCCCCTGGTTTCATGGGCGTGGCACCAGGTAGACTAGTGAGGACATGTCCACCAGTCTCCGTCTGCCAAAACGTGTCAGCAATAGAACAACGGCCGCCACCAATCAGATTGTAATACCATAACCACGCTTCTGGGTTTATTGGTTCACCAACACTGCCCAAGACTCGAAGACTCTTCAAGTTATGCCTGAGGTCAATACATACCATATAAATGATAATATTTGTAACATGATACATATTTCTTTTTATTAAAATTAATGCCTTTCTTTTAAAATATGAATCCCCTAACTCGAAACAGAAAATTTCGACGAGGATTGTCGAGATACAGTGCCAATAAAGATGCATAGAATATCAATGCCGAACATGTAATATATTCGACCTTTTTTTTCTAAGTTAAAAAATAAATAGGCAATAAATATTAACTGCAACAGATCGAATCATAGATTAAGGACAGTATCTGTGATCGGCTAATGATTAGCAATTTATAGAACGTGAATCTCAAATAAATGTAACATTTCTTAAAAATTATTTATCACAAAAGTTGAAGGAGATAATTATTTTTGGCTACAAATTGTAGACATTTAAAGGTATTGCCTTCTGTTGCCTTTAGTACTATAAAGGTAATTTTAAATTGTTATTTAAAGTTACATAATACATTTATAGCGTCTATTATACTTTTAAATTATGATAAAAGCATAACTTATTTATTAATATTAAAGACTTCGTGTTTTAATGTTCTTTTTTTTTTAGAAAAAAAGTGGAGTTTGTACCCGTACCTCTTATTGAGAAACTATTGTGGTGGAAACCATTTTGGCGCAAAACAATGCGGAAATCATTTTAACAGAGACACGCAAGTCAAAACATGTCATTGTATTTGTCGTATATTAAGTATTTTTGTATAACTTAAAATCATTGAAATGACGCTATATTTTTATGGTAAGGACCACTTCCTATGAAGAAACGTGCGTATGTGCGTACCTATATATTTTAGTTTACCATATTCATTATTGACGCACAATATTCTTAAATATTGACGTCATTCGATCTTAACACGAGTTACTGAATAAATGATTTGCAAATGAGAACTAATAAAAAAAAATGGTTATGTTAACGGTTTGTGTCATAGTACCATAGAGTTCATTTCATTGATACACAAAATTGGTGTTTAGCAGATTTTAATTTATAATTATTGGCCTTTTAAATTCTAAAAGTAAACCACTTGGCTCCAACACCATAAAAAGTAGGTATACGACTCTTATACTTGTCTAATATGCCTAATAAAATTTGTTTTACAAATTTAACATGAAAAGAACAAGATCATAGAATGTTGCTTTAAAAGTTTCTATCTATCTAGAAAACGACTATTATGAGTAGGTATACTTACATTTTAACATAGTGGTCACCAAATTTGGTGAGAGACCTGATGGCGGTTGGCGCAGTATAGAACTGGCTCACTTTGTACTTGTCCACCAGCGACCAGTACCGATCGTTTTCAGGATAGAACGGAGTTCCTTCGAACTGTAACATATTTTCGATTCGTAAAAATTTACATGTATACAGGCATTTGTAAAAATTCGTAAATGTGATAGGCAAAGAGAGTGCAGTGTATCTTGTAATGTACCTTTACTAATTTGACGAGGATATACAAGATTACGAATAATATTAAAGGAAGTTTGAAAGTCGCGCAATATTCAAGAATTCTCAACATAATTTTAATAAAATATTTTTCTATTGTACTTAATGCATCGGCATAGCACCCTAATACTTTTTTACCTTCAAATATAATAGTGATAATAAGTACGTCTATGACTTACATTATTACAGTTTCAGTTTGGTATAAGCAATTTATTAATTATCATTGAGAAATTCAAATATATTTAACTACATATTTAATCGTAATTTCAAAATATTAAAGTTAACAACTAAATTAACTTTAACTATATTCAAATTTTGGTAGGTGTTATACATGATTGGCAGAAAAAGTTGCCAATTGTCGCGCTCAATAACAGACGTATCACAGTCTTTAGCCACTTACGAATTTAATTCGCGAAGTAAACAACTTGTAGTCCCTGCATGATATTCTGGCTATGGATTCTGTGAAACTTTTAGCAAACCAGTTGTTAGCGTTTATCCAGCATGGCATTGATACGATGAATGAAGTTAGTATCCTACATATTTGCAAGTTTAACCTCAAAAAAGAGGAAATTTCCAATAGCAAGGTACTGCTTTATCTAACACTTGGAAATCGACTAAATGCCATTCCGCAGGAGGGATGATAAAGGTAGGAGAGGAATTTTCAGAATATAATCTCATTGCTGAAACAGAACCATTCAGACGACGTGCTCGCATTCGTAGCGAAGCAGCTCCATAAATTGCCTCCAGTCACATTCGATCATGTCGACATTACCAGATTACTAAAGAATATCACCACCTTATAGGCAAGTCTGGCGAAGGTCCACTTAGGTATGGAAGCATCGTATACTACTATCATTAAACTGCGAACCTAAGTTGCTAATTTACACAACACTGTTTTGGGAAGTAGGTCACCCGAGGCATCCAACGAAAACATGTAATATGGAGCGAAAAATGCATCTGTCGGCAGTTCTGACCACGTGCCTGTAGATGAAACCGCACCCTCTGCTCCGCTCTCTGCAATATCTCACAACTCTAGTTGGTAGTGGGTGACAACATGTACGCCCGTATACGTCGACATACTTATGCTACGAGTAGACGAACTCAAGTTTCTACTCGGATAGAAAGGTGCGATATGGAGGGCTTCACCAAAGTGGAAAGAAAAGAAGAAGCCTACCTGTCACAATTATTGCAGTACTGCATTGACTGGAGAAAACCATCTGCTTCATCTTGCAATCCTTATAACGTTTGTATATATGTCCTGATTGCATTACTCTACAAAAGTTGAGAAGATTGTAGAACACATTAGAATGAAGTCCTACTTCATTCCAATAGTGGAGGGTTTGGAGTTTCGCAAGTGTCAATTTCAATTCACTTGTAATGGGAATGTCAGTGGACTCTCATGATAAAAGAGTTTTCGTCACATGTTATCACCACAATTTGTGAAAAACATTATATATTTTTTTTATATTCTTAATATGTATGTTAGACTATAAATAAATGTTAAATAAAAAAAAACCATTACGTCAACTACGAACGAAATAGCGTAAGGCCATGCACATGATATTAACATTACAATCAAGAATACAACATATATGTAATTACATTATTGTTAATTAGTATAATAATCATGATTTATATTAACTACCTACTATCAGTTTCATTGGATTGCCCGCGATTTCGTCCACGTGTTAGGGATATGATTATTACATACTAACTAGACTTTATCATTCAATTAACAAAGACCTTTAACTTCTATGCGTCTTCTTTCAATGGAGATTTCAAACCGTATCTCATGATTCGTTCGCCAGTTTTTAAATAGTGTTTGTTAATGTATATTTCATAAAAAACAAAAAAAAATTAATTGAAATCTCTACATTGACTTTCTCGTGGTGATGTAAGTACAGAACATTTGTTTTTCGTTTTTAATCGTTATAATAATATTATTTAGTAACTAATATTATAAAAAGAAAAAAAAATATTTATAATGAATAAACTCAAAAAATACTTGACTGATTATAAAAAAAAATCACCTATTGAAAACTATATTTATAAAAAAAAACAGTGCGTCTTAGGGTTAGGTCGCTAAATGGAGATAAAAATCAAATCACCTTTATTATTGCGATACTTATCGGTATCTACAATGTTAAAAAAAAATCTGAAACATATTTATTCATAAGACAGTAACAATCTATGCGTATGGAAAAAATTAATTATGCCGTGACATAAAATAGGCAGTATTATTTAAATATAAAAACTATATGGCGCCCGAGCGAATTGCTAAATCGAGATAAAATACAAAACACTTATTAGAATGATCCTATATAAGAGTGGATACTACTTATGTAAAATACCGATATTTATCAATATCTACAATGATGAAAAAATTCTCTGACATATTCATTCAAGAAGAAATGACAAACAACCTATGCTTGTGAATTATCTAAGATAAATAACCAATTGTAACACGGTGGCTGTTTTTTATTGATTTACAACTTCTTATTCTTTTTTATGAAAAATTGTTTTTATATTTTTGCATTTATGTATACGTATGTATACAATTATCAACTAAACAAAGTATTTTTTTTTCATTACAACAGCATTATATAAAAACTATAATATATAAGTACATCTATCTATGTATATCAAGTTAAATCTGTTACAAAGTTAAACAAATTATGTGACGGAAATAACCAGAGTTGACATCTGCTGTGGTAACACACAGGTCAAATGGTGATAACACCAAAGGAACATTTTTTTTAGTAGCTATGTGCATTTAAATTCGTTTCAGGTAATATTTAATACCCTTAAATATTATAACAAATTAGGTAATTAAAATTTTATCTTTACCTAAATTACATTAAGGTCCTAATAGTTATCCTAAAGCACCGCAGTATCCGATACAATTATTGACCAATATTTATATGTGCCATTGCCTAATTCATAATAAATCATTAATTAAAATATAAAAATATATTTAATTATAAAAAGTTATTATGCACGGCATAATTTTTAAATGAGAAAATTTAACTGTATTTGTAACTATTTGTTTTGTTTTAATTTAATAATGTTTTATTTATTTTGTGTTAACTATACATGTATAATATAAAAATGTAGTTATGTATTTTGTGTAATATTTATTCATGTGATTGCTGTGCCTTTCCAGGGTTAATGTTGATTCTGTACCTTTAATAACTTAAGATCTATATTGTTACAACATGAAATAGCGATAAATGATTGAATTGAATTATTATTTAATAGATTAAATAAACCTAAAAATAATAAATAACCTGCCATACAGATTTTTCTCAACTCAGTTCTACAGTGACACTACAGTTCGACAGTGCGAGACTATAGTCTAGCATATAAAATAAAAAAGAATTGTAAATATAATTATTTAAAAAATAATGTATGGGACGTGCATATATACATATATAAGACTAAGGTCTAACAATTTATTTCTGCATATTTATTGTATTCATGTTTCTATTAGATACAAGAATGACAAGCGAGAACTAAGTTGCTCAATTTGAACAATAGAGATAGGAAGGAGAGAACTGTTAGTAATAGAAATTAGTAAGTCCATTGCTAGTAATATATAACAAGTCAATCTACGCGGTTCCCCCTGGAAATCATCGTCATTGATTTACCTATCGTCCCTCACTAGTGCCCCGCTAGTGTATATACTGCATAGACGGGGTTACCATTCTATTATCATCCATTAAAAAACCAGAGGCAGCACTTTTACATTACCGGTCTTTGTGACATGACGTCACAGTACTCAATAATTTCACTTTCACACTTTCAAACCGTAACGCGTCTATACAAGCACAGCTGCTTGAGAGTATGTGAGACATAAATTTAACATAAGTACAAACGGTCGTCTGTACAGTTTTCGTCTGATTGACCTACGAATATAATTATTCGTCACTATGTCGGTCCCGGCATAGAACAGGCCACTCTTTCTTTCCCGTGGGTGTCGTAAGAGCCGACTAAGGAGGGCGAAAGAAGGGCAGCAACGTTCCTCTTTAAATATCTACAAAGCCTAATTGCAGTTGTCAATCTGTCTGCACAAGCGTGGCAACTACTGGCAAACCCCCATAAAGGGAGGCTCAGCAGTGGACAGTTAAACGCTGATATGATGATGATAATTAATCGTAAATTCAATATACAGTTCATGGACTTAGTTTACTTACAATTACAGATGTTGCTGCATTGGCCAAAGGTGCATACACAACATATGTGTGTCCAGTGATCCAGCCCACATCTGCAGTGCACCAAAAGATGTCCTTGTCGCGGTAGTCGAACACGTACCGAAAGGTAGTGGTAGCGTAGACCAGGTAGCCAGCAGTCGTGTGCAAAACACCTTTCGGTTTACCAGTTGAACCACTATAAAAATGAATCTAATTAACAAGAAGATAAGTTCGAAGCAGGCAATTAAACAAATCTATCGATAGATACGTTGTCGCTACCATATACATGAGATAAAATGAATTCGCAACGTCAGACGTCTCTTCTTATACAAATGCTAACGAAATCTTATCCTTATCATATCTAACAGATATATTTGTCACTTGTTTAGCGGGATTAGCAAAAGTTTATAAATATTTTCAACAAACTTCAAAAAAGAAAGGTTCTCAATTTGACGATATTCAGTTGTGTATACGTTACTCGATAATTCACTGTTTTAAACCGATTTTGATGATCTCAAATTTTAACAAAATATTAACATCGTTTTAAAGTTATCTCTTGATATTATATAATACGTACGGTACCAGAATTACAAAGTATTTTGTGCATTATCTTTGATACCTAGTACAAAACAAAATATAAACAGTTCTCTGTCTCCATAATCAGCAGTTTTGTAATGACCGCTACTCTTGATACTGAAGTTTATTATCAAAAAGAGAACGCTAATTATAGATACAATAAAATGCTTACAATTGAAACATATAAAGTTATCATAAAAAGAATTATTACCTGGTGTACAACATGAATAGAGGATCTTCTGCATCCATCCACTCCGGAGGACAAATAGTTGACTGCCCCTCTACCAGGTCATGCCACCAGACGTCCCGGTCGTCGTCCCATTTGTACTGCAGCATTAGAGGTGTTTCTAAATTAATTACATTCAAATGACCCGGCCTTATTTTTAAAGGATGCAGTTACAATTCTGTCGGAACTTTGAATAAATAAAGGCTACAATATCCTATGTCATGAGAAACTAGGCTATAAATATCCGAGAGTATAACACAAGAAATCCAGATGCGAACCAATTTAGAGAAGTTTGTTACCTAAATAGACCTGTATTTTACCAGTTTAAAGTACACTTTGTTAGAGGTGCATTAGTTTAGACTTCGCGTCTTCCCATTTTGGTACGGTTGGCGGGATGCCTGTTACATTAGGCATATTATATAGTTTGGGGGGAGAATGTTAGAAGGCATATGACAAGTAAGATAGACGACGTAAGACAGCTACTGAAATAAGGCCATAAATTCGACAACCCTCATCATCTTCCGGTCGCCAATTCGACGCTCGACCGGTCATCGGCCGTCAAGTGTACCACGGACGCTTATACGTGTGCGAAAGGGAGTTAATAATTCGAGTACACAGATTGCAGACTAAATGAAAAGAATGGTCAACTCCTTGGTACTCGATCGCCTTTAGCGGCGTCACGGTCGCGGACCCGGGAGTCGCCCGGCGTTAATTCTTTAATAGCAGTCATTCAAAGTAGACAAAACTATACGTCTCAAATTACTACGTAATTGCTCTAGCCTAACCAAAAGCATTGTAGTAGGAGGATATTATAATTTTATATTACATTCAAGTCGTGTAGGCATACATACATAAAGCCTTATAAAACCCATAGACCTAATATGATATTATATTCATCCTATAACATCTCATTTTAGGAATCTTTTTTCTCACCTAACTTCTTCACTAATTCTTTCAATAATTATTTCTTTTCTTAACTAATTTCTTGTTTATATCAAAAAGTCAGATTAGGCAAATTATAATACGTTTCATATAATATAACCCATCGATGAAAATATACCGCTACATCAATAGATACACCCTCAGGATGTGAAACCTTTTTATACGAGTACTTGGCAGTTTATACAAGATGAAATTTACAAAACATTATGTATAATTCGTCTGATATCATCATTTTAATCCACCAGCTCTTCCAGACCAATATATCATAAAGCTTATGGTTAAAATCTATAAATTAATAAAGCAATAGGTAGTAAGTACTGGAATCCCGTTGGATCCAAATAGCAATCTATTACTGGTAAATCTATTAAATTTTCATAATAGAAAATCATCGTCTTTGAAACGAAATAATTAAGTAAGATTTGACAAATACATAGTAAAAGAGGTCAAAGCTTCCGGTTTAAACAACGGTCCAATTCATATGGGCAAACGTCAAGCCTAACATAATTTAATAAATCTTGATTGATTCACATAATGAACTTCACTGTAATAGTTTCCCATACTTTACAGAATATGTAACTAATTCTAAAAGCAGTTCCATGGGCGAAAATAGCTCGGGTTATATAATATAAGTACTGCTAAATAACTTACCAACGTCTTAATATCATCGGGTAGTTTACCACAAGGAGTAACCCTATTGAGATGGGACACGACAATACACATCTGAACGCTATGGTCATGAAGGCTCTTCGCCTTCTCTAGAGCTTCGTCACAGATGTTCTTCAAAATGAGCAACTTCTGCCCACGCCAAGCACCATCTGACGTTACCAACACTTTCGCTTTGCAATCGGCCATACGCTCGGCCAGTGAATCAGAAGAAAATCCAGCGAACTGCAAAGAAAAAATTATATATCAAAAATTATACCTATCTTTAGCACGTCCAGTTGGTGGAACTTTAAACACACATTAATATTGCGTGTAAAATACTTGAAAATTAATAGAAATTTGTAGAAGTGGAAGACTCCACTTCCACAAATTCCTATAAATTTTCGTATTTTCGTATTTTCTTCAATTGTGGAAAAGTACAAATTGTGGATAGATACTACTATTTTTCTAATAATATCAACATGGGGTTCAACTTATCCGACCATCATCATCGTCTTGTCAGCCTTATCCCAGCATGCTCTCATTTTGTTTATTCCGATTTCGGCAAAGCCTTATTTAGAAGCGGGCAAGTAGAAGCACGCCAGGAGTTGTCTAGTGTCCACCCCAAAATCAGGGGTGGAACTTTTAACTGTGGACAAAGCCATGCCTGAGAATAAATATAAGGCTATTATAAAAAGTCAGGTTACCCCTAGAATAATCTTAAATAAAATCTGTAATCTTGAATATGTAAATGGGAATCAGCCTAATGTTTTATTATTTTTCCATATTTTATAATAAAATGTATAGATATTAAAAATATGGAAAGTTTAGTTGGATAGTATATTATATAATAATTAAATAGCTTCTAATATTTCTATAAAATTTCTTCTTATTGCAAATTTTTGTTATGATTCTATTGCTTAATAAAAAGACTGGAAAATATATGCATTTTATTCCGTTAGGTATAATTTAGGACCAGTAGATAATCGTGAGTCATACTATCTTACATTATATATATCATATATATAGTTCAAATAAATGTAAACATTAAAGAGAAGGTAAAAATTAATCAAAGTTTTGAAGTTCTTACCACAACGGAATGTATAGCACCAATTCTAGCGCATGCCAGCATGCATACAATTGTTTCCAAGATCATTGGCATGTAGATGGATACTCGATCTCCTTTGCCGACACCACTGTCACGCAGTGCATTAGCAAATTGGCATACTTGGTCCATCAACTTCTTGTACGTAACCCGACTGTAGTCATCAGGATGGTTGCCCTCCCTGGAAATTTTATAATTTTATTTATACCACATTTTTAAAGCTCTGCGCCCGCTATATTGACCGTGTAAATGGGTATATCAATTACAATTGATAATAATTAGAGTAGGTAATTTATATAAATTTATAAAATGAAATTTATATCAATATACCTAACTAAATACACATTATATAAATACGTATTAACATTTTACGATATAATTATATGGCAACTATGGTGATATACCTGTGGATCACCTTCTAAAAGTCTTGTCTATACATAATATCATTTTCATTATACCTAATCCTCATTTCCTTACTAATATCATAAACGTGAAAGTGAGTTTGTTTGTTTGTTTATTACCTTATAGAGCCTTAATGGCTTAACCGATCACTATGAATTTTTATATACACGTACAATATGGGATGGAGCATCTCGGTTAGAAGACATATCCCGGTCCCGCGGACAATTTTGCCGGTAAAAGCTAATTAAATAGTATATAGAAGAATAACTCTCAATATTTATTTATTTATATTCTTTATATTTACAGGGGAAAGGTTTGATAAAAATACCAGTTTTCTCTTTCTGCTTCACCATGGTGTCTTAAACTACTACCATAATAGGAAGTATATTATTTTTATAGCGATTACATGTATTTCTTGGGGAATTTTTTTGTTTACTCAACAATGACTTCGTCACAAAAGTGTGTCAATGATTATTTGCGGTATAGTGAATCAGATCGTAAAGTTCCCAAAGTTATTGCGTCCGAGCGAAACAGGTTTGCTATCTTATTATAAAAAAAAATTTTACTTATTTGGAGGCAAATAAGCACACGGCCCGTCTCATGGTAAATGGGGCTACAGTAGCCTATGAACGCTTGTTACATCAGAGATGTCAAGCGCGCGTTGCCGACTCATAATACAAATATATAATAATACAAATGTGTCGAAATACAAGCATAAGGAAAGTAAATATCAGAATGCCAATACGTAACAACACACAGTTGTGAAACCTGATTACGGAATTGAGTATGCTCTAATTATTTATAATTAGACACCGCTATCTGACTGCTTGAGTTCTCTTATTTTTTTAATTGTTCAACTTTATGAAACCACTAGCTTTTACCCGCGACTAAGTTCGTGTGACTAGAACATGTTTACTAACCGGAATAAAAAGTAGCTTATATCATTCTCCATCCAATATAATACGTGAATACCAAATTTCATAGTGTTTGGTTAAGCCGTTAAGGCTATAAGAACATAAAAACAATAGCTATAAAATAGCTAAAAAACAATATACAAACAAATCACTTTTTTTATGGGTGAAAATGGTATTGTAACTCCGCCTGCGCTAACGGGACACGCTGGCGGAGCACTAGTGAAGGGTGATAGATGAAAATGAAAACAGGCCAGTTAGCCCATCATGATAAATTCATCAGGAATTAACCATGATAGTTTCCAGGGGGAACCGCGAGGAGGTCGACCTGGTTGGGTATATTGCTAGCAATGGGATTCTTAGTCTCCATTACTAACAATTCCTTCCCATTAACAATTTTCCGAAACAACTCACTTTCACATTTATAATATCAGTAATTTTTAGATTGAGGAATGTGTAATTTAAATATAATAAAAGGATGGATTTAATAAATCAATGGTTACATAATATAATATTATTGATAAATAAATTAGTTCTAACTCTTCTAGGCATCATTTTGTTATCTAGTCAGTTCACAAAGATGTTATTGGTTTTATGCACAGAAAATTAAACAGTTATTTCTACCATCAGATTTATTGAAACTGTAACTTATGGCCGTATAAAAAAATCTTTAGATAGATACCTGGATTATTATTCGAAAATCTAAATTCTTATTTCAGTTAAAAAATAAAATATTCAGAATATCGCGAGAAACTATTTATATAATAAATATTAATATAAATTTTGATATGTTATTTCATTTTAATTTAATCTTGTACAAAATTTACCTATGTAACGGATTCAAGTGGATTTTTTCAATTCCATTGCACCAACTTCGAATGAACAATACTAATTATAATTAATTCGTAATTGATGCGATGAAAATTATAACTTCTTTAAATTAACCTGTATTATTATGAAATAAATAATCACATTACACTTTGATGAATAAATAGAAGTAGAATAGAGGTAAGTTATCAAATATTTAGATATGATGTACCTATTTAAATATGAAATTTATTTCACTGCAATCAATTTTGCTAAAGAAGTGCGAACTCATTACGAGACTAACCAAACATTTTCGATTAGAAAAAGCTCACCAATATTGGAATCATAACTTAAGTAAATGAAATTTCAATAAATAATTTAAGTAATATTATGTAAATATTCAAAATAATATGAAAAATGCTTTTTTATATTATTTTGAATCCCTCTCTCCCATTCGTGTTTCAACCGTGAAGCAGCTGTGTTTGCATGGCTGTGTTTCGGTTTGAAGAGTGGGATATGGCGTGAATTTACTGGGTACAGAGGAATAACACCTGAGTCCTCAGGAATGGCAGCGCATGGGGGGTATCATGGGCGAAACAGTATACTCTGTTATGTCCATGGTACTGCTCATGTCTATAGGCGACGGTCACCACTTTCCATCAGGTGGGCCGTCAGCTTGTTTGCCATTCTAAGTTGTATAAAAAAAAAAAAAAAAAAAACTGTGTTTCGGTTTGAAGGGTGGGATATGGCGTGAATTTACTGGGTACAGAGGAATAACACCTGAGTCCTCAGGAATGGCAACGCATGGGGGGTATCATGGGCGTAACAGTATACTTTATTATGTCCATGGTACTGCTCATGTCTATAGGCGACGGTTACCACTTTCCATCAGGTGGGTCGTCAGCTTGTTTGCCATTCTAAATTGTATAAAAAAAATATAAATATAAAAAATATATATAATTTATATTCAAAACTTATATAGGTATATTTAGATATTTATAAAAATACGTAGGTACTAATGAGCTGCCTAGTTAAGGTTTATTACTAAATTTCTCTATATCTGATAGTTGTACAAAGAAAAGACAAGGATGTAAAAATATAGAAGACTATCTGATTATTTACTGTAACAATTATTGGCAGTTCGACTTATCTAATCTTGGGTTTGCTAGAAGAAATCTGTTCTAGAGATAAGCTGACTATAATTTTATTATAATGCCTTTTATGAATAATAAAAAATGAATACTCATGGTTTTGTCTGGGATCTATGTATTATTATTATTATAATAATAATAGATTTACAGGTAACAATGATAATTATCAAATATTTGAACTATTATTATTATTCCATACTGTGAGGGGGTTCGCCCTCTATTTTAAGTATTTTTTTGGGATTTTTTGACAACTAGGGGAAAAAATAGAACTTTAAGTTTTTAATTGTACATTTATTGCTATTTCAAGATTACGAAAAACAAAGTGCATGTAAAAATCTTCATTAGAACGTAAGTTGCACGACTCTGAAGACACCTGCTTCCAAAACAAATGATGCTCACTTCCTCCATGATTTTGACTGATTGGCTTATCTAAAAGTAAAAATAAAAATAGCGTTTTAATCTGTAAGCCTAAATGCATCGAATAAACTAGTAACATTCGAAAATATTAAAAATTATATTTTTGGCAGGCTTCTGAAAAAAAAAATAGAAATACTTGGAATTTTCGAATGATTCTAGTTCACTCCATACGTTTACATGTGCTAAATTGATTGTATAAATTTTAAGTAAATCAGTCAAACCGTTTTGAGATGTACTAGAAGAAAGATTAAAAAAAAAAGAGTTTTGGAGAAAAACGTGTTTAAAGTTTTAAGTACGATTAAAACTATGAAAATCTTAACTTACCGTCAATTTGCGATGGCTGGTCCATAGAACACTGCTTTCTCTTCCTCTTAAAAGTCTTTTAATGCGGATTGTTCTACTCTTGCAAATGTTTTTATATTTTTAACTACGCCACTCGTACGCCGTTCAGAGCAAGCGATGCGCACTTCATCGCGATTTTATGCATAAGTATGCGTTTCGAGGCCATTCTTATGATTGCAATTATTTTTAAAACTCCTTGGAAACTTTCGTTAAATAAGATGGCAGAAATAAACATTGCAATGTCAACGATTTTGACGCCAGTTTGCAAATGTTTTGGAACTAGAAACTAAACCACAGTTGCAAGATTAATTAATTTTAAAACATAAGTCCCGAACACTCGATTGCGTAAAAGACGCATCACTTTTACATTCTTTACAAATAACAGTACTAGAAATGGAAGAAAATACTGATACCAACTCTAAAATACAATATGCGAAATTTCAAGTGATAAGAACCTCAAAATCCATACCGTCTTTGAGCACAAGCTGATGTATATTCCGTATCTTTTTGTATAACGATTTCCACTAAATTATTGTTTCTTATGACGACCAGGATGAGCATCACCATACGTCCTTTTCTACCACTCATTGCGAAAATAAATAACTTGTAACTGATCACTAATTGCAAATTAATTTGTTGTAGCTGTTATGATTTCCGAGGTTAAATGGAGTCTTAACTAATATACCTATATGTACGTGTTTATACCTGTATAAACTTTTCTACACCTGTACTAAAGGACATTATAGGCCCAGAGTTCTGTCATGAAAGTCGGCGCTCCGAACATCTTTCTTCTAATTAATATCTTTAGAATGAGTTGGAATTTTGGAAAATTACTTTACCATTATATTTTGAATATATTAAAGAATTAATCTATACAAAAAATATAAATTTTCTGAAAATATCACAGGGGAGAATCCCCCAGAAAACAAGCAGGCAAGATAAACTTATAACATGATAGGTTTGTTTACACATATTCATTATCTATACATTATAAATTGGTTGTCATAAACATTGCATATAAGATAATAATATGTAAGGCCAAAATAACAATTTTAGATTTTTGCCTATCTGTCGGTTTCGGGAAAATAAAAAAATAAAAAATAAACTTAGAGAATTATCAACTTACTGGCGAGACTGTATCCTCAAATAAT